TTAGCCCCCCAGGTAACCCATAAGGCGGACTCATCGAGGGACTGTCTGTCTTATTTCCGCTGGGGTCTTTCAATCTTGTCCCCCAGGATGCAACCCACACCATTCAACTTACTGCCAGGTACCTACTTACTTGCTAGGTGAATCGAACAATAGGTGTAAGAAAACACACCCAGTGTTTCCACCCAGCCGTGGATTGAACCACAGACACCCCTGGCAGTCTTCAAGAAGGCACTGGACAGGCACCTAAAGTGCCACAGCAGGGCTGTGGTTCGTACGTCAGAATGCGTGCGATGAACAGCAACAGCCTGGTTGATCAGGCCCTGATCCACCATGAGGCCTGGTCACAGACCAGGCTGCAGGGGTTACCTGGAGGTTATTCCGGGGATCAACGCCCCCCCGCGGCCCGGTCCATGACCAGGCCTCCCGATGGATCAGGGCCTGATCAACTAGGCTGTTACTGCTGGCCGCACGCAGTCCAACGTACGAGCCACAGCCCGGCTGATCCGGCACTGACTTTAGGTATCTGTCCAGCTCTCTCTTGAAGGCAGCCAGGGGTTTATTGGCAATTCCCCTAATGCTTGATGGGAGGCTGTTGAACAGTTTTGGGCCCCGAACACTTATGGTGTTTTCCCTTAGTGTACCAATGGCGGGGCGCCATTGGTACACTATGGGGGCATTTTGCATCGCCTGCCCAGTCTTTTACTTTCGTAGGGAGTGATTTCTGTGTGCAGATTTGGGACCATTCCTTCCAAGATTTTCCAAGTGTAGATTATGATATATCTCTCCCTCCTGCGTTCCAACGAGTACAAGTCAAGTGCTTCCAAGCGTTCCCAGTAGTTAAGGTGCTTGACAGAACTTATACGTGCAGTAAAGGATCTCTGTACACTCTCTAGATCTGCGATTTCACCTGCTTTGAATGGAGATGTTAATGTACAGCAGTATTCCAGCCTAGAGAGAACAAGTGATTTGAAAAGGATCATCATGGGCTTGGCATCTCTCATTTTAAAAGTTCTCATTATCCATCCTATCATTTTCTTTGCACGTGCGATCGTGGCACTGTTGTGATCCTTGAAAGTGAGATCCTCAGACATTACTACTCCCAGGTCCCTTACATTATTTTTCCACTCTATTGTATGGCCGGAGTCAGTAGTATACTCTGTTCTAGTTATTATCTCCTCCAGTTTTCCATAACGGAGTAGTTGGAATTTGTCCTCATTGAACATCATATTGTTTACCGTTGCCCACTGGAAAACTTTGTTTATATCTTCTTGGAGGTTAACCGCGTCCTCAGCAGATGACAGCCTCATGCAGATCCTAGTATCACCCGCAAAGGATGATACGGTGCTGTGGTGTATATCTCTGTTTATGTCTGATATGAGGATAAGGAATAAGATGGGGGCGAGTACTGTGCCTTGTGGAACAGAGCTGTTGACTCCCGAAACCCTCTCCAGGTATACACTCAATGTGTGAGGCGAGAGTGATACCCGCCAGGCCACTTCAGTTTCATTGCCCAAATAAATTTAAAACTTAATACAGTAATCAAGGCATCATCCTAAACAATTTTTAATAGTATGTTACATGATATTACTGTAAAAATTGATTTAATAGTTCCCGATTTAGTGGACAAAATCTGAGGCCGGACAACATTCAGAAGAAATGGACAAAGGCAGAATTGTCAGCTAGTCGTACAGTCTGTTGGATTTCACAGACTTCGTCCATTATATCAGAATTGTGTGTTATTTTTGACAGAATTCAGGATTTAATAGACAAAGTTCATTAAATTCAGAATTATTCATTATTCTTGCAGTCCACTGGGTAAATCCAAAAATTCTCTTACTGTTAGGATGATTGAAAAAAAATATTTTCATTCAGATTTAATGGGAAAGCAGCTTTATCAGCCCCCCCCCTTTTCCCTATTTGTCCATTAAACCTAAGGTTTATTTGATTTTTGTTGTATGAGCGCTGAGTGACCTACTCAAAGTGCACTGTAAATATCACTGCTACTAGTAATACTACTGCCCCATTCCTTGGATTGACCCAAAATTCCCTTCCCAGCACTCCTTTGTAAATTTGAATTTACTACTACTACCCCAAAACAATTTTCAGCTTTTTAGTTTACTTTTTTTCTTTTAACGGGGGGGTGTAAAGGGCAAGGATGTAGTGGTTTGTGCGTTGAAAAAAAAGTCTGTCCCAAAGCTGCAAAGAAAAAACGCACCTGAAAGGGAAAAATTTGCCCCCTTTTGATGACCATGTACTAAATGGCCTTTGGCGGGTATGTTATGACTTTACCCTTATTTAAATTTGGGTTAGATAAATTTTGGTTTTTTTTAAAAATGTATCTGAAAATTTAAATGTGTAATCAGTTTTTAAAGGGGTTTAAATAAAAATTTAAACAATTAAAAGGGTGCTGGGGAAGCCAAAAAAAGGGTCCCTAAAAATTAAAGGGAAATTAAAAACCCAAAGGGGTTGACCCTCCCTTATCTTTAAAATTTTTTTCCCAGATGGTGTATTTTTTCCTATGGGTTTAGCATTTTCCCATGAATATAATAAAAATAGGAAGCTATGGGCAAAAATTGAAAATTTTTTAAAATGGGGGGGGTTTAGGTACTAAAACATTTAAGAGTTTTATGCAGTACATTGGGTTTTAGGGTATTTAGGAGAGAAAAAAGGACTATTTCCCAATGAAAGTAGGACAAAAAAGGGAATGTGTAAATGTCAAAATCAAAATTTAGTGTAAAGATGGGTTTTTAAAAAAAAGTGAATGTGGAATGTTGGGGAATTTTTTGGGGGTTTTAAACCCCCTCTGATTTTTATGTTACTTGGAACTAATTTTGTAGTTTTGTTGCTGGGATCTTTTTACGGGTTTTAATCATGATTCAACCGCTGGATAAGCCCTGTGAGCAAAATTTTTTGTGGCCTGGGTTTTGAGAGAAGGGTCTGTGTAGCAATTGTCCCAAAGTATAAAAAAACCCCTCCCTCATATGGTCATAATGGGAAGAGCAAAACTTTTGACCCGTGTTTGGAAAAAATTTTGGGGATTTTGGGTTTTTTTCTAGGGGGGTTTTTTATGGGTTTTTTGGGCTGTTTTTAGAATTTTTTGATAGGTGGAACACACAACTACAAAAATTTAGAGATTTTTTTAGAAAGTTTCAAAAATCAAAAGTAGCTTGAAATCGGGTCTAAAAGTGGCAGAAATTTTTTTTTCCCAAATATTCTTGAGGTGATATGGCTTCCCTACTTTCCCCCTTTTTTTCTTTTTGTGGGTGTTTTATAAATCTAAATTAATTATTGAGATACCACAAACCATAAAAATTTCCCTGTAATTTTTTTTGGGCTTGAGAAATAAGAAAATTTTTTTAAATTTTTTTTTAATAAATTTCCCTAAAGGGAAAAGCAAATGCTTTTAAGGGAAAGAGGTTTGGGGGCCCAATGATTTTTGCACGAAGAAATTTTTCTTTTAGTCCCTGGAATATTACGTTTTTTTTTTTTGGGGGACCTTGTTTTTTAAATTTTTTTTTTTTAAACTTTGCATAAAATTTGGGCCCAAAATTACTGAATTTTGGAATTTTAAAGGGAAATTATATAGCTGGGGGGGAAGGAAATACTAGCAAGATAGCTAAAATTTTTTCCCAAAATTTGGGAATGTAATTGTTTTAAAAAATGGGAAACTCAAAAGTTTGGGGGAAATTGATTTACGATATCGTAATGCCCATGATTGCAAAAAAACCATACCAGGGGCGGGGATTAAACTCGTAGGGGTTTGAGTTTTATGATCACCGCCATGAGTTCAATCCCGCCGTGGTATGTTTGGTGAAAATTGCTGTTGCTTAAAATGTCCCAGACTGTTTGCCTAATTTCATGTTTTTCCACAAGGAAAAAATTCTCCTCTTTCGGGGGTCTGGACAAAAAGGGGAAAAAAGATTTTGGTTTTAGTACAAAATAGGATTTCCAGTTTCACTTTACAATGACATTTTCTTTTGGGAATTCGAGACAGGTTTCAAATTTTGGGGGATGAATTTAAAGGGGGTTTTTGGGAAATTAAAAAGGGAACATATGAAAGAAGGTAAAAAAAAAATCTAGTTGATAAAAACCTTCACTATCTTTGTAGGGATAAGTATGGAGGGGGAGAAATTCAAAACTTTGGAGTGAACTTATCACAGAAGGAAAAAAAGAGAAAGTGAAATGTTTTAGAGGGAAAAAGGTAGGTGATGTGTTGAGGTACAGTGGAAATTTAAAATAAAAAAGGAAAAAAAAAAAAAAAAAAAGAAAAAAATTAAGGTCCCAAAATGTTTTGTATGGGGTGGACATGGGCTTGGAACATTGCAGCAAGGAAAAAGGCTGGAGGCAGGGGAGATGTCAAATTTGAGATGCCATGGATAAATGTTAACAGGGGGCTCGGAGTGTAAAATTAAAACTGTGGGGGGTCGCCAAAGTATAATTCAGACCCCCGAGGAGGGGGCGGGGGCATTTAATAGGAATGAGAAGAGGTGAAAACCCTGGAAGGAATTGAAGGGATAGGGTCTTCCCAGGAAGGGTTGGAGGGGGGGGGTTAAAGGGAGGTTTTTGAGTTTTGGGGGCTCTAGCACTAGAAGGCATGTTCAAGCAGTTAAAAAGGGAAAATGAAATGCAGACAAGGGGATTTTAAGGGACATGTTTTGTTGGGATGTGAAAAGGAACATTTTTTCAGGGAAACTTAGTGGACCGAACCGGGAAATGGAAGGCACAAGGTATGCAGCAGAGGATAGTTGAACTGTGATATAGCATGACAAGATTGATGGTGATGGTTATAAGTAAAAAGACGTGGACCCCCGCAAAACGAGGGCATCACATGCGATTTTTTCCGCATACCGCTTACTTTTATGAAAAATTTTTTTGCCGCCCCCCCGTTAAAAAACCCGCTCCCCGATTTTCGTCCGAACCGTCCAATGTCCCCTCACATGTCCCCGCCCTCCCATTGTTTCCCACCAGCCTCCCGGTAACATCCAACAACACTCAATATTTCGTTTTTTTACGTGTTTTCGGTGCGTTTCGGGAAAATAAGTGACCATGGGCCCCAAGAAAGCTTCTAGTCCCAACCCTGTGGAAAAAAGGGTGAGAATTATAGGGAAAAATAAGAAAATTTTAAAGGGTTTGGGGGGAAACCCTGAGAACCCTTGCCATTGGGAATCCTTTTGTGCCTACTTCAAAGTTTAAGGGAAAATGTGGCACTGGGTTGAACTGCAAAACCCTTTTTAGAGAAAATCACCCTGACACGCTGTTGCAAGCCGTGCTGGGGACTATTTTTAATGACCAAAGTTGTGGGCCCCTTTTAGACAAACGTAAAAGGCGGAGGTACAGAGCTCTTGGGCAGATTTTTTGTGCGACAGAGGGCCAGGACTCAAGCTGGTCCTAGGGCATTAAAAGAAAAAAGGGGAAATAACCCCGGAAAAGGTTTTCCCTCAATCGTAAAGGGGAAAGGGGGTTCCCTCTAAACAGTAAGAAGATAATGTCTCCCCCCCTCCCATCCCATCAATCATCACCCGATCTTCAATAAAAGTAAGTGTCATGTAATTGTGCATGCCTTTTTCAGTTGTGTGTTTAAAAAAAAACATTTTTTGTGGAAAAAAAAAAATTTTTCTACTTTTGGGGTTTTCACGGATTAATTTTTTTTTCCATTATTTTTATGGGAAAATTCATTCGCTAACGATTTTTTCGATAACAATTATCCCCCCTTGCACGGGTTAAAATCGTTAACCGGGGTCCCCTGTAGTAATAATTGTTTTTCTAAAACAATGTTGTTTCTTTCCCGGACTGACTGCTGATGCTCGATCCAGTAAACAGGTCGTGGGAGTGCCCAAACTCACAAACTTTCTGTGGGAAATCCTGTCACTTTAGAATACATTACCCGGTAAAATTTTGTATGAAAGTGTGTAGAAAAAAATGTTTTATGCTGATTAAATTTTAAAAAAATATGGAAAACAAAAGCAAAGGTAATTTTATTATAAAAAAAAAATTCAGCTTTTTTTTTTTTGATTTCTGAAATGGAAACAGCAAGTAAAGGGGAAGTGAAGATTTATATATTAACAAACATACATTTTTAGAAATAAAAAAAAAGTTTTTTTCAGAAAAGGCATAAAATTCGAGGGTCCCCTGTACTTTTAAATCATTAATGCAACAACCCCGGTAATTCTTGGTAAAATTAAATACAATTTTATAGTGCATTTTGTATTGGGGGTTGGATTTAATTCTTGTTAAAAAAGCTATTTAGCAAGACATAAATTTTCTTTGTTGGTGAATAATTAAGTATGGGTATTCCATTGGGTTCATTTTAAATATGTAGTTTGTTGTGAAACATGTGGTTCAAATACATGACAAAGCACTCCTAAAACTAAAACCTGACAATAGCCACTGTACCTTCCAAATTTTAGACATCTTTTGAGATTACTTGTTTTGTCGCAAAAAAAAAATATATATAAAGTTAAGGCTGGACTGGCTAAGTATGCAGCCTTAAATTTTAAATTACATACAGTTGCAGTCCATACCCCAGTACCACAACATGGAATTTTTTTTGCACCATGGATTTCACTGGTGTACCTTTTTTCTTAAACGGACTCTGTTTTTTAGAAATGGTTGATACCAGTTTTTTGGGGACAGCTACCTGAAGTTCCTGCACATAACCTGTTGTATGTCTTCTTAAGCAATTTTTTTTTTTTTTTGTGCACTGGTTACAGTACAGGGTAATAATGGTAAAAGAAGCTCGAGTACAGAATGTAATGAGTGATGGAAAATTACATTGGAGGGTGAATGAGGCATCAGATAGCCACTCCTTGGTAAGAAGTTAAGAAAACTCGTTCTTTTTAGTTCCTTCCCTGGCATTCACTATTACAAATCAAGTTGCATTCTTAAGTAAAATCTGTTTGAGGATGGCCAAAGGGGATTTTAATATTAATTTAAAATGCAATATATTCCTTAACATGCAAGTTTATAATAGTATTGTATTGTTGAATATTATTGGAAGAGCCAAGAAATATAATAATACTGCATTTTTGACATGTACAATTTTATAAAAAGAATAATTTCTGGACTGGTTGAATTATGCTCAACGGTGCTACTGTCATTCCTCATCTAAGTCTGAAAATCATAGAGAACAGCATTCTAGGGCCTGATGGCACTGGATCTGTAAAGGTGTGACCTGAATCACGTTAAAAATACTGAATACAGAAAGTCATTAAGGTTTAAATATATTTATACCTAAATAATGCCGCATTTCTTATTGGATTCAGATGACCAGAGCAGACAAGTGACTCTATAAAAAAAATTCCAATGTGTAAATAGAATGTGCTTTATGTTAATAGTAACATTAAGCACTTTTTTTTTTACATGTGGAAAGTGGTTTTTATGGAGTTCTTCAATACAATATGAATAATTAGATTGGTTTGAAGATTATGCTGTATACAAAAACAAAATGGTGGAAATATAGGATTTTTTAATCCATTTAATTTCAACACCAGTAATAGCTTGAGCACTACATGTATGACATGTATGACAGTGGTACCCCGAGTTTCGGCCACCTCCCAACTCGAACAGTTATATAAGTGTATTATTGTAAGTGCTTTTGTAAGTGTATTTTGGGGGTCTGAAATGGACTACTCTAACATTATTCCTTATGGAAACAAATTCGTTCGGTAACGGCACCCGAACAGCCTTCTGGAACGAATTATGGTCAAAACTCGGGGTTCCACTGTACTTTACTTTGTCTAAAGCAGAACAACCTATTTACTGGGTCCTGCAACTTAGCCAACATATAGTTTTAGAGAAAAACAGAAGTTACTCCAGTCAGAGAAATTTTAAGAGTTTGGTTTATATACTGCTCATAATCTGAGCATAATTAATCTAACGTGTCAAATTTAATTGACTTGTGTGTAATATTTAAATGGTTATTGAGTTATTACATGCTTGTTCCAATTTTGTGTTAAAAATAAGAAGCAGAATAATGACCCGTTTTTCTAAGCATCGTTTGGGTTAGACATGACTTGTTAGTTTAACAAAAACTGTAGTACTACTGTCTTGTATATTGCAGATTCATAGCTACCTTAAAACAACGTTACACACAAAGCAATGGACGCCGACCGTTCGGTACATCTTGTTTAATTGCTGGCTTTGATATGGATGGAACTCCTCATCTGTATTTAACAGATCCCTCAGGCACTTACACAGAATGGATGGTATGTGATAATTATGTAGTATATAAACTTCCTTGTACATGGCTTCACTGTTTCTTTATTTTTCAATCAAAATAGTTGTCCTCTTTATTTTGTGTAGTATTTACTACTGATAAGTTCATTGGTATTGTGATGATTTTTGTGCATTTAAATTGCAAATAAGGAAGGGTTGGAAGAAGTGTGTGGAAGTTTGAGAAGTAGAAGTTTGATCGTCCATGAACCATGTAAAATTGGAGTGGAGAAACGTTGTTTTCGGTGACTTGATATCCTGTTAGAGTGTGAGCATGTTAGCATTGTACCAATGAAAGAATTCAAGGAAATCATAAAGTTTGAAGTTAGGAGGTACAGTACATGCACTTTGGAATATAAGGTGGGCTGTTGCAGTTCACTGGGTCATGTCTGTGCACTTCTGGAGACTGCTTAGGGGGTGAGTGGTGGCAACTACTACTACTATTATTTTTATTATTATTCCTCGGGTCACCCTACTTTGGTGGTGAAATGGCTAATTTGTTAAAAATATATATATATTAGGTAGTAGGTTGGTAGACAGCAGCCGCTCAGGGAGGTACTACCATCCTATCAAATGAGTGTGAAACATAAGCCTATAATTGTTTTGCATGAAAGGAGGATTGCTTTTTCTTCTATCTCATAAACATGCAAGGTTGCAGGTATGTCTTGCTACTTCTACATACACTTAGGTCACACTGCACATGCATGTACAAGCATATATATGCTAACCCCTCTGGGTCTTCTTCTGTTTTCTTCCTAGTTCTTGTTTATTTCTGCTTATCTTCATGGGGAAGTGGAACAGAATTCTTCCTCCGTAAGCTATGCGTGTCGTAAGAAGCGACTAAATGCCGGGAACAGCGGGCTAGTAACCCCTTCTGTATACATTACTAAAAACAAGGAAAAGAAAAACTATAAAATTGGGATGTTTGAATGTGCGTGGATGTAGTGCAGATGATAAAAAAGAGATGATTGCTAATGTTATGAATGAAAAGACGTTGGATGTCCTAGCCCTAAGCAAAACAAAGCTGAAGGGGTGGCGAGTTTCAGTGGGAAGAAATAAATAGGATTAAGTCAGGAGTATCTGAGAGAGTTAGAGCTAAGGAAGGGGTAGCAATAATGTTGAAGGATCAGTTATGGAAAGATAAGAGGGAATATAAATGTATAAATTCAAGGATTATGTGGATTAAATTAAGGGTTGGATGTGTAAAGTGGGTCATAATAAGTGTGTATGCACTTGGAGAAGAGAGAAGTGTAGAGGGGGGAGAGAGATTTTAGGAGATGTTAAACGAGTGTGTAGGAACTTTTGAGCCAAGTGAGAGAGTAATTGTGGTAGGTTACCTAAATGCTAAAGTAGGAGAAGCATTTAGAGAGGATGTGGTAGGTAAGTTTGGGGTGCCAGGTGTAAATGATAATGGGGAGCATTTGATTGAACCTTGTATAGTAAGGGGTTTGGTTATTGGTAACACATATCTTAAGAAAAAGAGGATAAATAAGTATACAAGATATGAGGTAGGGCAAAATGGCAGTAGTTTGTTGGACTACATATTGGTAGATAAAAGACTGTTCGGTAGACTTCAGGATGTACATGTTCATAGAGGGGGCCACAGATATATCAGATCACTTTTTGGTTGTAGCTACAGTGAGAGTAAAAGGTAGATGGGATACAAGGAGAATGGAAACAGCAAGTATGAGAGAAGTGAAGATTTATAAACTAAAAGAGGAGGCAGTAGGGTAAGATAAACAACTATTGGAGGATAGATGGGCTAGTGTGAGTATAGGCAATGGGGTAGAAGATGTATGAGGTAACTTTAAGAATATAGTGTTAGTGCTTAGCAGAAGTTTGTGGTTATAGGAAAGTGGGTGCAGGAGAGAAGAAGAGCAGTTGAACAACCATGTGTATTACTATTTGTGTGGTATATAGATTCCAAATAGGTATGTTCTTATAAGTAGTACAGCAGGCCCTGCGTTACGACATTCACTAATGCAGTGGTTTTCAGTTACAGTGAAACCTCAGTACTCGAACTTAATTCATTCCATTAGGCTGTTCGAGTGTCAATCTGTTCGAGTACTGAACTAATTTTTCCCAATCAATTTTCTTTTTGGTTGACTGTTATCACTAATCTTAGGCCCCATGGTGACTTATTTGTACAAACATAAGTGCCAAGTGCCAAGCAAATTGTAGACTACCAAGCTATTTTTTTTTTTTTTTTTTTTTTTTTTTTTTTTTTTTTTTTGCCAAACAAAGCATTCGAATACCAAATTGTAAGAGTAGAGAGCTGTTCGAGTACCGAGGTTCCACTGTATACCCATTATTCACAACTTCCTACAATAAATATATTCGCCACTCATTAATAGCTAAGGACAAAAATATTTAAATAATGTGTGTACTGTATGTGCATTTTTTAAGCCTAGCTCTACTTCTCAATTAATATATGATTGTGTAAACATGTTTTCAGGCTTTCATATGCACTTGAAAGTGAAAATAGGCTGTTTCACTTTCACAGCAATTTTTGCTTTATAGCTGAAGCCCAGAACCTAACCTGCTGTATAAGGAGGACCCTACTGTACACATTTTGGAAGCTACTCATATCAAGGGTAATTTTAGGTGGTGGTGCAGTTACCCCCTCACATTGCACAGATGCCCCATTGTACGGTACATGAATTTTCACATTATATTGAATATCTGACCATTTGATTTTCTTTGTTTTAGGCAAATGCTACTGGTCGAAGTGCTAAAACAGTCCGGGAGTTTTTAGAAAAGCATTACACAGATGAAGCCGTTTCTACAGAGGAAGGAGCCATTAAGTTAGTGGTGCGAGCCCTTCTTGAAGTGGTTCAGTCAGGAGCAAAGAATGTGGAGGTAGCCATCATGAAACCTAATGAACCAATGAAGGTGAGATAGTTTGCATATGTTACCCTTTGTTGTGTCGTTTACTGTTAACTATTATAAATATATTGTAATTTTTATTTTCGTTGATATAAGTTTTCTGATAAGCTTGTAATATGATGGTAAATTTTTCTTTTGTAAATAGGTCAGTTGTTAATAGCATTCGTAAACAGTACAGTAGAACCTCAGTACTCAAACTTAATTCATTCCAGAAGGCTGTTCGAGTGTCAGTCTGAGAATCGAATTAATTTTTCCCAACCAAATTTCTTTTTGGTTGGCTGTTATCACTAATCTTCATAGGCCCCATAGTGACTTATTTATACAAGTATAAAAAACATCAAAAAATGCTAAGAAACGTGAAATGGTTTACAGTGAAGTTCTGGCAGGTCATGTTTGTTTGGTCGAGTCCCAAGCCTTGTTCAAGTGCCGAGGTTCCACTGTACATAAATTAATCAAAATATTGAAAAAAATGTTATTTCAGATGCTGGATATAGGCAGTCTGGAAAAAATTGTAGCAGAAATTGAAAAGGAGAAGGAAGAAGAAGCAGAGAAAAAGAAGCAGAAGAAGTAAACAAATTTTCTAGTGCTCTAGTACATTTAATTTTTGTCACATGCTGTTCTTTCATTTTGTTATATTACAGTGATTACTAAAATGAGGTGTTTCTCATTTTCCAGTAAAGGGACACTATAGATTTCTTTCATTACTCCTAACAATTTTAACATTTTGCAATAAAAATTTAGCAGCAATACATGCGCTATCAAAATTTTTCATAGGCTAGAAATGTAATTGAAAATAATGCTAAGTCACAGAGTCTTTGAAGCTGAATAACTTATATGGGTTTAGTGCACATGTTCTCCCTACACTACTGTCTACTTCACATTACAGAAGTGTTTCACATTACAGAAAAGTGGACAGCTCAATTGAGATTCCTGTTGGTGTTATACCTCAGGAATATAATAATACAACATTTTAGTTTAATATTTATTTATTAAAACTAATTTTGCCATTGAAAATGTAAAAGGTAACTTTTTTTTTTTTTGCGTATTAAATAACCATACCCTTCAATGGAGGTTCATTGATGCTGGTGGGGGACTGTTGATCAAAGGTATGTATTGCTCCTGTTCTTCCCTTTAATCAAACCTTACTACCACCCATTTCTCAGGCATTCTATAAACCATATAAAATGGTGTCCCGTAAATAATAAGGTACTGCCTTTTTTACACAGGCGACAATACTGTACATTCAATATAGTAAATAGTACAACAAAATGAATTTAGTTTTTTGTGAATACATGTATAATAACAGTGTACAGTAAAGGTACTTGTACATATGGGATATATGTAGCTGTGCATTTTTTTATTAATGGTATGTCAGTCTTTTCATTATTAGTATGAAAATAACTTTTCAAAAATGTTTAGCAGAAGCTTTGTCAAGCAATAACGACTTGACAAAGTTCCTGGAGAGCAAAACATTGGCACAAAATGTCACATTATTTGCACTTGTCCTTTTACTTCATGTTGGTAAAATTACTGACAATACAAACTATTTCCCATACGACAGCACTAAAACCATGTGGGTTTAGCATTTTTTGTGACTGTAGTAAAATTATTAATGTTGACATCTTTGTATATATTATTGATATGGGATGTGGTATATTAACATAAGTTTGACAGGCAATGTCAGAAGTAAACAAGAGCTTAACGTGACTAAGCAATGCACATGTCATTCACAGTACCACTAATAATTTACTGTTCACCTGTACTAAAAGTCACCCAACACGAAAGAACTTATACAATGTGTAAAAAAAAAAAAAATATATAACAGTACACTAATTCAATTACTTGCTATAATATATATACATAGCATCAACAAATATATATGACTATTTTAAGTCTACCTTAGCAAGAATCATTTTGGTAAATAACAACTTACATTTACTGTTGCAATAACTTCACAAAAATTAAACTGTCCATGATAATATTAACACAGTATATCACAGAGGGTAACTCGATTAATTAAATTTAGGCTCTCCTTGGATTAGTTGAACAGGACTTTTTTTTTTTTTTTTTTAAATACATACATTATTTTTAATTGAGATCAGGTTAGGTTATTTAGTTTTGCTGAAAAATTTATGTACATACATTATTAATTCAAGTGAATATATCTCAGTATTTACAATTTAATATATATCTATGGCAGTTCAGCTTGTCTGAGTATATAACCAATAATACACATTAATGTACCTTAACCACTGTGTGCAGCTAGCAGGTGTTGAGGTACATATATAGACAATGTCTTCATTGAAACTGACATCTTTCTTGCAACTTCCTGCAGTATTGCTAAGCCTGTCATGACTTCATGGGATAAATCGGCAGACTTTCCAGCACTGTTATAAAAAAACAATACAGTAGTCAATGCATGGTTTTTACCTAGGACTGAATCACATATTGATAATTCCTGACTGTATTCTCGATGACATGAAACTATAGTACATTCTAAGTGTATTTGTGAACCTCTTATCAATCTGGAGGATTCCCAGACTAATGTGTTAACTGCTGTATCACGCTGATGTAAGAATAATCACAAACATGAGTGGGGTAGGTTGGACTATGCTACTAGTACCATAATGCTAGGAGGCTCTGGGCAAGATGTGAACTGGGGTCATAAGGAGCCACCATATCCCAGCTGGAACCCAATATGGTTCTGATTCTTTGAATTTGGTCATGTACTATTTAGAATATAGGCCTGTAAATCTTAAGTTTGATTCTTACAAGTACTCTTAGATTTCATTATTTTCTTTTTTTAATCAAGAGACTTAGGGAGGTTATGTAATTTTCTAATTTAATACAAATAAATATGGTGAAAAAAATTATAACAGGAAATACCTCAGTCATTATTTATAGCTTTACCGGAGCCTCTTGCTAGGCAACTACTTTTATTATGACAGAATTCGACCAGTGCTAACAAACAAGTAAAACATCTGTAATTAAGAATAAAGTTAGATGTATTTCCATGTTCCCAAGGCTACAAACAATTCACACAAAGAAAGGAAATTATTGGAAAAATGCATGATGTTGGAGGGCTATTATGGGAGTGCCATGCCAATAAGTTTTGGAGCTGGCATATAAATACATTATGAAAATAGAATGAGGCATCATATTTTAAGCTTTGTAACAATAGATTTATGACAAACACAATTACTTATAACATCTATGAGTTATGGTGTACGTAAGTCACTCCCTACCTACCTTGCAGCACTGTGAGCTGTATGGGAAGTAATGTACTGTGCCACCAGTTGGATGAATCTTAACGTGTTGTCTTGATGGAACTGCCGCAGCAGTGTAACTAGGCCAACTATGAGAAGCTCACCATCTATGCCCTCTGTTCCTCTGATGCCAATTAGTCCTCCTGAGACATTTACAATATTATCAGTCGAATCTCAGCACTAAAACTTATTCTGATACATCACAGATTTATTCTCTTCATAAAAGTTATCTAGATTTAAAACCAAAGCATTCATTGCTGATAAATTTAACAGCAAATAAGCTTTGACTATTTAAAGATTATTTCTACATAATTTAGTAGCTTAAAACTATATTTAAACAATTAGATACTGAATTAGTTGCAGATGGGTGATCTAGGTAGTTGTCTCCAACAACAATGTTTCTCAACATATCTGAACTGCACTGGAAGCAGGAACAAATAAGAGCAGAACTAGGGCAGTTGTATGACCCTTGTGGGTTTAGCATTAGTTTTAATTGTAATAAATGATTATAATCTGCTACCCTATGTACAGCAGATGGTGACTAAAAGCACTAATAATGTAATCACACCAGCTTACCCAGTGACTTAGTATAATGTATTTTTGGAATCTGAGCAACCACAGTGAGGAGGAGGATTGTGCTCAGTGCTGGCAATGCACAAGTGGTGATATAGATCTTGTCCAGAGGCTGAGTCATTCCACACCACTCGAGGAAGACACTCAGCTCATTTGTGAGTGCTCCATCATCATCAGGATACGGTCGAGTGGGATCAGAATAGTGCTGTTTCACATCTGTCATGAGTGATCTGGAAATTAAAAAAAAAAAAATTAATTTACTCTCATGACAGAAGTTTCATTAGCAACACACACAAACAAGAAGCAATTCTATGTAAAAATTTATCTTTTGAAAGCAAGTTCTTTTAAATTTATATTAGATGCATTAAAGATCCCCCAATCAAATCTAACTGTATCCCTTACTGGGAGCTACTCTGAATATACTTCCTTCAAGGACAGATCCAATTCCTTGGATCTGTCCTCCTCCTTCCTTGGAACAAACCTGATTGCCTCCCATTCCCCAGGTGCTGTATGAACCCTATAGGTTTAGCACTTCCTCATAATAATAATGAGACAATCTAAACAGTGAGTAAAGACAGTAAACTTTATGTCCAGGAATAAATGACCATTATGAGAATAAACAGTGAAGAATTACTGTGCATTTCTTCAAACAGGATTAAAATAATGTAGATTATATGTAGTGGATGAACATACTTTAGGAAGACTGTGCATGGATAAGACAATGCATAGTGTACTATATGCACATATAGATAGTTTATTTAGAAAAAGCTGACATGAAACTAAATATAAATTTCTCACCAGTGTTATAGTGCAAAAACTACAAAGTAAAATTAACAAAAAAAGCATTGAGAGGAATGATATTAACAGACACTTCAAGAAAACTTACTCATTCATGGTGTGGAGAGCAGCAGCAAGATATTTTGCATCAAATTTACAGGAAGAATTGAGATGATTGGCTGCATGTAGTCTCAAGATCTGCATCTGACCAACACGCATAATTCGGTCAGTTAAAGAAGCAGACAACTTGCTGGTGCGTTGAACCCATCCAGTGTACTGTCGCAGCGGCTGAGCTGTTAAGAAGTACATGTATATATCCATTCTATATAACATGCATTAAACACAGTGTAGTATTACAGTTTTCTTTATTTTTTTTTTTTTTTTTTTTGTAAATATAATACAGGTCTCCTCAACATTCATGAGGGTTAGGGGATCAAGAGCCTTGCGAATGTTTGGTGCCCCAATATATTGTAGGGAAATATAATACAATACTGCTTCCTTAACTTGTCGAACCATGAACAATCATAAAATACATGAAAACAGTCGTAAATTGTACTAAATACATACGTTATGGCTTAATAACATGTATGTTATTGAATACCAATGCCTCCACCACTGTGAGTCCCTACTACCCTCCCTCTGACCTCCCACAACTGGCAGCCAGCCCTCCCACCACTGTGTGGTGAGTGTTTTGTTTGTTCATTATTTGCTATTAAACTACAGTATAAATAATGTCAAGCCATTTATGACTGCATATTGGAATGGCTATTTCGGACAGGTATTAGATGGTGACATCATGTGTTTACTCTTGAACACAGCAAAGAATCAAACATTTCTGCTACTGCTAATAATAATAATAATAATATTAATAATATAATAATAATAATAAATACAATAGAACTGAAGAAGGAAATTGTACAAAAATACGAGGCTTGATGCAGTGATGGAGGAAGTGGTTGAAGCATCGTCAGTGTGGCTTTGTTTATGCTGGAGTATTAGTCTCCGTGCTCTTCCAAACATTTCACAATAATTCATTGTATTTGGTGCTTGTAGATTGAGTGTGACTGGAGTGTTGCAGTGTAGAGGCAGTTATAGAGGCAGTGGGTGAGGCAGTGGGAGAGCAGTGGGTGAGGCAGCAGTTAGGTAGTGTAGAGGCAGTGGTAAAGGCAGTGGGTGAGGCAGAGGGTGAGGCAGTGATAGAGGCAGTGGTAGAGGCATGATAGAGGCAGTGATAGAGGCAGTGGTAGCAGAGGCAGTGATAGAGGCAGTGGTAGAGCAGTGGGTGAGGGCAGTGGTTTAGTAGAGGCAGTGATAAGCATGTAGAGGCAGTGGTGAGCAGAGGGTAGGCATTATAGAGGCAGTGTAAGCAGTGATAAGAGTCATTCATAGAGGCAATGGGTGAGCAGTGTAGGGCAGTAATAGAGGCAGTGGTAAGGCTCTAGTGGTGAGGCATATGTGGTAGAGCCAGTGATAAGTCATGTTAAGCATGTGGTGAGGCAGTGTTAGAGTGCGTGATAGATGCAGTGGGAGAGGCATTGGTATTTACTACCATATTAATGTTTAATCATAAACTGTACATGTTAAAATTAAATACATACATCAATAAAAAAATAATAATAAAATAATAAAATAATAAATTATTCATAATTTACTTTATTATTTATAATATAATGTTATAAATACACGCCTCTACCACTCCCCTACCACTGCTCTACCCCTGCCCCACCCCCTGCCTCACCCATGCCCCAACTGCTGCCTCTACCACTGCCTTACCACTGCCTCATAACTGCCTTTTCCCCCTGCTTCTATAATGCCTCTACCCCTGCCCTATAACTGCCTAACCCCGCCTCTTAAAAGCCTCTATAACTGCCTTACCACTGCCCCTACCAACCCGCCCCACCACTGCCTCTACCATGCCTCTACCACTGCCTCTACCACGCCTCTACCACGCCTCATCCACTACCTAACCCACTGCCTCCCCCACCCCTTTACCACTGCCTCAACTGCTGCCTCACCCACTGCCTCAAAAAACTGCCTCAACCACTCCAGTCACACTCAATTACAAGCACCAAATACAATGAATTATTGTAAAATGTTTGGAAGAGCAAGAGACTAATACTCCAGCATAAACAAAGCCACACTGACGATGCGTCAACCATTTCCCCTCCACCACGCTTCAACCCTCGTATTTTTTTTACAATTTCCTTCTTCAATTCTATCGTAATTTATTATTATTTTTTATTTTTTTTTTTTTTTTTTTTTTCAAACAAGTCGGCCCGTCTCCCAAACGAGGCAGGGTGACCCAAAAAAAAGAAAGAAAATCCCCAAAAAGAAAATACTTTTTCATCATCATTCAACACTTTCACCACACTCACACATTATCACTGCTTTTGCAGAGGTGCTCAGAATACAACATCTAAAGCAATACCCCATATAAAGATACACAACATATCCCTCCAAACTGCCAATATCCCAAACCCCTCCTTTAAAGTGCAGGCATTGTACTTCCCATTTCCAGGACTCAAGTCCGACTATATGAAAATAACCGGTTTCCCTGAATCCCTTCACTAAATATACCCTGCTCACACTCCAACAGATCGTCAGGTTCCAAGTACCATTCGTCTCCATTCACTCCTATCTAACACGCTCACGCACGCTTGCTGGAAGTCCAAGCCCCTCGCCCACAAAACCTCCTTTACCCCCTCTCTCCAACCCTTTCGAGGACGACCCCTACCCCGCCTTCCTTCCCCTATAGATTTATATGCTTTCCATGTCATTCTACTTTGATCCATTCTCTCTAAATGACCAAACCACCTCAACAACCCTCTTCTGCCCTCTGACTAATACTTTATTAACTCCACACCTTCTCCTAATTTCCACACTCCGAATTTTCTGCATAATATTTACACCACACATTGCCCTTAACAGGACATCTCACTGCCTCCAACCGTCTCCTCGCTGCTGCATTTACCACCCAAGCTTCACACCCATATAAAAGTGTTGGTACTACTATACTTCCATACATTCCCTTCTTTGCCTCCATAGATAACGTTTTTTGACCCCACATATACCTCAACGCACCACTCACCTTTTTTCCCTCATCAATTCTATGATTAACCTCATCCTTCATAATCCATCCGCCGACACGTCACTCCAAGTATCTGAAAACATTCACTTCTTCCATACTCCTCCCCCCAATTTGATATCCAATTTTTCTTTATCTAAATCATTTGACACCCTCATCACCTTACTCTTTTCTATGTTCACTTTCAGCTTTCTACCTTTACACACATTCCCAAACTCATCCACTAACCTTTGCAATTTTTCTTTAGAATCTCCCATAAGCACAGTATCATCAGCAAAAAGTAACTGTGTCAATTCCCATTTTGAATTTTGATTCCCCAAAATTTAATCCCACCCCTCTCCCGAACACCTAGCATTTACTTCCTTTACAACCCCATCTATAAATATATTAAACAACCATGGTGACATTACACATCCCTGTCTAAGACCTACTTTTACCGGGAAATAGTCTCCCTCTCTTCTACACACCCTAACCTGAGCCTCACTATCCTCATAAAAACTCTTTACAGCATTTAATAACTTACCACCTATTCCATATACTTGCAACATCTGCCACATTGCTCCTCTATCCACTCTATCATATGCCTTTTCTAAATCCATAAATGCAATAAAAACTTCCCTACCTTTATCTAAATACTGTTCACATATATGCTTCAATGTAAACACTTGATCTACACATCCCCTACCCACTCTGAAACCTCCTTGCTCATCCGCAATCCTACATTCTGTCTTACCTCTAATTCTTTCAATTATAACCCTACCGTACACTTTTCCTGGTATACTCTGTAAAAATTGTAGAGGAATAAGTTTACTATCTCTTTTGTCCCCTTTCCCTTTATATAAAGGGACTATACATGCTCTCCGCCAATCCCTAGGTACCTTCCCCTCTTTCATACATTTATTAAACAAAAGTACCAACCACTCCAACACTATATCCCCCCTGCTTTTAACATTTCTGTCATGATCCCATCAGTTCCAGCTGCTTTACCCCCTTTCATTTCATGTAATGCCTCACGTACCTCCCCCACACTTACATTCTGCTCTTCTTCACTCCTAAAAGATGGTAAATCTCCCTGGCCAGTGCATGAAATTACTGCCTCTGTTTCTTCCTTAACATTTAAAAGTTCCTCAAAATATTCTCGCCATCTACTAACTCCCCTACTCTGTTTTTAACTGACAAATCCATACTTTCCCTAGGCTTAACTTGTTTAACTCACTCCATTTCCTTTATTTGTCATTTTGTGTTACTAGTCACATTCCTGTAATGCCTCTGATTTATTAATAAGCTACTATATTTCTATTTGCACCAAAAATTTTGGGCTATTACACTCAGAAACTCTGATAAGAAATATATGATGGACTTTCTGTATCGTAATTAATGCAACTAAAATTAACTCCACTAAAAAAATTTATATATATTCTATACCTATATAGATAATGTCTTTATATGTGGAAGCACGATTCATTCATGCATCTGAGAATTCTTTGAAAGGTTATGCATCAAATTATTTTGTGGTACTAACCAACTACTTGGGTGTTGGGACTGAGCTGGGGTGATATACCTCTCAGTACCTCCTTCACTCCAGCATCTTTCTTGCATGTTACCTCTATTTCACGAACCAAGTTCTGTAAAAAATCATGAAGGTCGCTACATTTATGCTTTGTGTAATTTAAATATTCTTATTTATTCCTCCATTACAAGATTTTAAATGATGCTATGTCATTTTTTATGGCAAGTTTCAACAGTTTTCCTTGTAAAAAATATCTAATCATTGGATTAAACATATCCTGAGATCCAAACTTCTCAAAAGGCTTTATAATATTCATCATAATAAACAGCAGGAACACAACAGACAATACAAAAAAATGAAGTGATAGAAGAACCTAAACAAATATCATAGTAGTAAATAAAGATGTGATATGAGTCAAGAATATAAAAACAATTACACATTTTACTATTTTTTTTTTTTTTAGCACACTGGCTGTCTCCCACTGAGGCAGGTGACCCAAACAGAAAAACATTTTTTTTTTTAACATGTCAGCCGTTTCCCACCGAGGCATGGTGACCCCCAAAAAAAAGAAAACCCCAAAAAAGAAAGAAAAAAGCTCTTATCATCGTTCAACACTTTCACCATCACTTATACATAATCACTGTCTTTGCAGAGGCGCTCAGATACAACAGTTTAGATGTCCCTCCAAACTGCCAATATCCTAAACCCCTCCTTTAAAGTGCAGGTATTGTACTTCCCATTTCCAGGACTCAAGTCTGGCTAAGCAGTTTACCTAAATCCCTTCATAAAATATTACCCTGCTCGCACTCCAACAGCTCGTCAGGTCCCAAAAATCATTTGTCTCCATTCACTCCTATCTTACACGCTCACACATGCTTGCTGAAAGTCCAAGCCCCTCGCCGACAAAACCTCCTTTACCCCCTCCCTCCAACCTTTTCGGGGCCGACCCCTACCCCGCCTTCCTTCCCCAATAGATTTATATGCTCTCCAAGTCATTCTACTGTTTTCCATTCTCTCTAAATGACCAAACCACCTCAACAGCCCTCTTCAGCCCTCCTGACTAATACTTTTAGTAACTCCACCTCCTAGCCCCTTGCTCCTGGCATTTTAGTGACCTCTTACGACACACATGGCTTATGGAAGAAGGATTCTTTTCTGCTTCCCCATGGAGACATTTTACTAATTCTTACAAATTAGATGCATTAGTTCCAACAGTGATGAACATCTGTCAGCACAGACAGAAGCAAGTAAAATAACAGCCAAATCATGAGAAGCAAATTAATATTTGCTAGAGCACTAACCTGTAGCTCAGTAACAATAAGAAAAGCTAGCAGTCTATCCATGCCTGTCAAGCCAGCTGTGCTGATGCTTGATTCAACCTTTGCCATAACAGAGCTGGAAAGCACCTCTGCATGGGTCTTGCTGTCATACCATGTGCCCAGCTGAGACACGTACACTGTAGTTCTGCACAGTCAAGATACATAAATACTGATTTAGTTACTAAATTACCTGGGGAATGGGAGGTAATCTGGTTTGGTGTGAGGAAGGAGAATATTAACATTTCAATAAAAAGTAACTGAAAATAATATGCATACAGTTTTAATTATTTTAAAGTTAGAAAACACCTCAGTTTACCTCAATAGTAAATACGTATGCTAAAAATAAAAAAAGAAAACTCTGACAATCTTTGACAATAAACAACTATCTAAATATTACTGTACTGCTTTTGGCATGCATACTGCAAAAATATCATAGTGATACTTAAAAAGAAAATAATGTACACTACATCAACATACAGCACTTACTTTGGGTCAGTAATTCGCAGAATCTCCCGCACAAGTCTGCCAATAAAGTTTACCGACTGAGAATCCCCTGATGGGAACTTAGGAATGGGTATGGCCACACTCTGGTAGATGCTTTCATGGTCAGAGATCTTCTTTTTTAATAGTTGATTACATTCCTAAAAGAAAACTAATTTTTAGGTATCTGATTATTTTTGCGGTAAATAACATGTGGCAATCTAATAAGTAAAAAAATATTTGCAGGTCATTCATTATTGCAGCTTTTTCAGCTGGACATTTCAAGACAGAGAGGGAGACTACTTCCCGGTAAAAGTAGGTCTTAGACAGGGAAGAGACTGTTTGGTGAGAAAAAAACATACTTAAAGTGTGTATGGGAGAAGGAAGTGAACTGTAACTGACAGCTTTTTCTAGTATACCTGTGGATCTAACACTTGCAGACCTTGTTACTTAGTTTAGTTAGATATAGCTTGGCCTGTCAACTTAGCTGAAAGTGTTATGCTATGACATCTGCATCAGAATTTCATTCTTACTTGTAGAATTCTCATTAAGAGACACTACTCCAAGAATTTACAGGTGATAGGTAAAAACAATGAAAATAAAAACTATTTACAGTAAACTTTTTAAAAAACCATGACATTATTATATATATATATGTACAGTATTTTATACAAAGAAATTATAATACTGTACCTGTATTCTAAATTTCTTTATTTTTTTTTTTTTTTTTTTATAAAAAATAAAGAAATTTAGAATACAGGTACAGTATTATAATTTCTTTGTATAAAATACTGTACATATTTTTAATGATTTATAAAAGATTAAACAAATTTGATTAGTACCTTACCTGTTCAACATTATAGTTAACAATACGTGACAGTTCTTCCTGCCAAATTTTCAGTCCATACATGCTGATGTAATCTTGAATGTACTCAAATGATATTCGAAAACCTGTCATTTTCTGCCCAACAAGTGTGAGTCGTTTATATAATTCACTGCCCTGTAAAAAAGTAAAGATTGTAAAAAAAAAATATTCAAAATATTAAGAGTTAAATATTCACCCACATTACCAAGATGATCAAAACAAGAGTCATCAGTCTCTAATCCCAGCATATCTCATATGCAAACAATTCATGTAATCTTTAATGGTCCTCTCTCTCTCTCTCTCTCTCTCTCTCTCTCTCTCACTCTTTCCTCTTCCTCTTCCTCCTTTCCCCATCCTCTCTCTCTCTTTCTCTAGCTCATTTTCCATCCCTCAGCGGACATTTAATTTTTTTTATACTTCAACAGCTGTCTCCCACTAAAAAAAATTAAAAGGAAACTCATTCACCATCATGCATTCAATGGCTGAGTTGATAAAAGTGTGATGATATAATTCAGATGACCTTCCAACTGCAACATCCTCGCCCCTCCTGCAGAGTCGAGGCACAGCCCTTCCCACTTCCTTACATATATGTTTACAACTGCCAATAATCCACATGGATACCAACCTTCACCTTTGTGTTGAATGTAAGCCCATCATGTAATATTTGTGCAACCAGAAACACAAGTTCTCGACGCACTCCATCCTCCAGCAGTCTTCGAGGGTCTACCTGGATCACACCCACCAGGGTCGTCTCCATCATTGCCACACCCTCTGCCAGCACAGCAACACTGTGGCTAAGCTCTGCCATCTATCAGTACATAAATAAACTCTTATGCAGGAGTGGCTCTAGATGTTTTATACAAGAGGGACTCATGGGTGGCAATTTGGTTAGAAGAGAGGGCAGGGAAACCTGTCTTATTATTATTTATATGTAAGGCATGTTTTGGGGGTACTAAAGGAATTGTGGAGGGATTTAGCACCTCCTTGATGCTTCCCCTGTTCTTACAATTGTGTAAATAGATGTAATCTGTCAGTAACAAGGCAATCATCTAAATTATGCTCAGCATTTTCCCAATTTCAGAAGCCTTGTAACATAATGGTTCCCAATTTCTTTCCACTAACCACATCCAGACACTGTAAAACATGAGAATGTGCAAAGTCATGAGAAAATACTTCATCATATATATGTGGAAAAGAAAACTGAACTACTAAATCCAACTGATTTAACATTTAACAATAGTAAATAATTAAAAAGAACGATTTTTTGAGTTATGCAAAAGTATCATACTGTTTAGTAGTAATGACTGTGGTGGCATCATCATCAGTATTGTTATTACAGTACATCATCATTGTCCATGGTGTGTTATGCAGGAGTATTCATTCTATTACAACCAAAATTATAATACAAAAGACAGGGAGTATTATACATATGAAGGCTTGAAAAAATGTGTACTTTAGTCAATGAAATCTGTGCATAGTTACTGACAAAGTGTTCTAAAATATTTAAGCATCAAAGCAGAGGAAACTGTGGGAACTGCATATTCATTAAGAGCAAGGAATAATTCATCTTTAAAAAAGTACTAATAAGAGGTGGAGCAGGACGGCTCCACCTCTGTTAGTGTGACTTTGTCAATGGTCCAAGTCGGACCGAAACGTCGTCGTAAGCTTCTGTCTTTTATGTGCGGGTTATTTGTGTATCGTTCCAGTCACGGTATTGTGCCTTTTTGTTATTTAAGTACTAATAAGTACTAACATCAGGAATGATAAACATAACTGTACTCTACAGTGAAGCATTATCAGTAATGTTTTGATACATTCCATTCTAATACGAACTCTTAACAAAATAAATGATTCTGTTTAGTAAACCAATTAAACCACACTGTCAAGTGAAAAAATTGGTGGTTCGAATACCTGATATCTTTCTGGAAGCTGAGCAAATTCCCTCATTTTATCCTTGTCAAGACGTGTTGGCACCTCCTTTATCTTCTCAGTTTGAAGCCCGATAATCTTGGCCAGCAGACCAAACATTGTTTCAGGGATGATTTGGAGGACCTAAAATAAAACAAAAATTCAAAACTTATAACAATATCCACTCACCTGTTATAATTTTATTTAAACAAAGTCTGTAAAATATCTGAAAATATAGTTTTAAGACCCCAAACACATTAAGGAACAGTTTCAAAGTTTTTCTTCCATAATTTTTGTAGAATTCTGTATTAGCATTTTAACTTTTTTATATACAAAAGAAATTTCCGACATAGTATTTTAAGCTAATTGGATACTTGTATACACTCATATAGTGACAAAAATTACATAGGCACAGAGTTGTGAAACCGAGAAGCAGGCACATGGCTGTGTAACTTGAATCTGACTCTCTCTCTCCCCACTATTTCCATCAACACAATACAATATAGAGTAGCCATTTTTTTTAAGACAGGAAACAGAATCATAGTTAACAGGTAAAAACTTGACAAGGGACAACAAATAATGTTTTCTTTAGTACAGAAGAACTGAGAAAAAAAAATGGTAAATGAAAAAGTAGGTATATGCAGAGTATCTATATACATACCTCATCATTACAATCCCTGCTCTTACAGTGGATTTTGGTTATCTGAAGAAAACCCTCTCAATTGCACATTTAATTATTCCACACTATTCAAGTTTATCGTGAGCTTCTTTTGTTCACCTTTATTTCATCATATTCTTAAAATATACTCACTGTTCAGGTATACTCTCCAGGTGTGTATTCACATCATAACTGTTTAAGCTGAAAATTATCCATCCTATATTAACTTTCCTGTATTTTACTCAGTTCTGCTTTATCCATTATACCTTCCTGCTATCTTAACACAAACTAACCTAATGTACCAACTATGATTTCAATTTTATTCATGCACTCTCCCTTACTCTCATACACCCCAGCTCCTCATGTACTACCACCCTTCACACATTCCTACTTTTGCACAACTCTTCCTACTGCACTGTATAATCATTTTTGTTAATTAGTGCTTAAAGTGACTATAATAATATATCTTCTCAGTCTGAATAATGAATCACTTAACATTTAGAGATACACCAAAGAAAATTCTTAACCAAAATCTAGACAGATACAGGACAAGGTTGTTGTATCCATGCATAAAATGTAGAGACCTCTGGCTACTGCTCTGGAAAATCTTTGAAGAGAAAATGCTCAATAAAGAGAACAAAATATATAGAGCAAACATGTACCATTAAAGATTATATACTATTAGGCCATCTCCCTCCTACTGAAACAATGACAGCTCGTATCTCTAAATGTGAGAACATATAACTGCTTGCGCTCTCTCTCTCTCTCTCTCTCTCTCTCTCTCTCTCTCTCTCTCTCTCTCTCTCTCTCTCTCTCTCTCTCTCTCTCTCTCTCTCTCTCTCTCTCACTCTCACTCTCTCTCTCTCTCACTCTTACTCTCTCTCACTTTCTCTCTCTCACTCTCTCTCATTCTCTCTCACTCTCACTCTCTCACTCTCTCTCACTCTCTCTCTCTCTCTCTCTCTCCTCTCTCTCTCTCACTCTCTCTCTTCTCTCTCTCTCTCTCTCTCTCATTCTCTCTCTCTCTCACTCACTCTCTCACTCTCATTCTCTCTCACTCTCTCTTCACTCTCTCACTCTTACTCTCTCTCTCTCTCTCACTTTCTCTCTCTCTCACTTTCTCTCTCTCTCACTTTCTCTCTCTCTCTCTCTCTCTCTCTCTCTCTCTCTCTCTCTCTCTCTCTCTCTCTCTCTCTCTCTCTCTGTTAACCTGTTAACAAGAGGTCAGTAGGCATGATTACTACCTCCTACCAAAAGGTCACTGTACATCTCTCTCAATATTAACAAATCATGCCTTCTAACAACTTACTTTTCTGACGTAAGCAACCAACTCTCCAGAATAGTATGCAGAAACAGAGATTAGGTCAGGGCTGCGGGCTTGATTGATGCGCAACAAGGGAAGTTCCAGTCCTGATGACAGCTTTAGGAATGTGGCTCGCAACTTAGCCACATGGGAGGCATCTTTTTTTATAGCAGACTAACACAAAATGAAAAAAATAACCATTACATTTAGAAGAAAACTTTTGATTATTTGTAATGCATAAATAACTAGTAAACACAAAATCTGGAATTGAAAACTGTATATTTTAACCCTTTCACTGTTGGTGCCGTATAGATACGTCTTACGAGCCAGTGATGGTGACGTATTAATACCCCAAAATTCTAGCGGTTTCAAATCTAGCAAGAGTAAGCAGGTAGACCTACATGTGAAAGAGTGGATCTGCATGGTCAGTGTGCACAGTATAAAAAATATTCTGCAGCCTGCAGTGCTTAATCAGAAAAAAAAATCAGACTGTTTTTGGATTAAAATGCCAACTTTGAGGTGTATTTTTGTATTGTATTTATGGCTGTATTCTCATTTTCTTGGTCTCATTTGATAGAATAGAAGATACAGTAGAACCTCAAAAATCGAACTTAATCCGTTCCAGGAGCTAGTTCTAAATTCGAAAAGTCTGAAATTCGAAGCAATATTTCCCATAAGAAATAATGGGAATACAATTAATCCATTCCAGAAACCCAAAAATAATACATTTTATAGAGATTAATTACAGTTTTACATGCACACAACAAATGCTATAGTCTTTAATTATGTATAGTAATATAAAATAACATTTTTACTTACCTTTATTGAAGATTGGTGATGGCATCTGGAAGATAGGGAGGAGGAGAGAGGGAGTTGGGGTTATTGTTTGGAAGGAGAATCCCCCTCCATGAGGACTTCCGGTATCAAAGCCCTCTCTGGGGTTGCTTCCCTTCTCTGTATTTTAATGCCACTAGGACCAGCTTGAGAGTCATTGGACCCCAGTCTCACAAAATAACTGTCTACAGTCCACTGTTTCTGTCTCACAAAATAACTATCCACAATCGTCTGTTTGTCTCACAAAATAACTATCCACAGTCGTCTGTTTCTGTCTCACAAAATAACTGTCCACAGTCGTCCATTTCTGTCTCACAAAATAACTGTCCACAATCGTCTGTTTGTCTCACAAAATAACTCCACAGTCGTCTGTTTCTGTCTCACAAAATAACTGTCCACAGTCCTCTGTGCATCCTGGCAAGCTCAACAAGTCCCACTCCAATCTCATACTTCTGTATTATTTCCTTCTTCACATCTATGGTGTTTCTCACTTTCTTTACCACAGGGGTACCGCTAGCAAGTTTCTTTGGGCCCATGGCAGCTTATTTCACAGCCCCACAAGCACTGAACACAATTAAATAATCATAAAATGTGTGAATGAGATCGCAGGTTAGTGTTCACTCAAGCATAAACAAAGCTAGACTGCTCACGGCGCCTGCACGGGGACGCGGACAGAGCGGGCCAGCGGACAGGTCCCGTACCTGGCAGTCCGAAATTTGAAACGCGTTCGATTTTTGGTACACAGTTTGTCCGAAAAAATGGTCTTATTTTCGAAACGTTCGATATTTGATATGTTCGATTTTCAAGGTTCCACTGTATATCACAGAAATAGAGACGATTTTGATTGGTTTCATTATGAAAAGTACCTTGAAATTGAGCTCAAAGTAGCAGAAATGTTCAATTTTTGCCAATGTTCAAGAGTAAACAAATGATGTCACCGTCCAATACATGTCCAACAGGCCAGTCTAATAAGCAGTCACAGGTGGGTTGACATTATTTATACAATTATATAATAATGCAGTAGTCTGCATAACAGTAACTCTTCTATTCTTTGTGAGAATAAAAATGCAAAATGGAAAGCAAGAGGGGCCTGGAGATGTGACTAATGAACAGAGAAAATGTTATTTTAGTGCCAGGAATGTTTGCATTGCTTATTCTGGACCCTATTTTGAAATCAGCATCTTTTGAAATTGGCCAAACTGCCAATTTCTGACCACTTTACTGGGTAGCTGAAATCGGTAAATGGGCGGTTTCTTGTACTCAATCAATAGAACAAACGAGTGCTAAAGAATTAGCTATGAGTTTAGTCAACTGGAACAATGGAATTATCCGAAAATTGAGCTCAAAGTGGGCAAAATCGCCAATGCATGTATATATCGCCGAGACCACTAACTTCGTGAGACCATAATTTCATAAGTTTTCCATCAAATTTTGTACTTTTGTTGTCATTACCATTGGGAAAAGATTCTCTATCATTTCATAAGAAAAAATCTTTTTTTTTTCTGAAAATTCTTCAACACAGTATGAGTTCAGGATCAGGGGTCTCAACAGTGAAAGGGGTAATACTTCTTCTTTCTTCTTTCAATGCACCGGCTGCATCCCACTGAGATGGGGTGGCCCAAAAGGAAAACGAAAGTTTCTCGTTTTAAATTTAGTAAAACATACAGGAGAAGAAGTTACTAGCCCCTTGCTTCCATATTTTAATGCTATGTATATATCATAAAAAGTCATTACAGTGTAACAGAACATCTAATATATTCAGTCTGCAACTAACCTGCATGATGGGTGTGTATTCATCAACCAATATCCAGGCATAGGAGAGGTCAGAAATGAGAGAGAGGGTGATCAGATTGTCCTCTGTCACTCCTGCTACACGCACCAATGCTTGGAGGGCTGAAACAACCTCACCCACAGCCTGCACCACTCCTGCACTTGATTCCAGACCATGAAACTCTGAAGTAAAAAAATCACATACCACTTCAACAAAAGATGTAGTGGTGATAAATGGTATAAAACACCAACACGAAGGAAGAAAAAACACAAATGCAGTATAATATGATCCTTTATTGACTACTGTTCACCCACACAGTGACTTGATAAAGCCCACTGTGTGGGCGAAACATAATCAATGAAGGATTGCATTACACTGCATGTGTCTTTTTTCAAAACAATGTAGAATTTGTCCTTGAAGTTTAAGTAAATGCTGCAGAGCATGGCCATATTAAATACAGTACTGCAGTGTGTGCTTTTACTCTAGATCAAAAAATTGGCAAATTTTAGAAGTTGACAAGCAAGTTAAACCTGAGTTTTTCTTTGTTTATACTGCAAGTTATCGTAATGATCCTAGTAGTACACATCAAATATTCTACAGGTTACCAATATTCACATAAAATAAAGAACTTTGTAAAAAAACTAACAAGTCAACTAAAATAAATACAGCCGTGGACAACTAGAGCCTGTTTTTTGCTCTAAAACATTTAAAAAAAAACTTCAAAAATAGAAAATCGGGTGAAGATAATAAATAGAAAAAATTTTTTTAAAATTTACCTTTGTTTCTTTCAGTGCTTGATCAACTGAATAATTTTCCGGCCAGCAAGCCAGGGTCATAAAGGTTTAGACTCAAAATTTCTTCCCCTTTAAATTTTTTAACCATTTGCAAGCGGTCATTTTTAGCCACCCGAGCAAAGGGGCGATCCCTGCAAATACTTCTGCAAATTCTAGAACCATTTTTTGCACCTTTCTTTTAAAACCTTCCCCTGACTGACGGGTAACAGAAAAAAGGGATTAAGTTAAAAAGAATAAACGGATACAAATATGTATGTCTAGAGAGAGACTAACTTTTAAAATTTTTTTAAAATTTCTATCTCATTCCTTCATTCTCATTTAACTTAATAGCAAATAAAGACTAAGATTTTTAAATTTATGACGGAAAAAAATAATTTTTTATTACATTTAAAGAATGACAACACAAATGTAACCACTTACCCCCACTTTATATCCCTTAAACCAGTAATTTTCAAAAATAAACATCTTAATTTTAAATTTACATGTTTATTTAGCTATGTCCCTTTTCTTCAACAAGCCTTTGTTTCGGGTAAGGTCAGCTTCGGGGTGGCAGTGTTGAGCAAAATTTTTGAACACTACCTTTGGGGGATACTGCATTCATTACAACCTGAAATACAAAAAAAGTTTGCCTATTTATATTCACAGATAAAAAAACAAGTTAAATACCACCAATTTCTACCATATACCACTTCCCCCTCCTTTTTTTTAAACCCCCACCCCCCCATTCCATATATCTCTTTTTTTTTCAACACAGGGCCGTTCCCCCCAAAGGGCAGGGCCCCCAAAAAGAAAAAACAAAAGTTTCTCTTTTTAAATTTAGAAATTAATACAGGGAAGGGGTTACTCCCCCCTTGCCCCTGCCATTCATATACATGTATATTTATTTATTATTATTTTTTTTTTTTTATATCCACTCCCCGTTTTCCCCCCAAAGGGCAGGGGGGCCCCCAAAAAGAAAAATTTTTCACCATCTTTCACTCCATCACTGTTTTCCCAGAAGGGTGCTTTACACTACATTTTTAAACTGCAACAAAAAACACCCCTCCTTCAGAGTGCAGGCACTTACTTCCCTCCCCAGGACCAATCCGGCCTCCCGGTTTCCTAAACCCCCTTAAAAATTTACTTTGCTCACACCCCCCAACAGCCCCCAAAGTTTTAAAAAACCATTTGTTCCTTTCACTCCTACAAACCGCTCACGCATGCCTGCTGAAGCCCCAAGCCCCTCCCCAACAAAACCCCTTTAAACCCCCTCTCCAACCTTTCCTGGGCCCGACCCCTACCCCCCCCTTTCCTTTCCATACAGACGATACACTCTTAAAGTCATTCTGTTTGCTCCATTCTCCTACTCCCCAACCCCCTCAACAACCCTTTCCTCACCCCTTGGGACAACATTTTGGTAACCCCCGCCCCCCTCCTAATTTCCAAACAAAAACGAATTTCTGCATTATTTAAAACCACCTTCCCCAACATGACATCCCCACGCCTCCACCTTCCCCTCGCAGCAACATTCATCACCCATGCTTCAACCCATATAAACGTTGGTAAAAATATACTCTCATACATTCCCCTCTTTGCCTCCAAGGACAAAGTTTTTTGTCTCCACAGACTCCTAAGGCACCACTCACTCTTTTCCCTCATCAATTCTATGATTCACCTCATTTTTCTAGACCCTCCGCGACACTCCACTCCCAAATTTGAAAATTTTCACCTCCCCCAAACCCCCCCCCCCCAATCGGGGAAATTCAATCTTTACACCAATTTTTTTTGTTTTCCTCAAAACCTTACAATTTTCCTGTTTTTCACCTTAATTTTCTTTTTTGCACACCCTCCAAAATTCTCCCCCAATCTCTGCAACTTCTCTTCAAATTTTCCCCAAGAGAAACAGTGTCATCAACAAAGAGACGTGCAACCCCCACTTTGGTGTATTTTTTATCTTTTAACTCCACCCTTTTGCCAAGCCCCTCGCTTTTTACTTCCTTAAAAACCCCCATCTATAAATATATTAAACCCCACGGTGACATCACACATCTTGTCTAAGGCCTACTTTTACGGGGAAAAAATTTCCCTCTTTCCTACATACCTAACTTGACCCTCACTACCTTTAAAAAAACTCTTCACTGTTTTCATTTAACCTACCTTAATATAAATTTTTAAATTTTTATTTTTTTTTTTAAAAAAAAAAAAAAAAAAAAATATATAAAAATATATTTAAAAGTTTTATATATAAAATTTAATATTTATATTAGTTTTAATAAATAAATAGATATTTTATATTAATTTTAAAATTTATAAAAATATATAAATATTATATATAAAAGATATATATAAAATATATATATAAATTATTATTATAAAATTATATATATATAATAATATATTTAAATATTTTAAAATATAATAATATATAAAAATATATATATATTATAATATATATATAAAATATATATATATATTTTATATATATAATATAATTATATAAATATAAAATTTTAATATATATTATAAAATATATATATATATATATTTTTATATATATATATATATATAAATTTTTATATATAATATATATTATTTAAAATTTAAAAAAATTAAAAAATAAAAAAAAAATAAAATAAAAAATTAAGAAAAATAAAAAAAATAAATAAAAAAAAATAAAAATAATAATAAAAAAAAAAAATTTTTTTAAAAAAATAAAAAGAAATAAAAAAAAAAAAAATTTAAAAAAAAAAAAAAAAAAAAAAAATTTTTAAAATAATGGGGGGAAGGGGGTGAAAGGAAAAAAAGGGTTTTTAAAAACACCTTTAGTGTAAAAGTAACTTTAAATTTTTTTCAAAACCGGCCCCCTTTCCTGGAAGGGGAAGTCGTTGCCCGCCTCAAGGGAGGGGGAAATGTTGTTTTTTAAAAACTTTTAAAAGCCCCCGGCAAGACAGGGAGGAAAATTTGAAAGTTTTTTTTTTGGGGCCACCCGCGGGGGGGGAATCGGCCGGTGTGAAAAAAAAAAAAAAAAAAAAAAAAAAAAAAAAATACAGGGACCCCGGTTAACGATATTTTTTCATCCAGAATTTTTCAGGTGCCAAAAAACGACCGAATTTGTTCCCATAAAAAATTTTGTGAAGTAAAATTTCCATTTCAGACCCCCAAACATCAGAAAAAAACCCCTTACATAAATACACACATAATTGCGCATTGGGAGGTGATCGTTAGGGGGGGTCCACTGTGTTGTATATTTTTTAAATATATATATATATATATAATATATATATATATTAATATTTTAAAAATATAATAATTCCCTTTTCCCGGGGACTCAAGTCCGATATCGTTTTTGGGAATTGGCATTTTTGGGGGGGATAGTTTTTCTTTATACGTAATGCTCTAACTTTTTGTATTCTGAGCACCTCTCAAAAGCATGTAATTTGAGTGTGGTGAAGGTTGAATGAGATAAAGTATTTTCTTTTTGGGGATTTTCTTTCTTTTTTGGGTCACCCCCGCCTGGTGGGAGGGGGCCGCTTGTTGAAAAAAAAAAAAAATATATATTTTATTATATTTTTAAATATTATTTTATAAAAATTTTTATATATATAATATATATAATTTAATTATATATATATATATAAAAAAAAAATTTAATTTTATATATATTTACTTTACACAGGTAAGATTGCGGGGTGTCTTTTTTTTTTTTCGTCTCAACCAGCAAATTTCGGGTTGTCTTGCTCTTTACTTACACTTAGGTCACACTACACATATTTTAAAAAGCAAATAAACACCCCCCTCGGTTTTTCTTCTTTTTTCTTCTAGTTTTATTCTGTTTTATTTCCTCTTATCTATGGGGAAGGGGAACAGTTTTTCCTCCGTAACCCAGCGTGTTGTAAGAGGCAACAAAAAGCCGGAGCAAGGGGCTATAACCTCTTCTCCTTATATATTCTAAATGTAAAAGGAAAAAACTTTCGTTTTCCTTTTGGGCCCCCCCCGCCCCCGGGGGATAGGCCCGGGTGTGTTGAAAAAAAGAAAAAGATATAATTATATATATATTTATACTTTACCGAGGAAGATTGCTGGTGTCTTTTTTTTTAAATTGTTCATACACAGAAAGATTTCAGGTATTTTTTTTGCACTTTACTTAACTTAGTCACACTACACAACATGTACAACAAAATATATACACACCCCTTTGGTTTTCTTCTATTTTCTTTCTAGTTCTTGTTCTTTTTTTTTCCCTTTTACCTCCATGGGGAAGTGGAACGAATTCTCCTCCGAAAGCCATCTGTTGTAAGAGGCGAAAAAAATGCCGGGAGAAAGGGAGCTAGAAAACCCCTCCCCTGTTATATTACTAAATGAAAAGGAGAAATTTTGTTTTTCCTTTGGGGGCCCACCCCCCCCCCTCGGGGGGGAACCCTTTGGTTGAAAAAAGGGGAAAGAAAGATATAATACTTATTAATATTTGGGGAGTTGACATTGGGGGCGGATGGATTTATAAAGGAGAGGTTAATCATAGAATTGATGAGGGAAAAAAGGTAGGGTGCGTTGAGTATATGTGGGTCAAAAAACGTATCTAGGGGAGGCAAAGAAGGGAAATGTAAAAGTATATAGTACCAACACTCTATATGGGGTGAAGCTTGGGGAAAATGCAGCAGCGAGGAGACAGTTGGAAGCATGGAATTCCTTTTTAAAAGGGGCATGTGTGGTTAATTTTTATGCAAAAATTGGGAGTGGGAAATTTAAAAAAGGTGTGGAGTTAATAAAAGTATTAGCAAGGGCAAAAAGGGGGGTTGTTGAGGGGGGTTTGGTCATTTAGAGAGAATGGATCAAAGTGAATGACATGGGAAAAATATAAAATCATGGGAAGGAAGGGGGGGTAAGGGTGTCCCCAAAAGGGGTTTGGGGAGGGGGAAAAAAAGGTTTTGGGGCAAGGGGTTGGGTTCCCAAGCGGCGTGAGCGTGTTAATAGGGGAATGGGGACGAATGGTATTTGGGGGGTGACGATCTTTGGAGTTGAGCAGGGGAAAATTTTGTGAAGGTTCAGGAAACCGGTTATTTTCATATAAAGGAAAATTGAGTCCTGGAAATGGGGAAATACAATGCCTGCCTTTAAAGGGGGGGGTTTGGGGTATTGGCAGTTTTTGGGGGGATAGTTGTGTTTCTTTATATTGTTCTTTAGACTGTTTATTTTGAGCACCTCGCAAAAACTGTAATGTGGGTTGGGGAAAAATTTGAATGATGAGAAATATTTTTTTTTTTGGGATTTTTTTTTCTTTTTTTTGGGGCACCTCCTCGGTGGGGGCGGCCGACTTGTTTACAAAAAAAAAAAAAAATATATAATATAATTTCCTAGGTTAGGTTGTAGACAGCCCGCCCAGGGGGGTACTACCGTCCTGCCAAGCGATGAAAACGAAAGCCTGTAATTGTTTTACATATGGTAGGATTGCTGGTGCCTTTTTTTCTGTCTCAGAACATCAAAAATTTTAGGTAGTCCTTTCTACTTCTACTTCACTCAGGGCACACTACAATACATGACAAAACTAATATACAAACCCCCCTGGGTTTTTTTCTTTTTCTTTCAGTTCTTGTTCTTGTTTATTTCCCCTTTCTCCATGGGAAAGGGGAACAAAATTTTTCCTCCGTAGGCCATGCGTGTTTTAAGAGGTGACTAAAAAGCCGGGAGCAAAGGGGGGTAAACCCCCTTTTCCGTATATATTTACAAATTTTAAAGGAGAAACTTTTTTTTTTCTTTTTGGGCCACCCGCCTCGGTGGATTGCCCCCTGTGTTGAAAAAAAAAAAAAGAAAGAAAGAAAAAAAGAAAATAGATAGATAAAAAGATAATAATAATATATAGATAAAAAGATGATAGATATTAAATATAAAAATAGATTAGATATATAAAAAAATAGAAGTATTTAAAAATATTATAAAATATATATATATATTATATATATTTATATATATAATCCTAGGGTTTGTAGGTTGGTAAACAGCAACCCCCAGGGGGGTACTACCTCCTGCCCAAATGAGGTACAACAAAAACCTGTAATTTTTTAAATGGTAGGATCCTGGTTCTTTTGTCTGTCCCCTTAAACATGCAAGATTTCAGGTATGTCTTGCTACCTACTTGCACTTAGGTCACACTACCATACATGTCAAACATACATATTACACCCCCTGGGGATTATTTTCTTTCTATTCTTGTTCTTGTTTATTTCCCCCTTTTTCTCCTGGGGAATTGAAAAGAATTTTCCTCCGTAAGCCACGTGTTGTAAGAGGGAACTAAAATGCGGGCAAACAGTAACCCCTTCCCCGTATAAATTACAAATTTAAAAAGAAACTTTCGTTTTTCTTTTTGGGCCACCCCGCCCGGTGGGTATGGCCCTTTGTTGAAAAAAAATATATATATATATACGGTCCCCTTTCCCCCCATTTTTTGTGTGATAGTTAAGTCCCCAAATCGATCAAAGTGTCAATCTTTTATCTTTGTATCTTTGAAGGTTTCGAAAGTTTATCACTCTCTGAGCCCCGGCCATGGGCCAGAAATTTCTTTCCCATGTGCAGGTTTTTGTGTACTGATACAACTGACACACTCACACCAAAAAACTCTTAACCCCGGGTTTGAAGAGAAAAAATATGACAACATTTCGTGTCTCCTGGCTTACTGGGACGGGGCACAACTGAGCAAGAAAAAAAGACAAAAGGGGTACGTACAGTATTTTAGTGTTTCCCAAGTTTCTTTTCAAAATAAGGTTATTTGTGAGGGCTTTAAAACCTGGATTGTTACCATTATATTTACAAACTCATTTTACTCTGAAAAAACATACGATTTTCAACAAAGAACTGTTCATCCCAATGTAGATAATTTGGTAAATGTATTTTTTAAATTTATAAAACAGTATTATACAAAACCCCAAACTATGCAGGGTTTTTTTGACAGTTTATTGTAAGCAATTCCAAACCCCTTTCCCTTCGTAATCCTCCTTGTTCCCTGCGATCCTGTTTTTTATCTTACCCAATTTTTAAAAAATTCTTCCATACACTTTTCCCGCAAATCAACGTTTTTTTCCCCTAAAATTTTATCCTCTTTTTCCTCATTTCCCTTATAGGGAAAGGGGATCTTTCTCTTTCAGCATATCTGAAAAAAAAACATCAAAACTCAAGAAAACGTCTTTGTCCCCTCTACCCCCCTCTCTATTTTCCCCGCTCCCCTGCACTTTCTACATTCACTCGACTCTTCGACTCCTACCAGATCTCAAGTGTTCTTTCTAAATTCGGAAATCACTGCCTCCCTTTACAGTCAATTTGTACAGTTTAATTTGCTCCCCCTATCTTTTTAGACTACTTCAAGTCTCCATTTAAAAATTAAAAAAAAAATAATCAAAAATACTTTTTCAAATTACGCAACTTTTTTTTAAAAGTGTGCGTAGCTCAAGTTTAAACCTGAAACAGTTTAAAAAAGTTTTAAAGGGCAGGAAAAAAAAATGATTTGCAATGAAGTGCACTTTCCTTTGAGAATGATTTTTAAAAAACGCTTAATTCCCCTCTCCCCCCGCCTTTATAAGGGAAAGCATGTAGCACCCCCCACCGCAGATTACATTGCATTCCCCAAAGGGTTTAGAATTTTTTTACTGTGACCCAAACTTTCCCTCATTCATGGGTCCCAGCCAGCAACTGATCAGTTTTTTTAACCAACCTGCTCATTTTTTACTCATTTTCTGCTTGATCTCTGAATTTGATGCCCGTAAATAAATTTATACAATACAATGTATCACATTATCTTTTCCCATGTAACCCTGCATTTCTAGAGGCAACTAAAATGTGGAAGCAAAGAGCTAGTAACCCCTTTCTCCTGTATAAATTTCTAATGTAAAAAAAATTAATTTTATAGTCTTTCCCCTTTTTTTGGGTCACCCTGCCTCGTGGAAACGGCTGCTATTTGAAAAAAAAGCTTTTTTTACAATATGTAAAGCACAAGCCCACAAAGGCCCAAATCAAGACTGAGACAATTCAACAAAACAAACACAATTAGGTTTATTTTCACTAACAAAACAGCAAAAACAGTCTTATCCAGCCGTAGGTGCACCTGGAAAAACCTACCATCCTCTATACTTTCCTTTCCCCTAGTGTATTGTTGGGGGGGGTTTTTTGGCAGCTTTTATTTTGTTTCCCAAACACAAAGGATTTGCTGCATTTTCCCCGAAAACTGATGCCCCCGTTGTCAGGAAAAACTTAACAACAATCTCTCCATTGGGCCCTTTGAGAATGGACGTAGCAGCTGAAATACAAACAAACAAAAAGCATGGCTGACTGGTTTGGCCAGTGCAGCTGAACGATGTTCAGGTGATGGGTAGGCTTGAACCTGAAAGAAAAATGTAAACCTGAATAAATTTCTAAACAAGGCAGTTAACAACTGTAGCATGAAACAATTTACCAAAAAGTGTTATCAGCTGAAGACACAGTTCCTTTAAGCATTTCTGAAAACAAGTTGCAAAACTTGGTGGATGAATTTGGGAAGCAATGAGAGATTGGATATCAGATTGGTGGGAAGGACTATAGAGGAAGTGGCTGTATTTAGATATTTGAAAGTAGACTTGTAGACAGATGGGACTATGAAAGATGAGGTGAACCACAGAACAGACAAGAAAAAAAGCAGGTGGTATGGAGAAGAGATCTGTGGAAAGAAAGAAGGGTTTATCTATGGAGGCAAAGAAGGAAAAGGTACCAGAGTATAGTGGTAATATTTATGAAGGGATTCAAGGAAATTAGTCAGCTAGACTTGAGTCCTGGAGGTGGGAGGTACACTGCCTGAACTCTGAAGAAGAGGTGAGAATGCCGCAATTCAAAGGTCATTTGAACTGTGATCTTTATGCACTACTCGCAATACAGCTATTGATGAATGTCATCCTAACCATGGTGTGAGATGGCCAGTGTAGTAAAAAAAAAGCAACCTTATTCCAAAATTCTGAATTAATACAATATTTTCAACTAGGGTGTTTAGTAATATGCAGCCATTATGAACTAAAACTTCCACTTAAGCTGACAGGCAGTGTCACCTTTAACCTCCTGACTATACACAAATAACCTGCACAGAGGAGAAAGAAATTTGTGAAAATGTTTCAGTCCGATTTGGACCATTAACTAGTCCATGCAGGACTGAAATGTTGTCAAAAGTTTCTTTCTCCTATGTGCAGGTTAATTTATTTATTACTCGAGTCACAGTATTGTGCCTTTTTGTTCTTTAACCTGACTAGTCAGGTCTGCAGGTACTGTACTTGGACCAGCCTAAGCTGGTCTTAGGCAATTTGTAACAAAATGACTGTGTTTAAACTGCATGATGTTACTGTCATTCTCTATCTTTAGCTTTTACATTTATCACTCCCAAAGACAGAATTAAGTATACTGTACGTGATACTGATAAATATAGCCAGTGCACAATACTATAGTTTTCTTCTTGATTTGAAATCCTTTCCTTTCAACACACCGGCCGTATCCCACCAAGGCGGGTGGCCCAAAAGAAAAAATGAAAGTTTCTCCTTTTACATTTAGTAATATATACAGGAGAAGGGGTTACTAGCCCCTTGCTCCCGGCATTTTAGTAGCCTCTTACAACATGCATGGCTTACGGAGGAAGAATTCTGTTCCACTTCCCCATGGAGATAAGAGGAAAGAAACAGGAACAAGAACTAGAAAGAAAATTGAAGAAAACCCAGAGGGGTGTGTGTGTATATATGCTTGTACATGTATGTGTAGTGTGACCTAAGTGTAAGAAGTAGCAAGACGTACTTGGAATCTTGCATGTTTCTTCTTTCTTTCAACACACCGGCCGTATCCCACCGAGGCAGGGTGGCCCAAAAGGAAAAACGAAAGTTTCTCCTTTTACATTTAGTAATATATACAGGAGAAGGGGTTACTAGCCCCTTGCCCCTGGCATTTTAGTTGCCTCTTACAACACGCATGGCTTACGGAGGAAGAATTCTGTTCCACTTCCCCATGGAGATAAGAGGAAATAAACAAGAACAAGAACTAGAAAGAAAATGGCAGAAAACCCAGAAGGGTGTGTATATATATGCTTGTACATGTGTGTATAGTGTGACCTAAGTGTAAGTAGAAGTAGCAAGACGTACCTGTAATCTTGCATGTTTATAAGACAGAAAAAAAGACACCAGCAATCTTACCATCATGTAAAACAATTACAGGCTTTCGTTTTACACTCACTTGGCAGGACGGTAGTACTCCCTGGGTGGTTGCTGTCTAACAACCTACTACCTATATTGATTTGAAATGTATATTATATATACAATTAACAGGTGCAACAGACAACCAACATTCTAATAATTCAAGAGTAATATTTATGATATTAATAATAACAAATAATAAAGATAAAAGTCCAAAGAGTACAGACCTGATGATAGATGTCATCTGATCTTAAGTGACCCAACACAAGGTTCAAGTAATTACTGGGTAATTCAACTCTCCTGAAATAAAAAAGAGAACGGTATTTTTTTAATCATATAGTCAGAATACGCATTAAAAAAATGATTACTTACTGGTCTGGAAACATATTTTCAGAGATCAATGTTTGAGAAGTGAATATGCAGAAAATAAGAAATAGCCAATATGTTAAAATAGTAAAAAACAATGAAATTAAATGAGGTGAGATAGTAAAAAAATAATTCATTGTACTACTGTACTACTTTCTAAAAAATAAATCATTTGTACTTTAATAACATTCTGAATAAGAGATTAAGAGTGAATGGTGCTACTTGGAAAAAACTGTATGAATAATTCAAAGAAAAATTTCAAGTAACCTAAAATAGTCCTCTGGATAATTTAAAGGTCTCTTGCTTCCAGGAAGTGCAGAAAAGCCGGTGGATCGGAGTAGTTTGCACACATCATCTATATTGGTGTCACTTGCTTTCTGGCCAGCATGGCGATGATGGGTAACGATGATCCTCTCTCGCACTAAGCCAGGGAAGAGTGTGTCCACTACCAGCAGCATCACTCCATACAGGTATAATGCTTCACACTGGAGAGGTAATAAAGATATAATGCTTCACACTACAGAAGTGATAGAAATGTTTTGCTTCAAACTGCTGACAAGTGATACAGGTAAATGACACAGGTAAATCATAGAACAGGTGGGGTTTGAACTCATGATTTGATTTGTTTGTAATCGTGTTATGATTTCACGAGTCGTGATGCAGGTAGAATTCTTTACAATGCAGAGGTGACAGAGATAAACTGCAACAATTTACAACACAGACACAGTAGGGTACAATGTTGCATGCTGAAGTTACATTGTTATGCTTCAGAGTAAAGTAGAGTAGCTGCAATGAATAACCTCATATTATACATTGTTATGCTACAAATTTGTATAACTTTAATGCTTCTTATTTGAAATACTCATTTGTACTTCATGTTGTAATTTGTTTACTGTAATTTTTACCACTGAATGTATCATTGCTTAGTTAATCTTAAGTTAATTTAAAGCCTGCCCATAATGCTCTGCATACAAGGGGCTTTTGGTATGTACACCCAATCACTATATTTCTTTGTACAAGTATGTAACATGACCAAATAAAAAATAAATAAATAAATAAATAAATTATTTTCCAGTTATATTTAAATAGGTTAAGCATTTTTCTCTTTATTATGAAGAATATAAAATATATGAGTTATCCTAGGTTCTCTGCCCGGGTTCGATTCCCGGCGGGTGGAAACATTTCGACACGTTTCCTTACACCTGTTGTCCTGTTCACCTAGCAGCAAATAGGTACCTGGGTGTTAGTCAACTGGTGGGTCACATCCTGGGGGACAAGATTAAGGACCCCAATGGAAATAAGTTAGACAGTCCTCGATGACGCACTGACTTTCTTGGGTTATCCTGGGTGGCTAACCCTCCAGGGTTAAAAATCCGAACGAAATCTTATCTTATCTCTTATATGCTGCTGCATATACATGAATAAACTTGCTTTCCATAATATAGTAGTGTATCAAGAAATGAGAATGAATGCTATGAGCTTTCAAAAATGTGGGAAATTACTCAAATTTAACATAATTAATCCCAGGTCTATAATGAATTTATGCTTCTTGTAATTACCACTTTAGATTTGATTTATCCAAAAAACTAAAAGCTATTTTTGTTAAGGGCAAAATAAGACTAATTATAGTTAATTATTTTTTGCACCCTTTCTAAAATGCTAAATACACATTCAAGCAATGATAATTAAAAATCAAAAACAATTTTTAATAAAAGAGAAAAGCATCTGCATTCACATATACACAAGAAATCCCACAAGAGAAATGAACCAAGTCCAGCATATTATACAAGATATACCACATATGACAACACTGTTTTACACTTCAGATCAATAGACCCATAACCAGCCATAAGAAAAGGTACATACAGTAGTTAATAATCTTACCATAAGCTGTTTTCCATCCTCATTGGTGAACATATTTTCCAAAGTCCTCTGAATAAATATCCCCTCGCCAAGATCTTGCAAGAAACCATTGAGGTCAGTCACATATCGGTGAATGCTCTCAAACACAGCATAAATTCTGCTTAAGATGTTGCTGTGGCTTTCACGAATTTCATCATCAATATCAAGTAGGGTCTGTGAAATGTGATAAGAAATGCTCATAACATGTATGTAATGTTTGTTCTACATTCTTCAAGGAACTGATTAACTTGCATGTGTGGTATATGAGAAATATTGATTAAGATGAACATTTATCTTATATTAAAATTATTGTGATGAATGGTTTTTGAAAACCGACAAGTTGAAGAATTGAGACACTTATGCAATATATGGGAATCTTTATTGAAGAAACGTTTCACCACATAGTGGCTTCATCAGTCGCAAACAAAGTAGTAATGGGTAAGGAGAGGAGGAATTTGAGGTAATCAGTCCCTCAGCCTGGAATCGATGTGTTCAGTCCATCACTCTTGTGATGGACTTGTACACATCGATGCAGTACAATTTTTTGTGATGCAACCTTGTGTTACACTTACAGGTGAATCTTCAATCTTCTTGTTAAACCCCTCAGCAGCCTTCAAGTATGTAAAATCTAGGACAACATCTCCATACTTCTGTTGTTCTATCCTGGTCTCTAATCTGAAAATTGGAAAAAATATATGAAAGATCATCAAAAAGTTATCAACTTTCACCACCAGTAACAACTCAAACTCTTAACCCTTTGAGAGTCCGTGCCGTAGTTTTACGTTGAGGGTCCAAACCATAGAGATAAGATAAGATAAGATAAGATTTCGTTCAGATTTTTAACCCCGGAGGGTTAGCCACCCAGGATAACCCAAGAAAGTCAGTGCGTCATCGAGGACTGTCTAACTTATTTCCATTGGGGTCCTTAATCTTGTCCCCCAGGAATCGACCCACACCAGTCGACTAACACCCAGGTACCTATTTGCTGCTAGGTGAACAGGACAATAGGAGTAAGGAAACGTGTCGAAATGTTTCCACCCGCCGGGAATCGAACCCGGGCCCTCCGTGTGTGAAGCGGGAGCTTTAGCCACCAGGCCACCGGGCCACCTATAGATCTACATCATGAGCTCAGCTCACTCTGATAAGCTGTGAGTGGTAAATTTGGGCCTAGATATGAGAGGATACATCTATGTGGTATGTGTGCACCACATAAAACAAATCCTGCAGCACATAGTGCATAATGAGAGAGAAAAACTGACCGAAATTTTTTATTAAAACAGCGACTTTGCAGTGTTTTTTCCTATGTTTTTTATAGTTGTATTTGCGATTTCTTGGTCTCATTTGATAGAATGGAAGATATATTACAGAATTACAGATTATTTTGATTGATTTTAGTACTGGAAATGGCTTGGAACTGAGCTCAAAGTAGTGGAAATGTTAAACTTTTGCAGATGTTCAAGAGTAAACAAATGACCTCACACATCTAATACACGCCTGGTGGTGGGTTTAATATACGTTCACAAATGTGGTGATATTAGTTATACAATTATTACAATATTGCATAACAGTAAATCTTCTATTTTTTGGTTTGAATAAAAATTCATTATGTAAATAAAAAATCAAAATGGAATTCATTAGTAAAGCCTGAAAACATAACTAATGAACAAAGGAAATGTTAGTTTAGTGGCAGGAATGCCTGCATTGTTTATTCTGGACCTTGTTTTGAAATTGGGTATTTTGAACTTTGCATTAAATTGACCAAATTACTAATTTCCGATCACTTTATTTTGTAGTTGAAACAGTTGACTTGGCAAATTATTGTGTTCAATCGATAGAATAGAAGTAATACTAGTGAAATAGCTAAGAATTTTGTCAACTGGAATGATGTAACTGGCCTAAAATGGGAGTCAAAGTCAGCAAAATCACCGATGCGTAAATATCGCTGACACATCAAAATTTGTGAGAGCATAATTTTGTCAATTTTCCATTAAATTTCTTACTTTTTGTTTTATTACCTTTAGAAAAAGATTCTCTACCATTTCATAAGAAAAAATAACAATTATTTTTTGAAAATTCTTGGACACTGGTGCACACTTTGAAATTTGGCCTCTCGACCCTGAAAGGGTAAAATTACAAAGACTTAACTCTCTGGAGTACAGATGAGAAATTACACCTGGAAAATACAGTATATACGGACTACTTTCAAATCAGCACACTGAACTACAGTAATCCCAACCGGTGGCCTGGTGGCTAAAGCTCCCGCTTCACACACGGAGGGCCCGGGTTCGATTCCCGGCGGGTGGAAATTCCGACACGTTTCCTTACACCTGTTGTCCTGTTCACCTAGCAGCAAATAGGTACCTGGGTGTTAGTCGACTGGTGTGGGTCGCATCCTGGGGGACAAGATTAAGGACCCCAATGGAAATAAGTTAGACAGTCCTCGATGACGCACTGACTTTCTTGGGTTATCCTGGGTGGCTAACCCTCCGGGGTTAAAAATCCGAACGAAATCTTATCTTATCTTATCTTATCAAAGGCAGAGCCAGGAGGTTGCCTGTATTGTAAATATTTCAGAATTAAATGATAATATAATAACAATAACTGTAAGCTTACCTGAAAACCTGAGGAACATATTCAGACAGTCTCATCAGTTCAGCAATGATAGCATTTCCTCTTGCTACTAAACGAAGCAATGCCTGCCCACATACATTGTTTTCTGCAAGGAGGTCCATCACAATTGTCTCTCAAGCATACTCTGAACCCTAAAGAAGGATAGGTAACAGATTTTTTAAAATTCTAATTTATAACTCATTTGCTGACTTTATTAACACAATTTAAAAAAGTAAATGATACGAAATACAGGTCGGCCATCACTAATCCGGCATCATTGGGACCTGTAGGGTGCCAGATTAGTGAGTTTGCCGGATTACAGAGTGGTTAGGTTAGAATATACTTAATTAACCTCTCAATAGCGACTCTTTCTGCTACATCATCATTTTCATCACTGCTTTCTATTTCACGGGTTGCTGCTGTGGATTTACAACGATCTGCACGATTTCCGAGTCAGTATAATGATGAAATTTCAAAGTATGCTAGCCAAAATTAGTGCGGGATTACTGGTGGAACCTGATAACTGATTGCCAGATTAGTGATGACCGACCTGTAGTAGATTGACAATTCTTGGAATGTCATATTGAATCTGAATTTAAGAAAACTCAGGTACTATACTGATTATTACTGTTTACTAGATTACAGTTCAAACTAATGTTCAATAAAAATAAACTATTATCAATAATTAAATACAATCAGTTTTATTATTTCCGTGTTTACTAAAATAAAACTTAGGAGCTTAATGAACTAATAATTGCTAATGCATGGCTGCTGGCCCAAGCCCAAAAGTAAAATAAAAACACAGGGAGCAGAGAATCCAGTTAATGTGCTTTGCCCAAGTCTGAGCATTGTTAAATACTACTGTATACAGGAATAAGCAGGTTATGTTAGGTATGGTTTGTTAAGGAACAGGACAAGTGTTTCCTGATGCGGGTCTTAGTCATCTGATGACCCGCAGCTGGAGCTTTCAGTCACCTGACAGAGTCGATGGAAATTTAAACACATATGCAGTATAATGTGATCCTTTATTGACTACGTTTCGCCCACACAGTGGGCTTTTGAAAAAGCCCACTGTGTGGGCGAAACGTAGTCAATAAAGGATCACATTATACTGCATATGTGTTTATATTTCCATTGTGTCATTATTTTATACCATTTATTTCCACCTGACAGAGTCCTTCCTCTGGCTTACCCCTCCACCCCTTTAAAAATTATGGTTATGATTATGACCATTAGATTATGATACAAGCAAGACTATACACCACCTCATAAGGCAAACAAGCACAATGAGGTCAGGCTCATGAGAATGTGAGGTCAAGTAGACATTGACAGGTCACATGTGACGTCATGAAAATGATCCAGCCTTTTCATGACCTTACAAGCGACATATCTTTCTCTGAGTCTGACCTCAGAGTGTTCGCCTCCCTTTTAGGGTTATGCATTAGTTTCTTCCCATACATTTGATAAGGCCCAGCCTTGGGTGAAACATTGTAATAAAAGGAACCAGTTGGCTGGCTTAAAAGCCAGTTGGGCAACCAGCTGCAAGTTCAGTAGAGTATCCTCAACCTTGAAAATAATAAGCTTATTTAGGTACAGGTACACATAAAGTATATGTAAATGTCAAAATTTATATTACCTAGAACAACCCCTAAAAAAAATCACATAAAGTGACTTATTTCCACTGGGGTCCTTGATTTTTTTATTTAGGCTTTGCATACACAACGTATAATTTTTCACGATGGTTTTGAAAGCAAATAGATATTACGAGCGCACATAAACTACACTGGGAAGAATTATCCTACGATAAAACCCAATAAAAGTCAAATATGACAACTCCATCAGGATCTTGTTTCTTCCTCTTGCATACATTTACTCTCTTATTTTGTCTTGTGACACTTCTTACACACACACAAACACTCACACTTGTTCTATATACCAGCATGCACACACACACACCTGTCCTACACACCAGCTCACACCTGTCCTACACACCAGCTCACACACACCTGTCCTACACACCAGTTCACCCACACAAGTTCTACACACCAGTTTACACACACCTGTCCTACACACCAGCTCACACCTGTCCTACACACCAGCTCACACCTGTCCTACACACCAGCTCACACACACACCTGTCCTACACACCAGTTCACCCACACACCTGTCCTACACACCAGTTCACACACACACCTGTCCTACACACCAGCTCCACACCTGTCTACACACCAGCTCACACCTGTCCTACACACCAGCTCACACACACACCTGTCCTACACACCAGCTCACACACACACTGTCCTACACACCAAGCTCACACACACACCTGTCCTACACACCAGCTCACACACACACCTGTCCTACACACCAGCTCACACACACACCTGTCCTACACACCAGCTCACACACACACCTGTCCTACACACCAGCTCACACACACACCTGTCCTACACACCAGCTCACACACACACCTGTCCTACACACCAGCTCACACACACACCTGTCCTACACACCAGCTCACACACACACCTGTCCTACACACCAGCTCACACACACACCTGTCCTACACACCAGTTCACACACACACATACACACCTGTCCTACACACCAGCTCACACACCTGCCATACAACGCGACTGTACGTAAATTTAACAAATTCGTCAAAGTTTGATCCGAGAAACCGCCCACCTCACACACCTCTTGTTGGGTTTATAAGGGACACTGACAGCTAGATAAGTAAGTTTATTCAGTATATAAATTAGTTTATTTAGGTACATGTACACACAGGTACAGTTATATAAATTTAGGTGATTGCAATTATTATATATAGTAACGTATGTGTAAATTACCCACCAGGATAACCCCCCCCCCAAAGAAAAAGTCAGACAAAGTGACTTATTATCACTGAGGGTCCTTGTCATATTTTATTATTTAAAGCCTAGCTGTCAGATACGGTAGAAATCAGTTATGATTATAACCATAAAAATTAAAACAGTTAAGTAACATTTTATTGTGGTATATATAGGCTCAGAGTGAAGTGTAATACTAGTGGTAGTGTGATGAATGGTTTGAAAAACCGACAAGTTGAAGATTGAGACACTTATGCAGCATATGGGAATCTTTATTCAGGAGAATAAAGATTCCCATATGCTGCATAAGTGTCTCAATCTTCAACTAGTGGTAGTAGTAGAAGTAGTGATATAAGTTGTAGAAATACAATATGGTAGAACAATTTAGTTAAGCCTTTGATAGAGTTTAGTAAAACCTTCGATAGAGTACCTCACAAGAGACTCAAGAAAAGTGGCAGCTCATGGTATAGGAGGTAAAGTTCTAGCATGGACAGAGGTATGGCTTACCAATAGAAAGCAGAGAGTTTCGATTAATGGGGTCAAATCTGAATGGGGATTAGTCGCTAGTGGCGTTCCAAAAGGGTCAGTTTTAGGCCCTCTCTTGTTCATAATTTACATTAATGACCTTGATGAAGGGATTACGAGTGGCAAGAGCAAATTTGCTGATGATACAAAGATAGGCCGTATGATTCATTCTGAGGAGGATAGCAATGAACTCCAGAAGTAATTGGACAAATTAATGTCTTGGTCTGAAAAATGGCAGATGAAGTTCAATGTGGATAAGTGTAAGGTACTAGTCCTTGGTAATGAAAATAGCCCTCAAAGTTATAAACTAGAAGTAGAGCGGGGATCTGTAACAAGTGGCGTTCCACAGGGATCAGTTTTGGGCCCGTTGTTGTTTATAATATATATCAATGATCTTGATGAGGGAATTACTAGTGAAATGAACAAATTCGCCGATGACACAAAGATAGGTAGGATAATTGATTCAAACGTAGATATCAGGGAACTTCAGGAGGATTTAGACAAACACAATACCTGGTCAGAAAAGTGGCAGTTGCAGTTCAATGTAGATAAATGCCACGTTCTGAAGCTCGGGAGTGTCCACAACCCTAGCACTTATAAGTTAAATAATGTAGAGCTTAGCCATACAGATTGCGAAAAGGACTTGGGGGTTATGGTGAGCAGTAACCTTAAACCAAGACAGCAATGAGGAAATGGTATGGTGATACCGACAAGATGTGGAAAAAGACACTATATATATGTGTGTTTTCTTAGTTTTCTCTGTATTAGGACTGAAGAAGCCACTCGTGGCGAAACGTTTCCTTTAATAAATGTCCTGAACTGTACATAAGTGTCTTTTTCCACACAAGACAGCAATGCCTAAGCGTACGTAATAAGGCAAACAGACACTTATGCAACATATGGGAATCTTTATTCAGGAATCGTTTCGCCACACAGTGGCTTCATCGGTCCAATACAAAGAAGAAGGTGTAAGGAGAGGAGGAGTTTGAGGTAATCAGTCTTGCTGCATCCCATGATGCTGCAGTATCATGGGATCTTGTTACAAAGAATTCTTCAACACTTGCCCAACCTTTGGACGAAGACCTACTTCGACTAGTGGATGGTACCACTATGACCCCGCCTCCTCCTGCTTCGCCTCACCTGACTACAGTATATAAGCCACGTCTACGGCCCTATGCTGTACATTCTACAAGATTGATGGACTGAACGCATCGACTCCAGGCTGAGGGATTGGACAAATGTATGAGTGGACACATGTATGAGTGGGAGGTGCTGGGTTTGATTGGTGTCATTGGGTACGGGAGTTCATTCTTGGGTAGCTATGGGTAGAGGTCGTTTTGATGAGAACCTGCCTTGTATGGGCCAGTAGGCCTTCTGCAATGTTCCTCCATTCTTATGTTCTTATGTTCTTGAAACGACCCCTACCCAAAGCTTCCCAAGAATATCCTTGTTATGCAAGACAGGTATACAATACCGACAAGATGAAAGTTAAGACACTTGTACAACATCTGGTTATCTTTATTGTAGACGTTTCGCCATCCAGTGGCTTTATCAATACAGATTCTTGGACATAATTAGAAAACAGAAGAACTATACCCAATGACACCAATCAAACCCAGCCCCTCCCACTCATACATTTGTCCAATCTCTTTTTAAAGCAACCCGAAGCTCTAGCCTCGATAACCCTATTCGGGAGATTGTTCCACTCATCCACAACTCTGTTCGAAAACCAGTACTTACCTATGTCCTTTCTAAATCTAAATTTATCCAACTTAAATCCATTATTTCTGGTTCTTACCTGGTTCTGGTTCTTACCTTTATTAATATCACCTTTGTTTATGCCCGTCACCCACTTATACTCCTCAATGATATTTCCCCTCAGTCTACGTCTCTCCAGAGAGTGGAGATTTAAGGCTTTAAGTCTATCTTCATACGGGAGGTTCCTTACACAGTAAATCATTTTAGTCATTCTTCTCTGTATGTTCTCCAATGAGTCTATATCCATCATGTAGTAAGGAGACCAAAACTGAGCGGCATAATCTAAATCGCCGTTTCTAATACAATTAAACAAAACAAAGGCAGCTTCACCATCTCTGAAGTCTTAGCAAGAATCCTCCTGAAAACAGTAAACCCTGCCATCATAGTCTCTTCTGCTAATACACACAAGCACTTTACAAAGGATGAACATTGAAACAGACTGTCTCTAATCCAGCCTCCAACAGAAATATTTGTGAATGATAAATTTGACACATGTGCAACTCTTGGGTATGTGCAACAGTTAGGTATCTTTATTTCGAAACCATTTTAATGTTCAACTCTTGGGTATCTTTATTGAGGAAACGTTTCGCCACACAGTGGCTTCATCAGTCCATACATAGGAGAAACTTGAAGAACAGGAGGAGAATGAGGTAATCAGTCCCTCAACCTGAGTCGATGTGTTCAGTCCATCAATCTTGATGGACTTAAGTAATAGCTTTTATATCCTTTTACTCATGTGCAAGTTAATTATTGTAGATGAATGGTCCAGAGAACCGACAAGTTGATAAATTAGACACAATGCAACACTTGGGTATCTTTAAAGATGCCTAAGTTTTGCATATGTGTTTAATTTATCAAGTTAATTGTTCTACAATGTTGTATTACTACAACTACTACAATTTATATCACTACTACTACTACTACCACTAGTATTACATCTCACTCTGAGCCTATATATACCCTCTGTGTCCCTGTAATGTTTGTAACAGCTTGACAAAGCTCCTGGAGAGAGAAACGTTGCCACAATAGAGTGTCACATTAGTTGCACTTGCGTCCTTTTATTTGAGTGGATTTGTTGGCGTCCCCACTCTGCTAAGGCCTGGCCAGGGGTCCACCTCGTCTATCTGGGAACTTCTAGTTTCTATTTCTATTTAGAGAGGAATTCAGTTTTCCTGTCCTTCCATCGTCCAGTTTTGAGCAACATCCGTCCATCGGGAATTATTATTATTATAATCAAGGGGAAGCGCTAAACCCGTAGGATTATACAGCGCCTGGGGGGGATGTGGAAGGCATTCAGGCTTAATTCGGGGAACTGGAGCACAGATCCAATTCCCTAAATCAAGAGCCCCTCACCAACATCAAGGAACCTTCCGTGAGGGGTACGTCTATCGGGAAGCAGGACTTGATACACCTTAAGTTGTCATTGATCCTTATAAACCCAACAAGAGGAAAAAGAAGATGGAGAATATGTTTAAATTCCTATTTATTTGTGTTTTTCTTGCATATTGTACTCCCTCGGTCAAGGTGAGTCCTGGAAAACACTCCTCATATATGTTTTTATTCTGCATGAAGCTTTCAACAGGGATATATGTGGCAAAATAAAAAAAAATTTCCTTGGTTGAATCATGTGACCTCCGTGATTAATCTCTTGATGTTGAAGAGCTCTTGATCTAAGAACTGTATAGTCCTTGTGGCTTAGCGCTTCTTTTTGATTATAATAATAATAATTGATCTAAGAAATTGGAGCTGTCCTCCTCTTCCTCGGATCAAGCATGATTGCCTGCCATTTCTAAGGCGCTGTATAACCCCTACAGGATTAGCGCTTCCCCGTGAATATGATGATATATACTTATTTTTTTTAAATTGCCGTGATGCAAAGTTGTTATAATCATGTGCCATTGCTGTGACCCACACGGGTTTTGTGCTTACTTTTTAATATAATGATTATTACAAACATGTAGGGAATTTTTAATTCAGGTTTGAACGATGGAAATAGTTTTATTTATTGGTTTATTTAGATACACAAAAATACAATTATACAAATTATCATGCATAGTAACGTGTAAATTACTTTGGATAACCCAAAAAAGTCAGACAAAGTGACTTATTTCCATTGGTGTTAAATCTACATATGTAATTTTAATACAAATAGTATATGTGTTCTTAAAATAATTTTTTTTGTAATATTCACAAATCCTAAAGAAAAAGCGTTAATTTTTACATGCCATTATACGTATATGTAATGTTGTATATAGTAGTAAACGTATACAAGTCTTGAACAATTCCTTGTGATTTACTTTTGTAGGAATTTATCTTACATTGTCCAGTTGCGGATGACTTGATTCTAATCTTTAAACTGACCAAACGTAGATCTACGCACTCTACTTGTAGATCTATGTTTTATTTTGCATGCTTTCAAATTTAAAAAAAAAATGTAGATCTACATTTGGAGCACTACACGAGTGAACGTAGATCTACGTTTGGACAGTTTAAGGGTTAAAGTAACTATCTGTGAAAGCCTTTAAGAGTTATTAAATGTACTATTTTTATTTTTAGGGAGAATATGAAGACAAGAGGTGTATTTGCATCTGTCCTGATCCATCGGTTGTCAATGGGACGAAGAGTAATCGCATGGTATACAAAGAACCTGTAGCCCCTAGCAAGTGGTGAGTCACACTTATCTTCTCTTGGAATGCATATAACGTATACAAACCACAGTATGGATGGGATGAGAACCCATGGCAAGTAAGTTGTAAAACTCCACTGGGCCAGCTGTGTATATTTATATACCATAGAGAAATTAGCATGGGCCCCATATGACCACAAATGCAAATTTTTACAAATGAATCTTCCGTCATCTGGCTCAGTGGCTTACACACTAGCCTGGAGTTTTACGATTCGTTTGTCATGGGTTCTAACTCCACCCATACCATGGTTTGTTTGCAATCATGTTGTTATGATTTTGAGTCATAATGTATACAAGTTTAGTACAGGTTGGAAGCGGTGAAAATCCCATATCTGTGATCAGTGTGAAATGTGAGCATCATTGCATCATGTGAAGCACATTGTCTATGTTATTGGGAAAAGGCCACATGGAAACAAGTGATGGTGAATGTTTCCTTCATTTGGTCATTGTAACTTGGTGGAAAATGATAAATTAATTTAAAATATACATGAATTTTTTTTATTCAATTAATTTTTTGTTTTGTGTTTCAGTGACTGTGACAATGTAGTTCTACCTAAAGTTGCTGATGACATCAGGGGCCGTGAACAGGAATTCTGCCCTCGCTGTGAGTGCAAATATGAGAGCCGCAACAGCACTACTATCAAAGTGAGTGTTTTAGTGCTCTGCTCCTGTTTTAACTTAATCTTAATCTTAACTTTAATTTAGGAGAAATAAGTTGCTAAAATGCACTATACCTGGAGTTTACCTGGAGAGAGTTCCGGGGGTCAATGCCCCCGTGGCCCAGTCTGTGACCAGGCCGCCTGGTGGATCAGAGCCTGATCAACCAGGCTGTTACTGCTGGCTGCACGCAAACCAACGTACGAGCCACAGCCCGGCTGGTCAGGAACCGACTTTAGGTGCTTGTCCAGTGCCAGCTTGAAGACTGCCAGGGGTCTGTTGGTAATCCCCCTTATGTATGCTGGGAGGCAGTTGAACAGTCTCGGGCCCCTGACACTTATTGTATGGTCTCTTAACGTGCTAGTGACACCCCTGCTTTTCATTGGGGGGATGTTGCATCGTCTGCCAAGTCTTTTGCTTTCGTAGTGAGTGATTTTCGTGTGCAAGTTCGGTACTAGTCCCTCTAGGATTTTCCAGGTGTATATAATCGTGTATCTCTCCCGCCTGCGTTCCAGGGAATACAGGTTTAGGAACCTCAAGCGCTCCCAGTAATTGAGGTGTTTTATCTCCGTTATGCGCGCCGTGAAGGTTCTCTGTACATTTTCTAGGTCAGCAATTTCACCTGCCTTGAAAGGTGCTGTTAGTGTGCAGCAATATTCCAGCCTAGATAGAACAAATGACCTGAAGAGTGCCATCATGGGCTTGGCCTCCCTAGTTTTGAAGGTTCTCGTTATCCATCCTGTCATTTTTCTAGCAGATGCGATTGATACAATGTTATGGTCCTTGAAGGTGAGATCCTCCAACATGATCACTCCCAGGTCTTTGACGTTGGTGTTTCGCTCTATTTTGTGGCTAGAATTTGTTTTGTACTCTGATGAAGATTTAATTTCCTCGTGTTTACCATATCTGAGTAATTGAAATTTCTCATCGTTGAACTTCATATTGTTTTCTGCAGCCCACTGAAAGATTTGGTTGATGTCCGCCTGGAGCCTTGCAGTGTCTGCAATGGAAGACACTGTCATGCAGATTCGGGTGTCATCTGCAAAGGAAGACACGGTGCTGTGGCTGACATCCTTGTCTATGTCAGATATGAGGATGAGGAACAAGATGGGAGCGAGTACTGTGCCTTGTGGAACTGAGCTTTTCACCGTAGCTGCCTCGGACTTTACTCTGTTGATTACTACTCTCTGTGTTCTATTAGTGAGGAAATTATAGATCCATCGAACGACATGCGCTATTACGTCATGGTCACACTTGTCGAAGGCTTTTGCAAAGTCTGTATATATTACATCTGCATTCTTTTTGTCTTCTAGTGCATCTAGGACCTTGTCGTAGTGATCCAATAGTTGAGACAGACAGGAGCGACCTGTTCTAAACCCATGTTGCCCTGGGTTGTGTAATTTATGGGTTTCTAGATGGGTGGTGATCTTGCTTCTTAGGAGCCTTTCAAAGATTTTTATGATATGGGATGTTAGTGCTATCAGTCTGTAGTTCTTTGCTATTGCTTTACTGCCCCCTTTGTGGAGTGGGGCTATGTCTGTTGTTTTTAGTAACTGTGGGACAACCCCCGTGTCCATGCTCCCTCTCCATAGGATGGTAAAAGCTCGTGATAGGGGCTTCTTGCAGTTCTTGATGAACACGGAGTTCCATGAGTCTGGCCCTGGGGCAGAGTGCATGGGCACGTCATTTATCGCCTGTACTATACTGTAATATCATGCAGTAAATTTTATGTGGATGTTTTCTGATTAAAATGTTCTTTAAAATAATTATGAAACACACTTAATATTTTAAAATATGAAAGACATACAGTATTGATTGTAGGTAGTAGGTTGGTAGACAGCAACCACCCAGGGAGGTACTACCGTCCTGCCAAGTGAGTGTAAAACGAAAGCCTGTAATTGTTTTACATGATGGTAGGATTGCTGGTGTCCTTTTTTCTGTCTCATGAACATGCAAGATTTCAGGTACGTCTTGTTACTTCTACTTACACTTAGGTCACACTACACATACATGTACAAGCACATATATACACACCCCTCTGGGTTTTCTTCTATTTTCTTTCTAGTTCTTATTCTTGTTTATTTCCTCTTATCTCCATGGGGAAGTGGAACAGAATTCTTCCTCCGTAAGCCATGCGTGTTGTAAGAGGCAACTAAAATGCCGGGAGCAAGGGGCTAGTAACCTCTTCTCCTGTATATATTACTAAATGTAAAAGGAGAAACTTTCGTTTTTCCTTTTGGGCCACCCCGCCTCGGTGGGATACGGCCGGTGTGTTGAAAGAAAGAAGAAGATACAGTATTGATTTGTTTAATACAAGTCTAATGTTTATTTTTAGGATTTGCATATGAGTATGTCTTTAATGGCTGGAATTTACAGCTTTCTGTTTATTACTGTACTGTATTTGTTTCCACAATAGGTAGTGGTCATCCTGGTTATCTGGATCATCTCCTTACTGGTGGTGTACATGGGCTTTCTCTTATGCCTGGACCCACTGCTCAACAAACGACGCTCGCAGCCTTCATACCAGGAACACACAAATGAAGACGATGATGCTGGGGTTGTTGGGGGAGCCCCAGGAATGGCTCAGCCTCTCCGTGTGCGGCCCAATGTTCTGGGTCGTGTGGGTCATCAGCAAGACAAGTGGAAGCGACAGGTTCAAGAACAGCGCCGTCACATTTACGATAGACATACCATGCTTAATTAAATTGTTTGTAACATTTTGGTTAACTAGAATACAGAATACCCAGTGATAATTTTGAAGTACATTAAATGTTAGTGTTAACATTCCTTTCATAAAATTGTCTTCCTTTATTTGTTTTATTCTCTTATTTTCTTTGTAGATAAATTATATAAAATACATAACATATGCTTTGCATTCTCTGTACTTTTGTTGGTTAAGGTCATGTTTTAATATCATACTTGGGATACATCTATATAATAAACTCAACCTCGCCTAGGTTGTCTTTTGTTTTTCGTAAAAGTTTCAGCAATATGCTTTTCTGTCATACCAACTGTTGTATAAAAAAAAGGATGAATTGAATACTTCATAATTCTAGATACAGAAGATTTGAGTAAAAAAAAAATAAGATGTAAAGGTAGATCCAAGTTAGTTGAAGGGAAACTTGAGGAAGGAGGTAAATAAGAGCAGCAGATTACACTGACAATGTCTGTGCAAAGGAAGTTGCACTTGAATTCCCCAATACAGAGCAATAAAACAGGGATGAAATAGTGTTATATTTCGATATATTTTGCTCTAATGAGCAAAAATACATGTAGAAACAGTATATGTATTGCAGGCATCAGCAATGTAGTAGATAGGAGCACAGCTTCAACTAAAATTTCAAGTGGTACAGAATTTGGAAACCTGCTAAGTGTATATTTTATTTCAGTTCTTGAATTATTAGCTCAATGGTGCTGAGCTGACTGGGTAGGTGAAAACTATACCAGAGCTGGAAGTGGACTATCATAAAAATATAGTGATATAGTCATACAAATATAGTTGTAAGAAAGTTGTAAATCCATGTTGGCTGACATGTGAATAGCACTTCTGTATTAAATGAACTCTCATATAGACGATAAACCTGAAGATGAGTGCTGCATATGAGTGGGAGGCCACAATATACACTACTTATCTTTTATTTTACTGTCTGTCTGGGTTAATGTTGTTGATCACTGTGTATTATGCATTTGAGTCCCCCCTTTCATGTACAGTAACTAAATATAGTGATGGAACAGTGTGTAGAATAAAAAAATGGTTTATATCATTATTTTGTGTAAAATTCGATTTTCTGTCTTTTTTAGAGCCAGATGTAAGGGATGTTCACTTCTGTCCTCTACAGGAATCCAAAAAAAAAAATGGGAGAATGAAAATATTTGTTTTTTGTTACCATCAAGGGATAGCAGTTATATTCCTCTTACACATAATATATTAAGTTGATGGTAAATGCTTTGGTAGGCTTTTTGCAGCATATACAATGTACAGTGTATATTTTTTTTTCAACACACCGGCCACATCTCACCAAGGCAAGGTGACGTAACAAGAAAAAACAAGTTTTTTTTTTTTACGTCGCCTTGAAAAGAAAAGAAAAACATGAGTTTTCCTTTTTAAATTTAGTAATTTATACAAGAGAAGGGGTTACTAGCCTCTCTCACTCAGCATTTTAGTCGCTTCTTAGGACATGTATGGCTTACAGAGGAAGAATTCTTTTCCATGTCCCCATGGAGAATAGTATATATATATTTATATATTGCTGATGCATTCATAAACTATAGTATTATTTAAATATTATTTTAAGGTATTATATTTAAGGCATTCACATTAGTTGTGGGCTAAAGTTGAAATGCCTCGGTGGGAGACGGCCGACTTGTTGAAAAAAAAAAAAAATTGTAAACTTTTCAACTTAAATTTATTAAAATGTGTAATGAATAAATTATTGCTCTTTATTTTGACTATTCCTTCACCCCACACATATGTAATAGCAGAAGCCGAGTTTCAGTGTTTTTTTTTAACATCAACACTACTTTTTTGAATAGTTTATAAAACTGATAAACGAGACACTTGTGCAACATTTGGATATCTTTATCGTGGACACATTTTGCCAGTCGGTGGCTTATTCTTAAGATAAATATTAAGCTGTTGATTTAAAAAACCCACTTTAATATTAATAAATTAGCAAATTAACATCTACACAGACCTGGAGTTTACCTGGAGAGGGTTTCAGGGGTCAACACCCCCGCGGCTCGGTCTGAGACAAGGCTTCACGGTGCATCAACGTCTGATCAACCAGGCTGTTACTACTGGCTGCACACAAGCTGATGTACAAACGGCTGGTCAGGTACTGACTAGGTGCCTGGTGCTGATACCTAGTTTCTGGACCTTTTTTTAAGGGTTTTGAGTTATAATAATAATAATAATAGATAATATATTTCTACTTCAACAATATATTTCTGACTTCAATAACGTACTACTGTAGAGAAAGCCCCTTGTTATGCAGAACATTTCGGACAAATCAGGTCAATTTTGTCCCAGGATGCGACCCGCATCAGTCGACTAACACCCAGATACCCATTTTACTGATGGGTGAACAGAGACAACAGGTGTAAGAAAACACGTCCAATGTTTCCACTCCTTAGCCGGGATTTAAAAGCTCTCGCTTCACACAGTGAAGCGAGAGCTTTCGCCACCAGACAGAAATATCCCAACACCTGAAACCCATTCTCTTTGCTGACGACACGACTTATGTCATCTCCCACCCTAATCTTGCCACCCTCAACACCATTGTTAATGAGGAGCTTCTCAAAAATATCGACTTGGATGACAGCCAATAAACTTACACTTAACACTGGCAAAACCTACTATATTATGTTTGGTAGCAGAGCAGGTGTTGCGCAACTTAATATTAAGATCGACAACACTCTAATTGCCAGACATAATGAGGGCAAATTCCTTGGCCTATACCTCGACAACAACCTAAATTTCAGCACCCATATCCAACACATAACAAAAAAAGTATCCAAAACGGTGGGGATCCTCTCCAAGATACGATACTACGTGCCGCAAACTGCCCTTCTCACACTATACCATTCATATATCCATACCTCACCTATGCTATCTGTGCTTGGGGATCAACTGCAGCAACACGCCTAAAGACAATAACCCAACAAAAAGCCGCAGTAAGAATAATCACTAAATCCCATCCCTGGCAACACACCCCCCCACTCTTCATAGATCTAAACTTACTCCATTCAGAACATCCACACTTACTACTGTGCAATCTATAACAGGACCTTAAATTCCAATATTAACCTTGACCTAAAATGCTTTCTTGATAGTTGTGACTGGACCCACAGGCATATCACCAGACACAAACATCTCTATGACATTCCCCGTGTTCGACTAAACCTTTACAAAAATTCAATGTATTTCAAAGGACCTAAAATCTGGAACACCCTACCTGAAAACTAGAACTGCAGACACACTCATCACTTTCAAAACTACAGTTAGAAAACATCTTATCTCCCTGATCCACCCCGACAACTAACTACAGGATAACCACCTGGTGGTTCACAATTACACTCACTCACCCACCGACTATAAACCCAGAAATACTAATCTTAATCTTAAAATAATAAATCCTAACTAGTCATAAGTTTACCTATGATACTCCAATATAGACACTTTGCATTGTGCCAAAACAAAAGCATTCACATTGCTAAACTCACAAATTATGATGTAGTCACTTAGCCTTAATACCATAATCTGTAAGGATTTAATGTTAAGAATTAATCTAAGTCTGCTCGAAATGCCTAGCCATGCTAGGTGTCCTAGTGGCCCCCTCTGTAATTAGTATTTTATAACATGTAAACCACACAATACCCAAAACCTGTAAACCCCACATTGTAACACTTATAGAGAATAAACTTGAATTGAATTGAATTGAAAAATAAAGTTTTGATTTTGATTTGGTTTAGCACATCCTACCCTGTAGCGCTGTATGACCCTTGTGGGTTTAGCACTTAGTTTCGATTATAATATAATGCATATAATGGGTTCAGGGACTGGGCTCCTACACTCTGTTCGTTAAGTTTATGGTGCCACGTGGCCTGGTGGCAAAAGCTCTCCCTTCACACGGTGAGGGTCCATGTTCGATTCCCTGCGAAAGGGAATCAAACGTGTTTCCTTACACCGGTTGTCCCTGTTCACCCATCAGTAAAATGGGTACCTGGGTGTTAGTCGACTGGTTTGGGTCGCATCCTGGGACAATTTGCCCGAAATGCTCTTCAGGTCACTTGTTCTATCTAGGCTGGAATATTGCTGCACACTAACAGCACCTTTCAAGGCAGGTGAAATTGCTGACCTAGAAAATGTACAGAGAACCTTCACGGCGCGCGTAACGGAGATAAAACACCTCAATTACTGGGAGCGCTTGAGGTTCCTGTACGCAGGCGGGAGAGATACATGATTATATACACCTGGAAAATCTTAGAGGGACTAGTACCGAACTTGCACACGAAAATCACTCACTACGAAAGCAAAAGACTTGGCAGACGATGCAACATCCCCCCAATGAAAAGCAGGGGTGTCACTAGCACGTTAAGAGACCATGCAATAAGTGTCAGGGGCCCGAGACTGTTCAACTGCCTCCCAGCATACATAAGGGGGATTACCAATAGACCCCTGGCAGTCTTCAAGCTGGCACTGGACAAGCACCTAAAGTCGGTTCCTGACCAGCCGGGCTGTGGCTCACGTTGGTTTGCGTGCAGCCAGCAGCAACAGCCTGGTTGATCAGGCTCTGATCCACCAGGAGGCCTGGTCACAGACCGGGCCGCGGGGGCGTTGACCCCCGGAACTCTCTCCAGGTAAACTCCATAACAAGGGGCTTTCTATATACATAGTAATATGTCATTGATGTCAGTTATGGTCTGTATATCTTGTACATGTACTTGTAGTAAATGAAGATATTATTATTATTATTATTATTATTATTATTATAAGTAAGGTTCTGTACAGTAGTAGTGAACAGTTTATAAGAATAATGGACTCATGAGAACGTAAGAAAGGAGGAGCACTGCTGCAGGCCTACTGGCCTGTGCTAGACAAGCCTAAGTAAAACCCACTCATGTACTTGTCTGACATATTTTACACATGGCTACTCGGGAGGCTGGAGGGCGAAACGTCTACAATAAAGATACCCAGATGTTGCACATGTGTCTTATTTATCTTGCGGGTATTGTATACCATACTTAAATAACCCAATACAATCAGTGCATCATTGCGTCATCGCGTCAACGGTGAATCAGGGCCTGATCAACCAGGCTGTTACTGCTGGTCCCACTGCTAACCAGAAGTAAATCTTTTTTTCGCATTCAGAGTGATTGAGATCTACATTATTCAATTTATAAATGCGATGATAATTCTCTCTTGCCAGGGTTAAAGCATTTTATTACAGTAGTAATAAAATAACTAGAAAAGTGACTGTAGTCTTACACCCAAAATGGAAATAATTCACTTTTCTGACATTTCTGGATTATTTTAAGTAATTTACACATATGTTAAACTATATATGGTAATTGTACTTACGTGTACCTATATCTAAATGAACTTACTTAGCCTCATAACCAAGTAAATATATTGTAAAGAAGTTGCGGTGAAGTACAAAATAGTGCTAAATGACAAGTTTAGTTTAGTTAGTTTAATATGTTTATTATGCACCCCATACCCATCCTGTGGGCGGTAGTCAAAAGATTACAGAGGTACATAATTGGTCCAGGGACTGAACTCCAAAGTAAATGACAAGAAAAAAATTTTATAAACTCGCGGGTAAGACAAAAACTGTGGTGGATGTGACAGCTGCTGCTGGCTGACCCACGTGAAGAAACTGAACAAACTCGCAATTAATTCACTTTTTTTAAGATTCTTTCCTCAACCAACTAGTGCAACACTGGTAGAGAAATACCAGGCTAGCTACAGGGGCGAGACGAGAGCCACATAAGGTTCACTACAGTGACTCGACGACCAATATAGCAGCGCTGTATAGCCCTTGTGGCTTAGCGCTTCTTTTTGATTATAATAATAATACGACCAATATAAGAGGGAATAAGATAGTGAGTGGCTGCATGTGTTAAATCTTCCTGCTTCTTGGACGAGGACACAAAAATGAAGCATTTACAGGTAAGACTTGCCTTTTGAGTGGTAGTTTTATGATTATTCGAGGCAGGGCTCCCCTCAAGGAAGGTTCCTTGATGTTGGTGAGGGGCTCTTGATTTAGGGAATTGGATCTGTGCTCCAGTTCCCCGAATTAAGCCTGAATGCCTTCCACATCCCCCCCCAGGCGCTGTATAATCCTTCGGGTTTAGCGCTTCCCCCTTGATTATAATAATAATAATAATCGAGGCAGGGCTGTATGACCCTTGTAAGTTTAGCGCATAAGATAAGATTTCGTTCGGATTTTTAACCCCGGAGGGTTAGCCACCCAGGATAACCCAAGAAAGTCAGTGCGTCATCGAGGACTGTCTAACTTATTTCCATTGGGGTCCTTAATCTTGTCCCCCAGGATGCGACCCACACCAGTCAACTAGCACTCAGGTACCTACTTGCTGCTAGGTGAACAGGACAACAGGTGTAAGGAAACGTGTCGAAATGTTTCCACCATTGGGGTCCTTGATTTCTATTGGGGTCTATACATTAGACTGCAGCATCCTGCTGTTCACATATATAACATCTTACCTGAGTGACAGGCCAGTAGGCCTGCTGCAGTGGTCCTTCTTTCTCATATTCTTATGTTTCAGCAATTCAGTCAACACAGGGGTTCCACAGGGCAGTATCCTGGGTCCTCTGCTGTTCCTCGTCTACGTCAGGGACTTCCCAATGCTTCACAGGAACTTAAAAGCCAACTTCATTTGTAGATTGCGCAACTTTTGTCATCAGAGTTGGAGTAAGACATATGAGCAACACTAGACCCCAGTGGAAATAAGTCACTTTGACTTTTTTTGGGTTATCCTAGGTAATTTACATGTTATTATGTATGATAATTTGTGTAATCGTATTTGTGTGTATCTGTACCTAAATGTACTTAATTGATGAAACGTTTAGTCTGTGCTGCAGGCTTCATCAGTCAACTACAAAGATATCAGCACCATGCATATGCTGTACTTTGATCAAAATTGATGGACTGAATACATTGACTCAGGTTAAGGGACTGATTACCTCAAAATTCTCATCTTTCACCATTCTTCTCTATACTGGACTGAAGAAATCACTTGTTTGTGAAACTTTTCCACATTAAAGTGTTGTACATGTATCTGTCATGAGTTACAGTGAAAGCATTTTCTTTATCAGGTCACCGTACCACAGGTGATGGCCAGAGTTCTTAAAAAAAAAAAAAATTTAAATTTTATTTCAGGTAGGAAAAGATAATGAGATTCAGGCTTCTGGCTCTGAAGATAAGATGAGTAATGTGGACAACTCCGAGGAAGAAGCAGATGAAGATGAGGATGAAGAGGAGGACGAAGAGGAGGACGAAGAGGAGGAAGCTGATGATGGTTTTAGTGATGAAGAGGAAAAAACAGATGAAAACAATAAGCGTAAACTCCCTGAACAAGTAAGTTTCTATGATGAGTACGTTGCGTGAGTTTAGAAAGGCGGACATGTCTAATTTTCTCATCAATCTTCTTTGTTAGTTATGCATCACAGAGCTCTTTCAACTTGATAAATACTATAGTGTCTCATAAGCATATAAGATGGTAGGTAAATCTTACAACTACTACTAACATTCAGTTACATCATATATGTTAAAATGTGTATGTATGTGTGTGTGTGTACACACTCGTCTAATTTTTCTTCTGAATTTCTTAATAGGTCTTATCCTTATAGTGTTTCCAATCAATTTCCATGAGAAAGTAATCAAACCACGGAACACAAGATGTAGAATTATTTATTATTGTTATGAATTATTAGAAACTGGATGCCCTAGCACTAAGTAAAACAAAGCTTAAAGGGGTGGGAGAATTTCAGTGGGGAGGTGTAAATTGGATTAAACCAAGTATATCTGCAAGAACTGCTTGTGTGTGTATCTGAATTGTTTTTTTTCTGACACAACTGACAGCAGTAGTAGGTGAGAACTTTAGAGTAGTTCTTTGAAGCACATTTGAGTTACTTCTCCTTTCCCATCACTGCATGTACCATTTGTGTGTGGTAAGGAAGTTGAGTGGCCTGTGGTAATTTTTATATATTAAAATTTTGTGCAACCTTTTGGCTGTTCTTGTTAATCTCCTGATCTCATATGTTTATGTAGGTTTATGCAGTATTGTATATCAGTATAATTTTTATTATTATTATTATTAACACACCGGCCAATTCCCACCAAGGCAGGGTGGCCCGAAAAAGAAAAACTTTCACCATCATTCACTCTGTCACTGTCTTGCCAGAAGGGTGTTTTACACTACAGTTTTTAAACTGCAACATTAACACCCCATTAACAACATTAACTTCCCATCTCCAGGACTCAAGTCTGGCCTGCTGGTTTCCCTAAATCCCTTCATAAATGTTACTTTGCTCACACTCCAACAGCACGTCAAGTATTAAAAGCCATTTGTCTCCATTTACTCCTATCAAACACGCTCACGCATGCCCGCTGGAAGTCCAAGCCCCTCGCACACAAAACCTCCTTTACCCCCTCCCTCCAACCTTTCCTAGGCCGACCCCTACCCCGCCTTCCTTCCGCTACAGACTGATACACTCTTGAAGTCATTCTGTTTCACTCCATTCTCTCTACATGTCCGAAGCACCTCAACAACCCTTCCTCAGCCCTCTGGACAACAGTTTTGGCAATCCCGCACCTCCTCCTAACTTCCAAACTACGAATTCTCTGCATTATATTCACACCACACATTGCCCTCAGACATGACATCTCCACTGCCTCCAGCCTTCTCCTCGCTGCAACATTCATCACCCATGCTTCACACCCATGTAAGAGCGTTGGTAAAACTATACATGTACTCTCATACATTCCCCTCTTTGCCTCCAAGGACAAAGTTCTTTGTCTCCACAGACTCCTAAGTGCACCGCTCACCCTTTTCCCCTCATCAATTCTATGATTCACCTCATCTTTCTCCAACACCCAAAACATTCTTAATCATGCACTAGCCTTGTGTCAGGACCTGGGGTTAATAATCTCAGGGGATAAAACAAAGATACTCAACAGGCGTCCTCCTCGACAGAGAGGCACAGTTCGTCAGATCCAGTTGCATGATGGGTCTCTTCTAGAATATGTAAGCAGATACAGGTATCTAGGATTTGAGGTTCCACTACTTGGACCTGTTGTAACGAGACTTTGTCACCAATACAAAGAAAGGCTGAGAGCACTAAGAGTTGTGGCAGGTTTTCATCCCAGGTATGGAACTAATGTTAAAATTGTGAAAATGATGTATCTTGCTTATATTAGATCATTGGTTGATTATGCTGCGCCACTACTTGCAATCGTGTCTGACTGGAAGCTTGGAGGGCTGGAAAAACTGCAAAACGAAGCAATGAGGATCGTCCTAGGATGCCCTCGTACTGCCAAAATTCTAAATATGCGGAAAGAACTTAACATTCCAACCATTAGAGATCGTGTTACTGAAAGAAATATCCTTATTGGGGTCAATATGCTTAGATTAGCCCATTCAAACCCCTGCACAGAAGCCCTCCAAACTTTCCTCAGCACTGGTGAACATCCTTCCAGATGGATCGAAAAAACTGGAACCGACCTCCACATGAACCAGCTACATGATCTATGTCAAGTTAAACAACAGAGACATTTCCCTGCTCCATGGGATATTACCCCATTCCAAACTACCATTCCTCCATTTCCCCCCAAAACTCTTCTTAAATCACAACCAAAGCTTCGTCTTGAAGCCACACATGATGCCTTAAGCTATATTGATAACTTAGTCACACAGAACACTCTTTCACAAATTATTTACATTGATGGTTCTGTTCACCAGTCCACTGGTGCAGCTGGTAGTGCTGCTGTTGTCATACAGAGTGATGGCTCTCATAAAGAAATTGGAGCACGCATCAATAACTGGGCCTCTAAAACCAACCATACCCCCGGCCGGGATTGAACCCACGGTCATAGAGTCTCAAAACTCCAGCCCGTCGCGTTAGCCACTAGACCAGCTAGCCACAATAAGATTCATCCAACTAGGTATATTTCTACACCATAGGAAGGTTAGCACAGGCACCACTGTGACCACAAATGCAAGTTTTTACAGACGAATCTCCAGCTAGCGTGGCCGTGACGAACTCTAGCTCAAGTCCCTTCACTGCCGTCAACATGACTCAAGAAATCGTAATGACACGATTGCAAACAAACCATATCCCCGGCCGGGATTGAACCCGCAGTCATAGAGTCTCAAAACTCTATGACCGCGGGTTCAATCCCGGCCGGGGGTATGGTTTGTTTGCAATCGTGTCATTACGATTTCTTGAGTCACTGGGCCTCTACCCTTCAAACAGAAATGTTTGCCATACTCCTTGTACTCAAATGCGTCCATGTATCTAAGGTTGACACTTTAATGGTAACTGATTCTCTGTCATCCATAAATGCTCTCAACTCATTAAGTATAAATTGTGGAATGCTTGTGTCAGAAGCCAGACATAGGTATGGTAAGATTGTGGACAGTGGAGTCAGAGTGCACATGCTATGGATTCCATCTCACATTGGTCTTCAGATGCATGATAGAACAGATAAATTGGCTAAACTGTATGCTTTCAAAGAGGGAGTAGATTACAATCTTGGGTTGTCAGTTAGCAGTTTGAGAACAATACGAAAAGAACTTCAAATGAACTTTATTGACTTAAGACTTAGGGAGATTGACACAAGTCAGTCCATCTATCATCAATCCATCATGCAGAAGGAGCCACATGTCTATGGTGCATCCAACAAGATAAGCAAACTCTTGGATGTCACTGCTGCCCGGCTCCGGCTGGGTTACAAGTACAGTGGTCCCCCGCTTTTCGTAGTTCCCGGCAATCGTAAATTTCGCCAATCATAGGGGTATTTTCGTATAAACTTGGACTCGCTTTTCCTAGGTTGACTCGCGAGTCGTAGTTCGTCCGGGATGCGTACCCACGGCGTGAGCCGGGGCGGCAGCCAGTCTGACATTGTTTACCAGTGAGCGAAGGTCCCCTCACGTGCTCCAGCGAAATATTTCATAATATTTCATTTATTTTAGTGCTTGCAAGTACTAAATAAGCTACCATGGCTCCAAAGAAAGCTCCTAGTGCCAAGCCTGTGGTAAAGAAGGTGAGAAATACGATTGAATTTAAGAAAACCATCATTGAACAATATGAAAGTGGTACAAGTGTGGCCGAACTGTCCAGGATGTATAAGAAACCCTACATAACCTTATGTTCCATAGTGGCCAAGAAAAAGGAAATCAAGGATGCTGTTGTTGCAAAGGGGGTAACTATGCTGACAAAAATGAGATCACCAGTACTTGAAGAGGTTGAGAAGTTATTATTGGTGCGGATAAATGAGAAACAGTTAGCAGGAGATACTCTTATGACTTCGATTATTTGTGAAAAGGCTAAGCAGTTGCATGAAGATTTGGTAAAGAAATTGCGTGCAAATAGTGGTGATGTGGGTGAATTTAAGGCCAGCAAAGGCTGGTTTGAGAGATTTAAGAACCGTACTGGCATACACAGTGTGGTAAGGCATGGTGAGGCTGCCAGTTTGGACCACAAGGCGGCTGAAAAATATGTGCATGAATTCCAGGAGTACATAGAGGCTGAAGGACTGAAACCTGAACAAGTGTTCAATTGTGATGAAACAGGCTTCTTTTGGAAGAAAATGCCAAAGAGGACCTTCATTACACAAGAGGAAAAGGCAATGCCAGGACACAAGCCTTTGAAAGACAGGCTGACGCTAATGTTCTGTGCTAATGCTAGTGGGGATTTCAAAGTGAAGCCATTACGTACTAGTGTACCATTCTGAAAATCCCAGAGTGTTCAGGAAAAACAATGTTATTACCTGGAGTTTACCTGGAGAGAGTTCCGGGGGTCAACGCCCCCGAGGCCCGGTCTGTGACCAAGCCTCCTGGTGGATCAGAGCCTGATCAACCAGGCTGTTGCTGCTGGCTGCACGCAAACCAACGTACGAGCCACAGCCCGGCTGGTTAGGAACCGACTTTAGGTGCTTGTCCAGTGCCAGCTTGAAGACTGCCAGGGGTCTGTTGGTAATCCCCCTTATGTATGCTGGGAGGCAGTTGAACAGTCTCGGGGCCCCTGACACTTATTGTATGGTCTCTTAACGTGCTAGTGACACCCCTGCTTTTCATTGGGGGGATGTTGCATCGTCTGCCAAGTCTTTTGCTTTCGTAGTGAGTGATTTTCGTGTGCAAGTTCGGTACTAGTCCCTCTAGGATTTTCCAGGTGTATATAATCATGTATCTCTCCCGCCTGCGTTCCAGGGAATACAGGTTTAGGAACCTCAAGCGCTCCCAGTAATTGAGGTGTTTTATCTCCGTTATGCGCGCCGTGAAGGTTCTCTGTACATTTTCTAGGTCAGCAATTTCACCTGCCTTGAAAGGTGCTGTTAGTGTGCAGCAATATTCCAGCCTAGATAGAACAAGTGACCTGAAGAGTGTCATCATGGGCTTGGCCTCCCTAGTTTTGAAGGTTCTCATTATCCATCCTGTCATTTTTCTAGCAGATGCGATTGATACAATGTTATGGTCCTTGAAGGTGAGATCCTCCGACATGATCACTCCCAGGTCTTTGACGTTGGTGTTTCACTCTATTTTGTGGCCAGAATTTGTTTTGTACTCTGATGAAGATTTAATTTCCTCGTGTTTACCATATCTGAGTAATTGAAATTTCTCATCGTTGAACTTCATATTGTTTTCTGCAGCCCACTGAAAGATTTGGTTGATGTCCGCCTGGAGCCTTGTTATGAAGAGTAAATTGTGTGTGTTTTGGAAATCTAATAGTAAGGCATGGGTCACGAGGGAAATTTTCGTTGAGTGGTTCAATGAAGTGTTTGGCCCTAGTTTGAAGGAGTCTCTCCTGGAAAAGAAATTGGATCTCAAGTGCCTCCTAGTAATGGACAATGCACCTGCTCATCCTCCAAACTTGGATGACCTAATTTTCGAGGAGTTTGGGTTCATCACAGTAAAGTTCTTGCCCCCGAATACCACTCCTCTCCTCCAGCCCATGGACCAGCAGGTCATTGCAAACTTTAAAAAACTCTACACAAAAGCAATGTTTCACAGGTGCTTGACTGTGACCACAGACACTCACTTGACCCTAAGGGAATTTTGGAGAGAACACTTCAGCATCCTCCATTGCATAACCCTTATAGGTATGGCTTGGGAGGGAGTGACAACCAGGACTTTGAACTCTGCCTGGAGAAAATTGTGGCCAGATTGTGTCGACAAGGGGGATTTTGAAGGGTTTGGGACTGACCCTAATGAGCCTATGTCTGTTGTAAAATCAATTGTGGCACTGAGGAGTTCCGTGGGGTTGGATGTGAGTTTGGAGGATGTGGAAGAATTGGTGGAAGACCACAACGAAGAGCTCACCACTGAGGAGCTGCAAAAGCTTCATCAGGAAGAGCAACACATCGCAGCTCAGAATCTTGCTGCAGAGGAGGAGGAGAAGAAAGATGGAAGAAGGTGCCTTCTTCAGAAATTAAAGAGATTTTTACTATGTGGGGTAAGTTGGAAAGCTTTATGGAGAAACATCACCCTAACAAGGTTGTTGCAAGCCAGGTTGGCAGCATGTACAGTGACAAAGTCTTGGGCCATTTTAGGGAAGTGTTAAAGAGACGCCAGAAACAGAGCTCTCTCCACAGTTATTTTGCGAGACAGGAATCCAGTGACTCTCAAGGTGGTCCTAGTGGCATTAAAAAACAGAGAAGAGAAGCAACCCCAGAAAAGCAATTGGTACCTGAGGTGTTGCTGGAAGGGGATTCCCCTTCCAAACTATAACCAAGCCACTCGCTCTCCTCCTCCAGTCTCCCATACACTAAGAAGAATCTCCAATAAAGGTAAGTGTTATGCTGTTAATGTTTCATTCATCATTTCCCATTGTATTGTGTGTGTACTACATGTATATTTCATGTAAAATTTTTTTTTGTTTTAATACTTCTGGGTGTCAGGAACGGATTAATTGTATTTACATTATTTCTTATGGGGAAAATTGATTTGTAAATTGTAAATTTCGTTTATAGTAATGGCTCTAGGAACGGATTAATTACGAAAAACGAGGGACCACTGTATCTATGGCAGGTTAAATCACCACCACCAGATGTAGACCAAATGAAATGTAAACTTTGCCAGATGGACTATTGTCACACCTTGCGTCATTATGTACTGGAGTGTGATCAAATTAATGAATTTAGAGACAATTCACTCAGAAATGTTCAAGAAATGGCAAAGTATTTTATCCACAGTGGTATATTACAGACCATTCTGGAGAAATACCCTGACTTTGCTAGCTGTAAATAATGCATTACCATGTGTATGTGTGTGTGTGTGTGTGTGTGTGTGTGTGTGTGGGTGTGGGTGTGGGTGTGGGTGTGTGTGTGTGTGGGTGTGTGTGCGGGTGTGTGTGCAGGTGTGGGTGTGTGTGTGGGTGTGGGTGTGGGTGTGTGTGTGTGTGTGTGTGTGTGTGTGTGTGTGTGTGTGTGTGTGTGTGTGTGCGCGTGCTTGTGTGTATGCATATATTTGTATGCTCGTGTGCATATGTCCATGCGTGCGCCCTCGTGTGTGTATGTGTGCGCGCGCTAGTGTGGGTGTGTGACCCACTTAATATTTGTATGTATAACTCATTACAATTGTGACCAGGTGTGGACGTATCAGTGGTTCATTACTTTGTAATTTGTTCATGACTGTAACCATGTATAGGAGTGAGGCTGATTCATTACCTCTGTAACTTGCCATGATTGTGACTAGATCTACCTGAAGTTCATTACCTTTGTAACTAGTTCAGCTATCATAACTTTGGGGTCCAGTCCCTGGACCCATTATGTACCTTTGTAATCTTTTGACTACCGCCCACAGGATGGGTATGGGGTGCATAATGAAGATATTAAACTAACTAACTAACTTTCATAGATCTGTCTGCTGACACATCCGCTCCCAAATATCTGAATACATTCACCTCCTCCATGCTCTCTCCCTCCAATCTGATATCCAATCTTTCATCACCTAATCTTTTTTTGTTATCCTCATAACCTTACTCTTTCCTGTATTCACTATTAATTTTCTTCTTTTGCATACCCTACCAAATTCATCCACCAACCTCTGCAACTTCTCTTCAGAATCTTCCAAGAGCACAGTGTCATCAGCAAAGAGCAACTGTGACAACTCCCACTTTATGTGTGATTCTTTATCTTTTAACTCCACGCCTCTTGCCAAGACCCTCGCATTTACTTCTCTTACAACCCCATCTATAAATATATTAAACAACCACAGTGACATTACACATTCTTGTCTAAAGTCTACTTTTACTGGGAAATAATCTCCCTCTTTCCTACATACTCTAACTTGAGCCTCACTATCCTCGTAAAATCTCTTCACTGCTTTCAGTAACCTACCTCCTATACCATACACCTGCAACATCTGCCACATTGCCCCCCTATCCACCCTGTCATATGCCTTTTCCAAATCCATAAATGCCATATGGATATATATGTATGAAACCTTACAGCTGTTCTTGTTAATCTGATCTCATACTTTTATGTAGGTTCATGCTGTTCTTGTTAATCCCCTGTTCTCATATTTTTATGCAAGATTATACAGTACTGTATATCAAAAAATTATTATTACTGTATTTACAGGGTGGAAAGCAAGCAAAGTCTGCTAAACGGGACAGTAAAGATGGAAGTTTATACAAACTACCAACAATGGAGGAACTAAACACTCTAAGGGAGACTCAGATGCTGTATCATTCCAACCTCTTTCGAATGCAGGTATGAAAGCCCTCTTTTGTAAGTAATGTATGGTAGATATATTCTTTCAACACACCGGCCATATCCCACCAAGGCAGGGTGGCCCGAAAAGAAAAATGAAAGTTTCTCTTTTAAATTTAGTAGTTTATACGGGAGAAGGGGTTACTAGCCCCTTGCTCCCGGCATTTTAGTCGCCTCTTACAACACGCATGGCTTACGGAGGAAGAATTCTGTTCCACTTCCCCATGGAGATAAGAGGAAATAAACAAGAACAAGAACTAGAAAGAAAATAGAAGAATACCCAGAGGGGTGTGTATATATATGCTTATACATGTATGTGTAGTGTGACCTAAGTGCAAGTAGAAGTAGCAAGACATGCCTGAAATCTTGCATGTTTATGAGACAGACAAAAGACACCAGCAATCCTACCATCATGTAAAACAATTACAGGTTTTCATTGTACACTCACTTGGCAGGACAGTAGTACCTCCCTGGGCAGTTGCTGTTTACCAACCTACTACCTAGGATGGTAGATATATCTTCTTTCTTTCAACACACCGGCCATATCCCACCGAGGCGGGGTGGCCCAAAAGGAAAAACAAAAGTTTCTCCTTTTACATTTACTAATATATACAGGAGAAGGGGTTACTAGCACCTTGCTCCTGGCATTTTAGTCGACTCTTACAACACGCATGGCTTACGGAGGAAGAATTCTGATCCACTTCCCCATGGAGATAATAGGAAATAGACAAGAACAAGAACTAAAAAAGAAAATAGAAGAAAACCCAGAGGGGTATGTATATATATATGCTTGCACATGTATGTGTAGTGTGACCTAAGTGTAAGTAGAAGTAGCAAGACGTACCTGAAATCTTGCATGTTTATGAGACAGACAAAAGACACCAGCAGTCCTACCATCATGTAAAACAATTACAGGTTTTCGTTGTACACTCACTTGGCAGGACGGTAGTACCTCCCTGGGCGGTTGCTGTTTACCAACCTAGGATGGTAGATATATATAGTCATGTAATATCTTTGTGTATTAGTCACCAGGTGCCAGGTCAACCAGGCTATGATGGGCATGTGGGGCAGCGGGCCTTCAATAGCAACAGCCTGGTGGACCAGGCTAGCACCAGACAAGCCTGGCCCATGGCCAGGCTCTGAGAGTAGTAAAGACTCGAAACTCATTAAAGGCATAGTCCATTAGGACTTTGAAGTTTGTAGATTCTTCTCAAAGAATGCTGTGATAAGTTTTGATGTAATTAAATTGTAATTCTGTTCTTTATATTTTCTTTACACTGTACAAACTTTATTTTGACAGTAGCCTCAAATTCCAGACACACATACAACGAATTTCCAAGAAAATCTCTAAGACAATAGGCATACTATCAAAGATACGGTACTATGTTCCACAATCAGCTCTCCTTGCACTGTATCATTCACTCATCTACCCTTATATCACATATGGAATTTGTGCATGGGGATCAACAACATTAAATCACCTAAGACCACTAATAACACAGCAAAAGGCTGCAGTCAGAATGATGATAAATTCCCATTCCCGACAGCATACCCCACCAATATTCAAAAGTTTAAATCTGCTCACCATAAAGAACATCCATACTTATTCACGTGCCTACTACATACATAGAACAATATACGCAAACATAAACCCTCCACTCAAACTTCTCACCAACCTTAACAGGACACATGACCATAACATAAGACACAGATCTCTTTTTGATGTACCCCGTGTCCATATCGTACTGTGTAAAAACTCTATGCACATAAAGGTTCCCAAAATTTGGAATTCATTACCAGAAAATACTAAAACCCGGTCTGAAAATCAGTTTAAGACTCTTCTCAAAAACCACTTAATCACCCTAGACTAAATACTCAATACTCAATATTTAACTTTACCAATAAATCTCTCAATCACCTAAATCTTAAATTTCAAGACTATGATAACCAAGTTCATACATTGACTAATACTACATAGTAGTATAAATACCTACCCAAAACAGTATTGCCCTACACCAAATTGTAGCATTCTCATACTGTAAACTACTTTTAGCAAGTCGCAATGTTATATTCCCATAATGTAATTTCAATAATTACTTTTGAACCTATTGTTCATTGTCGACAAGATTATAATTGAATCATGTTTCACAAAAAACATTTTTGAAAATATGAATATATACTTTAGTTTATATAAATTAGATTAATTTATAATAAATAGAAATATTGTACAAATATGATACATTTCTCTAGTGTTAAGTACTCAGTAAGCCATTAAATTAAGTTGGCCCATAATGCCTAGGCATAATAGAGGCTCTTTTTGCACTGCAACCCATTATTGTAAATACTACATAACCTCAGTGTACTACTTGCAAAGAAATGAATAAATTTGAATTTGAAATTTGTAATACCACTAACAACAAAATTAATACAGTGGACCCCCGCTTTACGATCACCTCCCAATGCGACCGATTATGTAAGTGTATTTATGTAAGTGCGTTTGTACGTGTATGTTTGGGGGTCTGAAATGGGCTAATCTAATTCACAATATTCCTTATGGGAACAAATTCGGTCAGTACTGGCACCTGAACATACTTCTGGAATGAAAAAATATCGTAAACCGGGGGTCCACTGTATATTAAAAATAATGATGCTTACAAACCATACCCCCGGCCGGGATTGAACCCGCGGTCATAGAGTCTCAAAACTTGAAGGCATTGTTGGTTATTCATAATCCTTTTGGCATTTCACATTTTAAAGGAAAATAGTTAAATCTTCTTTCTTTCAACAAACCGGCTGTATCCCACCGAAGCAGGGTGGCCCAAAAAGAAAAACAAAAGTTTCTCTTTTTAAATTTAGTAATTTGTACAGGAGAAGGGGCTACTAGCTCCTTGGTCCTGGTATTTTAGTCGCCTCTTACAACACGCATAGCTTACGGAGGAAGAATTCCACTTCCCTATGGAGATAGGAGGAAATAAACAAGAATAAAAACTAGTAAGAAAATAGAAGAAAACCCAGAGGGTGTGTATATATATGCTTGTACATGTATGTGTAGTGTGACCTAAGTGTAAGTAGAAGTAGCAAGATGTACCTGAAACCTTGCATGTTTGAGACAGAAAAATGGACACCAGAAATCCTACCATCATGTAAAACAATTACAGGCTTTCGTTTTACACTCACTTGGCAGGACGGTAGGACCTCCCTGGGCGGTTGCTGTCTACCAACCTACTACCTAGGAATAGTTAGATATTCTGTTGTATTTATTCATTGAATGCACTTCTTGTAATCTTTATTCTTTTCATTGCATGTTTTTTGTACTATAAGTACTGTAGCAGTCTTTTTCTATGATAATCAGCTTTTTAAAGTTTTTAAAAGATCTTTAGTTTTATGGAGGTAGTTAAAATATTTTGTCTTCTGAGTCTCCTCTTCAATGTAGGTCTTTCTAAGAGGATGTAGGGGGTAATAGTATGGACAGACTAATCAGTTAGCATGATGGTTGGAGCCAAGTAATTTTATACATGCCCAATATTTACACATTTGTATTTTAAAGAGGATTGGAAGACTGCTTTACCCATTAATTAATTGCTTCACTTAATTTCTAAGTAATTGTACTAATGGGAGTATATTGATGAGCAGATGGAAGAGATGCTGATGGAGGTTAGCATGAAGGAACAGTATCGTCAGCAGCTGGACCAGTGGTTTGTCCAGTTCTCGACACATCTGAAGTCTATGGTGCCATCTTCAGAACACAAGGTCAGATGATAGATCACTATTTGGCTTGAACTTGAATGATTAGCTGGTACATGTCCTGGTCTGGGTCTTTTCCAGATGGTGACCCAGCAGTGGCCCTCCCTGGGTGGAGGGTGTTGCTCATCTTCTTTCTTATGTCCTGCATGGACATCTTGCTGTGGTCCCTCTGGTTGGAGGGTGACATTCATCTTCTTCAATCTTGCCATGGCTCCCCGGGGTGGGAAATGTCTATGGTCGTCTTTGGTAGTGGTCATTTTTTCTTTCTCATACTCTGGTCACATCTTGGTAAGCATGCATCCTCTTGAGTCTTTGGACGCTTGCTGTCCCAGCTAGTGTTGTGATCTTGAAGAGGTCCTCATGGCATCGGCAGAGTATGTCTCGGCACCCGTGAGGCAGAGTCGCTGGTGCTGTTGGCTGGCATCTGCTGTCCTGGAACAGGCTGTTCTGCAATATTGTTTGGATGTAAGGATGAACTAATGAGCAAAAATTTTTTTTTCACTCAGACTTTATTAGACTTTTAGCTTCTTTTTGCTTTAAGTTCTTCAACTGCCCGAGGTCAACAAAATTGGTGTCTTTTAGCTAAATGCATACAAGTCTCTACTCACAAAACAGTATTAATTTATGCAGGTACATCCATGTCATTTGTTATTATAATAAACTTTTATTAAAATACTGATATTTGTTTCACCAAATACTGATATTTGTTTTCTATAAGACTAAAAGTGTTGCTTCTAAAGTCTTTTACTGTATTGCTGAGAGTGGTTGAATATCATTTAGAGATAGTCCATGAGGCCATCTTTGTCAGAGAGGCAGATTTCCATGAAGGGAAGAATGAGAAACTACAGAATGAATGGGGCTCGAATCCATGATAGGCATTTTGTCATGTGTTTGTTATCGTGTTTTTATGTTATCATGAGTCAAGACGAAGTAGAAGCTTAAGAACAAAGCAAAATACTATATCGTGGTATGGTACCATGATATAGTATTCTGATGGTATGGTACCATGATATAGTATGCAATAAAATGGTTGTTATTACTTTTTTTTTTTTTTTTTTTTTTTTTTTTTTCAACAAGTCGGCCGTCTCCCACCGAGGCAGGGTGACCCAAAAAAGAAAGAAAATCCCCAAAAAGAAAATACTTTCATCATCATTCAACACTTTCACCACACTCGCACATTATCACTGTTTTTGCAGAGGTGCTCAGAATACAACAGTCTAGAAGCATACACATATAAAGATACACAACATATCCCTCCAAACTGCCAATATCCCAAACCCCTCCTTTAAAGTGCAGGCATTGTACTTCCCATTTCCAGGACTCAAGTCCGACTATATGAAAATAACCGGTTTCCCTGAATCCCTTCACTAAATATTACCCTGCTCACACTCCAACAGATCTGTCTTCTACCAAATTTTGACTGACATTTGAATTGTAAAGAAATTTTGTAAGAGAAATTTTAGGTATTAATTTTTGCTACATCCACTGTTCTCACCCATGAAGGGTAACCCAATGAAAAAAAGGCAAAATTTTCTTACTCTTTATTTTAGATTTATTTTTTTAGAAATAATAATTTTTTTTTTTTAATTTTTGGCTAATCAGTAAAATGATTATTCCTCAAGGGAAGTGCTTTAATGCTGATATAAGGTTCTTAATTTAAGAAATTGCAGCTATCCTTCCTTTTCATAGGCCAAACCTGATCGCCTCTCATATTCCCAGACAGTGTGTGGCCCTCAACAGGTTTAGTGCTCCTCCATGAACGTAATAATGATAATAATAATAATAACAACAAGAATACAGTGGACCCCCGCATAACGATTACCTCCAAATGCGACCAATTATGTAAGTGTATTTATGTAAGTGCGTTTGTATGTGTATGTTTGGGGGTCTGAAAGGAATAATCTACTTCACAATATTCCTTATGGGAATAAATTCGGTCAGTACTGGCACCTGAACATACTTATGGAGTGAAAAAATATCGTTAACCGGGGGTCCACTGTAATAGGATGACTCAAACCTTTTAACCCCTTGACTGTCGCAACCCCCAATCCTGAGGTGTCTCCTGGTGTCGCAAAATTTAAAAAAAAAAAAAAAAAATCTTATGAAATGATAGAGAATCTTTTCCCGATTGTAAAGACACCAAAAACAACGAAATTTGATGGAAAACTGACGGAATTACGCTCTCGCGAAATTAGTGACCTTGGCGATATTTACAAATCGGCGATTTCGCCCACTTTGAGCCCTATTTTCGGCTAATTCCATTATTCCAGTCAACCAAACTCGTAGATATTTCTTCAGAACTCCATTTTTTCTATCGATTGAGTACAAGAAACTGCCCATTTACCGATTTCAACTATCCAATAACATGGTTAGAAATTTGCAATTTGGCCAATTTCACGAAAATTAAAAAATATGACAATTTCAAAATAAGGTCCAGAATAAACAATGCAGACATTCCTGGCTCTAAAATAACATTTTCTTTGTTCATCAGTCATGTCTCCAGGCCCCTCTGATATTACTCTTGCTTTTTATTTTGAAATTTTATTCAAACAAAAAATAGAAGATTTACTGTTATGCAGACTACTCCAATATTGTAATAATTATATAAATAATGTCAACCCATTCATGACTGCATATTAGAATGGCTATTTGGACATTTATTGGACAATGACATCATTTGTTTACTTTTGAACATCGGCAAAAATCAAACATTTCCCGTAATTTGTGCTCCATTTACAGGTTCTTTTTATAGTAAAATTAATCAAAATCACCTCTATCTCCATAATATATTTTTCATTCTATCAAATGAGACCAAGAAAACGAGAATACAACCATAAATACTATACAAAAATAGACCACAAAGTCGGCATTTTAATTAAAAAAAACAGTCGGAGGTTTTTTTTTCTCATTATGCACTGCGTGCTCCAGGATTTTTTTTATATGGTGCACACTGACCACACAGACCCATTCTCTCACATGTGGGCCTACCAGCTTTCTCCTGCTTGATTTGAAGCCTCTAGAATTTGAGTATATATGCGTCAAACATGGTACCTCGTAAGACATATATATACGGCCGCGACAGTCAAAGGGTTAAAGAATAAACGGAGCATTTGAATCCTCTTCATATTTAGTAATAGATTTACTTTGTTTTAATGTAAAATCTAGATTTTTTCAGATTTTTGCCAGTGATTCCTTATAATTTTTCCTTTGATACTGCAAGCTCACTTGTATTAACAGGTAAATTTATCCCAACAGCTTTGTCAAACAAAGTGGATGGATGAGAATGGAGTTTCTGACCCATTGGTGCAGGATATGCCCAAGGCCAGAGGAACCTTTCTGTTTGCTGCACCTACAGATGTGCAGTTTGTTGGTTCCTTTGCTTCAGGCACAATAACAACACGAAATTGCAGCGTTGATATCATGATCACCCTTCCCAAGGTATGGTATATTATCAGCCATATGCCATGAGTAATACTCTCTCACCCTCTCGTGTAATGAATGCAAAAAAAAATTAGAAAAATGATCAGAATATAGAAAAGGTGCTTGTTGAGATATAATCAGTATCTTTTCTTATTTTTTTGGTGGTCGCTCCCACAGCCTGACCAGTACGTCTGTTAAGGTAGTAGGTTGGTAGACAGCAGCCGCCCAGGGAGGTACAGTGGACCCTCAACCAACACTGGCATCGTCCAATGTTAAATCTGACTAGCGATACATTTTAATGCAAAAATTTTGCCTTGACTAGCGCTAAAAAATTCAACGCGATTCGCTCCTTCCGAGACGCGTCCACTTGTGGCCAGTGTTTACAAGCCAGTCAGCCAGCCACCGCGGTCCCATCCAAACATACAATCGGAACATTTCATATTATTACAGTGTTTGTAGTGATTGTACTTGCAAAATAAGTCACCATGGGCCCCAAGAAAGCTTCTAGTGCCAACCCTACAGCAAAAAGGGTGAGAATTACTATGGATATGAAGAAAGAGATCATTGCTAAGTATGAAAGTGGAGTGCGTGTCTCCGAGCTGGCCAGGTTGTACACAAAACCCCAATCAACCATCGCTACTATTGTGGGCAAGAAAACAGCAATCAAGGAAGCTGTTCTTGCCAAAGGTGCAACTATGTTTTCAAAACTGAGATCGCAAGTGATAGAAGATGTTGAGAGACTGTTATTGGTGTGGATAAATGAAAAACAGATAGCAGGAGATAGCATCTCTCAAGCAATCATATGTGAAAAGGCTAGGATGTTGCATGTCGATTTAATTAAAAAAATGCCTGCAACTAGTGGTGATGTGTGCTAATGCTAGTGGTGATTGCAAAGTGAAGCCTTTATTGGTGTATCGCTAAGAAACTCCCAGAGTGTTCAGGAAAAACAATGTCCTCAAGGACTTGACACCAAGTCCTAATGGAAGGGGATTCCCCTTCTAAACATTAACACTATCCACACTCTCCCCTCCTCCCATCCCATCAATCATCACCAAATCTTCATTAATTAAAGGTAAGTGTCAATTATTCTATTGTTATTAATCTATTGTTATTGTTGCTATTGTAATTATTCTATTGCATTAAACTTAATATTTCATGTGGTAAATTTTTTTTTTTCATACTTTTGGGTGTCTTGCACGGATTAATTTGATTTCCATTATTTCTTTTGGGGAAAATTAACTCGACTAACGATAATTTTGACTAACGATGAGCCCTCAGGAACGGATTAATATCGTTGGTCGAGGGTCCACTGTGCTACCGTCCTACTAAGTGAGTGTGAAATGGAAGCCTGTAATTGTTTTACATGATGGTAGGATTGCTGGTGTCTTTTTTTGTCTCGTAAACATGTAAGATTTCAGGTACGTCTTGCTACTTTTACTTGCATTAGGTCACACTACACTTGCGTGTACAAGCATTCATATACACACCCCTCTGGGTTTTCTTCTATTTTCTTACTAGCTCTTGTTCTTATTTATTTCCACATATCTCCATGGAGAAGTAGAACAGAAGTCTTCCTCCGTAAGGCATGCGTGTTGTAAGAGGCAACTAAAATGCCAGGAACAAGGGGCTAGTAACCCCTTCTCCTGTATACATTACTAAAATTAAAAAGAGAAATTTTGTTTTTCTTTTTGGGCCACCCTGCCTCAGTGGGATATGGCCAGTTTGTTGAAAGAAGTTTTGTTATTGTTGGGTAGAAGGGTTGAGCAACTCACAGTATGTGTATAAACACTGTGACCAATAATATGAATTTACCCAAACTGTAGTGTGTGTATTTTTTCCTAAGAAAGTAGTTTTGATTATAATAACAGTGTGCAACTGCAGTACCATAAATATAAATACTGCAACATTTGAACACTGGCAATTTATGTCTGCATGTTAAGACTTGGAATGATGCTTACAAAGAAGCAGTAAAGCATTTGAACTACTGGGAATGCTTACAAAGTAAGCATTCCCAGAAGAGAGATACCTGATTATATAGACATAAAAGATATTTGAGGGCTTAGTCCCAAATCTACACATTACCTTAACAGTGTACTAGAGAGATCCATATAAAAAGAAATGTATACGTTTACCTTATATCTTTGATGAGTTCTGAGAGTTGTTCTACTCCCAGAGTCCAGCCAGTATGTCTAAGGACACATGAAGGTGTAGTAGCTGATTTGCCCTGTGGTGAGCCACAGCAGCAGTACCTTATCGGTGCTGGGCTTAGTAGCCTGAATGATTAATTCAAAAAGACTTGATATGTTTTATAATGACTCTTTTAAGGCTTTGGTAACAGTATTTTTGTAAACACACCAGCCGTCTCCCATCGAGGTAGGGTGACCCGGAAAAGAAGAAACGCTTTCACCATAACTCGCTCCATTACCATCGTGCAAGAGATGTGCTGACACTATAGTTCAGATACCTCTCCAAACTACAATATCCCACCCCTCCTCCAGAGTGCTGGCACTGTACTTTCCACCTCCAGGACTAAATTTTTATCCCTCTCTTCATTACAGAAATGTGTACATGCTGCAGATTGGCGAAATGGAAGGTGGCTGGTAAAGCGAATCAAGTACTTAGCCTGGATAGCGATCTCTTTGCAAAATAAAACAGAACTTGTAGCAGATTTAAACTGGACTACTCATTTGGGAAGCTCGCTTAGACCCGTGCTGCAGGTTAGTGTTTGATTACTAATAAATTTTTACCCTCGAGTTTTTATGTATCAGCTTACGGTGAAAAAAAGCCTTCCATTATCCATGTATAGTTTTGTCTCATGTCATTTTAACATTTCATACTTATTCATTGCCTGCCATCCATATGCTATTGACTGTTCTCTCTTCCCCTTCATGTTGTTTACCATGGCTCTCTTATTATTTTTCCCATTTCTGTCATATTTCTTGATGCCATACTCATAACAAAATAGAAAATGGTAGGCATTTAGCTTTTAAATTAGTCATTTTAGTAGCCAGAGCATGTCATAGCTACTATTTTGAATTTAGGTAATAAATACACATACATAGGTAGTAGGTTGGTAGACAGCAACCACCCAGGGAAGTACTACCGTCCTGCCAGATGACTGTGAAACAAAAACCTGTAACTGTTTTGCATGATGGTAGGATTGCTGGTTTCTTTTTCTGTCTCATAAACACGCTAAGATAACAGGGATATCTTGCTACTCCTACTTACACTTTGGTCACACTTCACAGACACGCACATGCATATATATATATACATACATCTAGGTTTTTCTCCCTTTTTCTAAATAGCTCTTGTTCTTTTTTATTTCTTCTATTGTCCATGGGGAAGTGGAAAAGAATCTTTCCTCCGTAAGCCATGCGTGTCGTATGAGGCGACTAAAATGCCGGGAGCAATGGGCTAGTAACCCCTTCTCCTGTATACAATTACTAAAAAAGAGAAGAAGAAAAACTTTATAAAACTGGGTTGCTTAAATGTGCGTGGATGTAGTGCGGATGACAAGAAACAGATGATTGCTGATGTTATGAATGAAAAGAAGTTGGATGTCCTGGCCCTAAGCGAAACAAAGCTGAAGGGGGTAGGAGAGTTTCAGTGGGGGGAAATAAATGGGATTAAATCTGGAGTATCTGAGAGAGTTAGAGCAAAGGAAGGGGTAGCAGTAATGTTAAATGATCAGTTATGGAAGGAGAAAAGAGAATATGAATGTGTAAATTCAAGAATTATGTGGATTAAAGTAAAGGTTGGATGCGAGAAGTGGGTCATAATAAGCGTGTATGCACCTGGAGAAGAGAGGAATGCAGAGGAGAGAGAGAGATTTTGGGAGATGTTAAGTGAATGTATAGGAGCCTTTGAACCAAGTGAGAGAGTAATTGTGGTAGGGGACTTGAATGCTAAAGTAGGAGAAACTTTTAGAGAGGGTGTGGTAGGTAAGTTTGGGGTGCCAGGTGTAAATGATAATGGGAGCCCTTTGATTGAACTTTGTATAGAAAGGGGTTTAGTTATAGGTAATACATATTTTAAGAAAAAGAGGATAAATAAGTATACACGATATGATGTAGGGCGAAATGACAGTAGTTTGTTGGATTATGTATTGGTAGATAAAAGACTGTTGAGTAGACTTCAGGGTGTACATGTTTATAGAGGGGCCACAGATATATCAGATCACTTTCTAGTTGTAGCTACACTGAGAGTAAAAGGTAGATGGGATACAAGGAGAATAGAAGCATCAGGGAAGAGAGAGGTGAAGGTTTATAAACTAAAAGAGGAGGCAGTTAGGGTAAGATATAAACAGCTATTGGAGGATAGATGGGCTAATGAGAGCATAGGCAATGGGGTCGAAGAGGTATGGGGTAGGTTTAAAAATGTAGTGTTAGAGTGTTCAGCAGAAGTTTGTGGTTACAGGAAAGTGGGTGCAGGAGGGAAGAGGAGCGATTGGTGGAATGATGATGTAAAGAGAGTAGTAAGGGAGAAAAAGTTAGCATATGAGAAGTTTTTTACAAAGTAGAAGTGATGCAAGGAGGGAAGAGTATATGGAGAAAAAGAGAGAAGTTAAGAGAGTGGTGAAGCAATGTAAAAAGAGAGCAAATGAGAGAGTGGGTGAGATGTTATCAACAAATTTTGTTGAAAATAAGAAAAAGTTTTGGAGTGAGATTTAACAAGTTAAGAAAGCCTAAGAACAAATGGATTTGTCAGTTAAAAATAGGAGAGGAGAGTTATTAAATGGAGAGTTAGAGGTATTGGGAAGATGGAAGGAATATTTTAAGGAATTGTTAAATGTTGATGAAGATAGGGAAGCTGTGATTTCGTGTATAGGGCAAGGAGGAATAACATCTTGTAGGAGTGAGGAAGAGCCAGTTGTGAGTGTGGGGGAAGTTCGTGAGGCAGTAGGTAAAATGAAAGGGGGTAAGGCAGCCGGGATTGATGGGATAAAGATAGAAATGTTAAAAGCAGGTGGGGATATAGTTTTGGAGTGGTTGGTGCAATTATTTAATAAATGTATGGAAGAAGGTAAGGTACCTAGGGATTGGCAGAGAGCATGCATAGTTCCTTTGTATAAAGGCAAAGGGGATAAAAGAGAGTGCAAAAATTATAGGGGGATAAGTCTGTTGAGTGTACCTGGTAAAGTGTATGGTAGAGTTATAATTGAAAGAATTAAGAGTAAGACGGAGAATAGGATAGCAGATGAACAAGGAGGCTTTAGGAAAGGTAGGGGGTGTGTGGACCAGGTGTTTACAGTGAAACATATAAGTGAACAGTATTTAGATAAGGCTAAAGAGGTCTTTGTGGCATTTATGGATTTGGAAAAGGCGTATGACAGGGTGGATAGGGGGCAATGTGGCAGATGTTGCAAGTGTATGGTGTAGGAGGTAGGTTACTGAAAGCAGTGAAGAGTTTTTACGAGGATAGTGAGGCTCAAGTTAGAGTATGTAGGAAAGAGGGAAATTTTTTCCCAGTAAAAGTAGGCCTTAGACAAGGATGTGTGATGTCACCGTGGTTGTTTAATATATTTATAGATGGGGTTGTAAGAGAAGTAAATGCGAGGGTCTTGGCAAGAGGCGTGGAGTTAAAAGATAAAGAATCACACACAAAGTGGGAGTTGTCACAGCTGCTCTTTGCTGATGACACTGTGCTCTTGGGAGATTCTGAAGAGAAGTTGCAGAGATTGGTGGATGAATTTGGTAGGGTGTGCAAAAGAAGAAAATTAAAGGTGAATACAGGAAAGAGTAAGGTTATGAGGATAACAAAAAGATTAGGTGATGAAAGATTGAATATCAGATTGGAGGGAGAGAGTATGGAGGAGGTGAACGTATTCAGATATTTGGGAGTGGACGTGTCAGCAGATGGGTCTATGAAAGATGAGGTGAATCATAGAATTGATGAGGGAAAAAGAGTGAGTGGTGCACTTAGGAGTCTGTGGAGACAAAGAACTTTGTCCTTGGAGGCAAAGAGGGGAATGTATGAGAGTATAGTTTTACCAACGCTCTTATATGGGTGTGAAGCGTGGGTGATGAATGTTGCAGCGAGGAGAAGGCTGGAGGCAGTGGAGATGTCATGTCTGAGGGCAATGTGTGGTGTGAATATAATGCAGAGAATTCGTAGTTTGGAAGTTAGGAGGAGGTGCGGGATTACCAAAACTGTTGTCCAGAGGGCTGAGGAAGGGTTGTTGAGGTGGTTCGGACATGTAGAGAGAATGGAGCGAAACAGAATGACTTCAAGAGTGTATCAGTCTGTAGTGGAAGGAAGGCGGGTAGGGTCGGCCTAGGAAGGGTTGGAGGGAGGGGGTAAAGGAGGTTTTGTGTGCGAGGGGCTTGGACTTCCAGCAGGCATGCGTGAGCGTGTTTGATAGGAGTGAATGGAGACAAATGGTTTTTAATACTTGACGTGCTGTTGGAGTGTGAGCAAAGTAACATTTATGAAGGGATTCAGGGAAACCGGCAGGCCGGACTTGAGTCCTGGAGATGGGAAGTACAGTGCCTGCACTCTGAAGGAGGGGTGTTAATGTTGCAGTTTAAAAACTGTAGTGTAAAGCACCCTTCTGGCAAGACAGTGATGGAGTGAATGATGGTGAAAGTTTTTCTTTTTCGGGCCACCCTGCCTTGGTGGGAATCGGCCGGTGTGATAATAAAAAAGAAAAAAAAAATAAATACACATATATGAGATTTTTTTCAACAAGTTGGCCGTCTCCCACCGAGGCAGGTAACCCAAAAAGAAAGAAAATCCCCCAAAAAGAAAATACTTGCATCATCATTCAACATTTTCACCTTACTCATACATAATCACTGTCTTTGCAGAGGTGCCCAGATACAACAGCTTAGAAGCATATATAATGAAATATATCCCTCCAAACTACCAATATCCCAAACCCCTCCTTTAAAGTGCAGGCATTGTACTTCCCATTTCCAGTACTCAATTCTGGATATATAAAAATAACCAGTTTCCCTGACTCTTTCTTCTTTCTTTCAACACACCGGCCATATCCCACCAAGGTAGGGTGGCCCAAAAAGAAAAACGAAAGTTTTTCTTTTAAATTTAGTAATTTATACGGGAGAAGTGGTTACTAGCCCCTTGCTCCCGGTATTTTAGTCGCCTCTTACAACACGCATGGCTTACGGAGGAAGAATTATGTTCCGCTTCCCCATGGAGATAAGAGGAAATAAACAAGAACAAGAACTAGAAAGAAAATAGAAGAAAACCCAGAGGGGTGTGTATATATATGCTTGTACATGTATGTGTAGTGACCTAAGCGTAAGTAGAAGTAGCAAGACATACCTGAAATCTTGCATGTTTATGAGACAGACAAAAGACACCAGCAATCCTACCATCATGTAAAACAATTACAGGTTTTCATTGTACACTCACTTGGCAGGACAGTAGTGTCTCCCTGGGCGGTTGCTGTTTACCAACCTACTACCTAGTTTTCCCTGAATCCCTTCACTAAATATTACCCTGCTTACACTCCAACAGCTCATCAGGTCCCAACAACCATTTGTCTCCATTCACTCCTATCTAACACGCTGACACACACACTTGCTGGAAGTCCAAGCCCCTCACCCACAAAACCTCCTTTACCTCCACCCTCCAACCATATTAAGGATGACCCCTACCCCACCTTTCTTTCCCTACAGATTTATACGCTCTCCATGTCATTCTATTTTGATCCATTCTCTCTAAATGACCAAACCACCTCAACAACCCCTCTTCAGCCCTCTGACTAATACTTTTACTAACTCCACACCTTCTAATTTCCACACTCTGAATTCTCTGCATAATATTTACACCACACATTGCCCTTAGACAGGACAACTTTCCTGCCTCCAACCGTAGATATTAATTTTAATCGTTAATAGAGTGGACCTCCACTTATTAGTCTAAACAGAGACTGGAAGATTTTTTTTTTTAAACTCACCAGCTGTCTTCCACTGAGGCAGGCTGACCTCAAAAAAAAAAAAAAAAAAAAAAAAAACATTCACCATCACTCACTCTGTCACTGTTCTGTCATAGGCATGCTGACCTTAGAGCTCAGATGCTCCTCTAAACTGCAATATCCTCACCTTCAAGTTTATGGTACAGTTACTGCACTTCCCATCTCTAGGCTGGAAGTAAACTCCCAGGAAGGTAATACCGTCCTGCCAAATGAATGTGAAACAGGAAACTGTAGTTTCACGAAATGATGGGATTTCTGGTGTCCTTTTCTTTACTCACGAAATCGTAATGACACGATTGCAAACAAACCATACCCCTGCCGGGATTGAACCCGCGGTCAGAGAGTCTCAAAACTCCAAACCGTCGCGTTGGCCACTAGACCAGCTAGCCACAATAAGATTCGTCCAACTAGGTATATTTCTACATCATAGGAAGGTTAGCACAGGAACTCACTGACGGCAGTGAGGGGACTTGAGCTAGAGTTCGACGCGGCCACGCTTGCTGGAGATTCGTCTGTAAAAACTTGCATTTGTGGTCACAGTGGTGCTTGTGCTAACCTTCCTATGGTGTAGAAATATACCTAGTTGGACGAATCTTATTGTGGCTAGCTGGTCTAGTGGCTAACGAGACTCTGACCGCGGGTTCAATCCCGGCCGGGGTATGGTCCTTTTCTTTCTCAGACACACAAGATGGCAGGTACATTTTGCCATTTCTACTTCTACTTACACTTAGTTCATACTACACCTGCATGTATATATGTATGTGTATACACACCCATCTGAATTTTCTTTTTAGTTCTTGTTCTTATATTTCCTTTTATCTCTGTGGGGAAGTGGAGAAGAATCCTTCCTCCATAAGCCATGAGTGTTAAAAGAGGTGACAGAAATGTCAGGAGCAGGGGGGGGGAAGGCTAGTGACCCCTTGTCCTATATAAATTGCTAAAATAAAAAAAAAATTATACGAAAAATATATAACGCAATTTGCATTTTTCCGCAGATACTCAAGTTATAATTTGAGACAGGGACCGAGATGCTAATGCTCCATGTCTAATTCCTATTAATTTTTTCCATGAAGGAACTAAATAAATATGTGCTCACCAGAGATGGATCCATTGTTTAGGAGAGTCATAGTGATATTATTTCTTTTGAGTTCATAACACACACAGTATGAATGTAACCTTCTGTCACTCATCCCTTTCTTCATCAGAGATAGATCTGTTGTTTAGTAGATGCATAGTGGTGTTCATACCTGTTATATATGAGTGCAAAACATAAAAGACTGAAAAAATGATAGTTTTTTTTTGGGGGGGGGGGGGGTTGAAGAGTTGCAGCAGCTCTTATGACTATATTATAAAGTGAGAGTTGCTATGGCCCTTGGGCCTTATTGTAGACATTAAAATGCTGCTGTCTTGGCTTCAGATTTCTACTTACCATAACTCCAAAGTCCTTGTCACATTTTGCATGATCAAGTTCATATATTATTTACTTGCATCCTTTCTGCCCACCATTAGTCAGCCTTGGAGCCGTCACAACCCTTCAACCCATAAACAACCAAAGCATGATGGGATACTTTTCTTGATATTCTGATAATTTTCTCAGACCTCTTAAAATATATTTGATATATTTTCTCTATATTTTTGTAGGTTACACCTAGTGGGAAATTAGGCAAAAAGTGGAAAGTAAATCTGTTTCCTGTCCCGCCACCAGAGAGTTTTAAAGCTAAGCGATTCTCGCCAGAGAGAAGTAACCTGCAGCCAGCATGGTTTTTTTCAGAAGAGGCAAAAAGTAAGATATAATGGCTTTAAGCAGATGCAGGTTAATTCATCCCTTTCAGCATGTTTTCAATCAGTCCCAGCTTGCTAAAATAATTTTTTTTTTTTTCAATTCTTTGGCCGTCGCCCACCAAGGTAGCGTTCCTCAAAAAAGTAGTAGACACTTTTACTAACGCTCATTCAATCACTGTCTTGCCAGAAGGGTGCCAACATCACAGTTCAGGTGATCTTCCAAACTACAACATTCCCACTCATCCTTCAGAGTGCAGGCACTGTATTTTTTGCCTCCAGGGCTTGAGTGTGGCTAACTGGTTTTTCATGAATTCTTTCATAAATGTTACCTTAGTCCCATTCCTACAGCATGTCAAATCATGAAAACTACTTGTCTCCACTCATTCCTATCTAACATGTGCATTGTATACACAAGCCTGTTGGATATCCAAACCCATGGCATTCTAAACCTCTTATAGTCCCTCCAAAGTTTCTTAGGACAACCTCCGCCTCAGATTTATACATAAAGCCTTTCTAGTTATCCTGTTTGTCTCCATCCTTTCTGAATATCTAAACCATCTCAACAACCCCTTCCCCATCTTTTGAATAATACTTTTGGTAACTCCACATCTCTTCCTAATCTCCTCCTCGATGTAATATTCAAAACCCATGCTTCACGCATGCAACAAACAGGATGGGTTACATTGTACTCTGGTACATTCTCCTTGTTGCCTCAGTGGATAAGTTCTTTGTCTGCACAGAATTTGTAAACATTTTATTTTTTTAACAATGACTATCTTTCACTGAGGTAGGGTGAGCTAAAAAAAAGAAGAAACAATTATTCGCTCTATTCCTGTTTTGTCAGAGGTGTGCTGATACTACAGTTCAGAAACTGCAAGTATCCCCAACCCTTTTTCAGCATGCAGGTACTGCATTTCTCACCTCCAGAACCCAAGTCTGGTTAAAAGGTTTCCCTGAATCCCTTCACAAATGTTACCTTGCTCACACTCAACAGCTTGTCAAGTCCCAAGAACCATTCGCCTTCACTCTCTCCTACCTAACATGTTTGCTCAAGCTCCTACATCTCGCTACCTTCTTCATATCCATAAATAAGAGTTTCAGAACCACCATTCTGATTAATTTTTCTTTTTGTATGCATTGGCAATCTATTTTCTTTCCTTATTTGAGCACTCCTGTCATTTTCTTTTTCTCAACTACCTACAGTTTAACGTATCCTTCATAAACCTGTCTACCAATACATTCACTCCCAAGTATGTAATTATTTGCGTTCAGTTCTTCCATTCTCCTTTGTTCCACTCTAACCTCCAGTCTTTCACCATATCTTTACTTATTCTTATCACCTTGCTCTTTTCTGTATATAGTACTTCCATCTTTTATACCGTATATCAAACTCCACTAACTCCTGCAGTTTCTTTTCTGTCATTTGCAAACCTCGGCTGTGACAGCTTCCAAGTGAAAAAGCTGTTGCTGTAAATGTATGGAACAAGTGGTAAATGGTTACAAATGGTCGAGCTTATGTGAAGCCCAGGTTAAGATGTACACAACAGGCAGAGAACGTTTTTCAGTAAAAGTGGGTCTTCAGCAAAGATGATGTATAATGTCACTGTGGTTTATTAATCTGATTATAATTCTTAAAGGAACAGGGACTGTAAGCTGCTCAAATGGTGCCAGAGGTGTGTGATACTCACACATTGTGTGAATATCACACAGCCTTTTTCACAATAATATTTTCTTCTACAGCTCTTTCCTGGCACCATTTGAGCAGCTTACAGTCCCTGTTCAAAGAATTATAATCAGATTAATAAACCACAGTGACATTACACATTATCTTTGTTGAAGACTCACTTTTACTGAAAAATGTTCTCTGCCTGTTGTGTACATCTTAACCTGGGCTTCATCCTCTTCGTATAAACTCAACCATTTGTAACCACTTACCACTTGTTCCATACATTTACAGCAATAGCTTTTTCACTCGGGTTTCCTTTGTCATATACTTTTTTTTCCTAAACCATAAATGAAACAAGCTATTTCTTTTCTTAATGTAGCATTTCAGTTTCATACTTCAATGACATCTTGATCCACACATCCCCTTCATTTCTTAAATCTTCTCTGTTCTTTTGCAGATATTCATCCTGTATTATTATTTGCAAATCTGTGATCATCTTTACTTGGTATTTGCAATAGACTTTTTTCTTTATAATTCTTTCTCTTTTTAACCCATGTCTTTTTATACAAAAGGACCACACACTCACTGCCAAATTCTTGGGTACCTTTCCTGCCTTCATACACAGTGGACAGATGGATTGAGAATGTCATCTCTTTGTTTTTGTTGTTTTAGCACTTCATTCTTGGTCTCTTTCATCCCTGTTGGCATATAATATTTTCTGATTAAATTGATCATCAATATAAACTACATAATATTTATAACCTTAATCCATGTAAATTAGTTGGTTAATCTTGCTTATCTCATTATTATTTAATTGTATAAGGAAGGATTTATAAATACAGTTTTTGCAATTTAAAAAAGGAAAATAGCTTTGAAAGAAAACTTGACATGTAAACTAAATGTTTTTTTTTTTTCCTAATTGAGTACTTTACAATTACATATTTTTTAGAATGGAACTGGAGGAAGATCACTTCTCACCTTTTTTTATTCATAATAGTGGAAACGCTCCCGCCAACTCCACACTATAACTGGGCATGCGCAGTGGACATAGTTATGCTGGAACACTTACAACTGTTGAGGGACTGTGTGAAGAAACACCCAAACCTGGCACAAGGCATCAAACTTCTTAAGATTTGGTTAGCCCAGCGAGAGTTAGACAAGGTTAGTTTTAACACTTGCCAGTGTGTATGTGGATGGTGCTTCCTTAGAGAGTTTATTTTTTTCCTGGTTATGCCGGTAATGTTATAAAAGAAGCATGAAATTGTCAACTACATAAACATATACTGGAGTTAAGTAGTTATGATGGGGCTAATTCGCACCAGTCAGTCAAAAGTTAAAGATGGTATAAAGAACTGTTTCTCACCCCTATTCCTTTCTTGCAAACTCAGTTGCATAATTATGTGATTTAGTGATTTAGGGCTGAATACATTATTACGTACAGTAGTTTCTTCATTTCTAGCTACTGTCGTGGTAATGCATGTTATAAACATTTCTAAAATTATTATAAAAGATTATTTAGATGGATGATTCTTAGTGGATATAGGAATTTACCATATAATGGAAGATTAACCTTTTGAGGGTTCTACGCTTTGTCCACAGGGTCCAAGAATTTAAAAAAAAAAAATTATTTTTGTTATGAAATGGTAGAGAATCTTTTTCTGAAGGTTATAAAACAAAAAGTATAAAATTTGATGAAAAATTTATGAAATTACACTATCCGAATCGCATTGTGTCCATGATATTTATGTATTGACGATTTTATCCACCTTGACTCCTCTTTTAGGCCAATTACATTATTCCAGTCAACAAAATTCTAAGCTGTTTCACTAGTATCGCTTCTATTTTATCGATCGAGCACAGGAAACTGCCCAGTCAACTATTTCAACTACCCAATAAATTATATTATAATTATGGGGGAGCGCTAAACCCATAGGATTATACAGCACATGTGGGGGGAGGGGATGGAAGGTATTCAGGCTCAGTTCAGGGAACCGGAGTATAGATCCAGTTTCCTAGGTCAAGAGCCCCTCGCCAGCATCAAGGAACCTCCCTTGAGGGGACTACCCAATAAAGTGACCAGAAATTGGTAATTTGGCCAATTTCACACAAAGTTCAAAGTATTCCAATTTCAAAATAGGGTTTAGAATTAATGCAGGCATTCGTGGCATTAAAATAACATTTCCTCTGTTTATTAGTTAGGTTTTCAGGCTTTACAGATGAATTCCATTTTGATTTTTTATTCACAAAGAATTTTTATTCACACCAAAAAAATAGAAGATTTACTGTTATGCAGTATTGTAATAATTGTATAAATAATATCAACACATTCGTGAACATATATTAGACCCACCAGTTGACGTGTGTTAGATGCGTGATGTCATTTGTTTACTCCTGAACATCAGCAAAAATCGAATATTTCTGCTACTTTGAGCTCAATTTCAAGCTATTTTCAATAATAAAACCAATCAAAATCATCTCTATTTTGTAACGTATCTTCCATTCTATCAAATGAGATAAAGAAACCATGAATACAACTGTAAAAACCACATGAAAATACACCGCAAATTCGTTGTTTTAATCCAAAAACACGGTCGCAATTTTTTTTCCATTATGCACTATGTGCTGAAGGATTTGTTTTTATATGGCACACACTTACCACATAGATCTAATCTCTCATGTCTAGGCCCAGATTTACCACTCACACCTTATCTGAGTGAACTGAACTCATGGAGTAGAACTACGGCTTGGACCCAGGCTTCAAGACCGTAGAACTATGGGGCGGACCCTCAAAGGGTTAAAGCAGTGACTGGTGAATTTGGACTTTCAGAGTGAAGTTTTGTTTTAAGAAATGAGCCTTAATGGTCTGTTTTCTATGAGACTATGATGATTCTCTAAACTTTAATAGAGTTCATCAGTATAGAAAATGCTCGATGATGAATATGAGAAATTTGCAGCGCAGTTCAAGAATTTTTATAGAGTTTTAGGCTGAAAATTAGCATTTTTTTTTAATGGAAGCAAGTTGAGGGGAATGGTAGGACAGACTAAGGTGCCCCTCCAACTGTATACTCCTACAGTGACATTGGTAGAAAGTGTTTTAGGATAAAAATGTTATCTTTTGTGTGTGTGTGTGTGTGTGTGTGTGTGTGTGTGTGTGTGTGTGTGTGTGTGTGTGTGTGTTTTATTTAATTGTTGTATTTAACATTCACTTATACAATAAACTGAATTTGTTTTCAGGGTGTAGGAAGCTTTTCTGGCCACTTGGTCACCTTACTTATGATTCATCTTTTGCAAACTCGCAAAATTAATCCACAGATGTCCGCATACCAGGTGTTCCGCAATGTCATTGTATATCTTGGTAAGTAACTTTGGATTATTGCTGTAAATCTACTGTAGGTCTTTGTATGATATACAGTGAAAAAATACCACAGTGTACTTAAACACAAAGCTTCGGATTTGTGTGAAAGTACATAAAAGCTCTCGGGTTTTATTTCCTATTTTCATTGGTATTTTTTTCATTTTTGCTGTCATGCACTTTGTTGTGATTTCTTCCATAACATACAGTGTATGGTGTGTAATGTAAAATTGTAATTTCTTTTTTATCTGTTTACTGATAAGGTAATTTTTATTGTGTTTGGTTGTTCATCATTTTATTTATCATTTTGTATATTCAGAATTGCTAGTCATTGGAACCCCTTCAAGGGAGGATCCTTCATGATAGTGAGGGGCTCTTGTTTAAGGAAACTGGACATAACTGCCAATTCCACAGATCAAACCTGGTGGCCTCTTATTTCCCCATGTACTGTATGATCCCTACGGGTTTACAGCTACCCCATGAATGCAATAATAATAATAGTAACAATAATAATAATAATAATTAATAATAATAATAATAATAATAGTAGTAATAATAATAATAATAATAATAATAATAATAATAATAATAGTCATTCTGTGTAGTAGGTTGGTAGACAGCAACCGCCCAGGGAGGTACAGCCATCCTGTCAAGTGAATGTAAAATGGAAGCCTGTAATTGTTTTACATGATGGTAGGATTACTGGTATCTTTTCTATCTTATAAACATGCAAGATTTCAGGTATGTCTTGTTACTTCTACTTACACCTAGGTCACACTACACATACATGTACAAGCATATATATATACACACCCCTCTGGGTTTTCTTCTATTTTCTTACTAGTTCTTGTTCTTGTTTATTTCCTCTTATCTCCATGGGGAAGTGGAACAAAATTTTTCCTCCGTAAGCCACGTGTGTTGTAAGAGGTGACTAAAATGCTGGGAGCAAGGGGCTAGTAACCCCTTCTCCTGTGTAAATTACTAAGCTTAAAAAGAGAGACTTTCGTTTTTCTTTTTGGGCCACCCTGCCTCGGCGGGATACAGCTGGTTTGTTGAAAGACGAATAATAATAGTCGCTAAGGGAAAAATTTAACCAGCTGTATTTATTGAAGGTTTGATGTATCAGAAAGAGCAGATACAAGTGATTTTTGGGATTTGATGTACTGTTGAAATATAGGAGGGCTCCACTTATACAGTTGGTTAGGTTCTAGGCTACTGCTGTAAAGTGAATCATAGCTTTTTTTCACTTTCCAATACATATAAAAGCCTGATAACATATTTACACTATCTTATATTGAGGGAACAATATAGCTAGACCTAAAAAATGCATATACAGTAATTACGTTACTTACCTTAAAATGTTTTCGTCCTTAGCTTATAGTGAGCGGTGAATAAATTTATTGTAGGAAGTCTGAATAAATGGAGAATGGGTATAATTGAAAACCACTGTATTAGCTAAAATCTCTAAGCAGGGCCTGCCTGTATAAGGTAACATCTATAAAGGGATTCAGTAAAGTCAGTCAGCCAGACTTGAGTCTAGTATGTGGGAAATACAGTACCTGTATTCTGAGGGATGGGTGTGGATTTTGGGGTATTACAGAAGTGTGAAGTCACCCTGCCTTGGTGGGTAATGGCTACTGTTAGATGTATAGGTCTGTAATGTTATTTCTTTTGCAGGCTCTGGAAATTGGTGTGAGAGTGGACCTAACATGAGAGCACCATCTCATGCTGATAATTCTACTCTAGAGGATTTTCATAAGTTGTATGAAGTAGTATTTGTTGACCCTTCTGGTATGGTGAATATGACAGCCAATTTAATTGCTGCAGACTATTTAAGGGTAAGTCTGGAAATAAGAAAAAATATAAAATGCATTGTGAAAGGTTATATAAATAAGGGGTTGAGAGGAAATAAATTGTATATTGTTTGTGGACACATGTTTATAAATGCATTTCTTGTCCTCCTCAGATTAAACATGAAGCTCAGCTGGCACTGTCTTTCCTTGATTCCTCAGCTGCAGACAGTTTTGAAATGCTCTTCATTAAGAAGGTCGAGATCTTCCAACTGAGTGATCAGCTCTTGCGCATGCGGTGAGCCTCATTAATAGATGCATCACACTTGATTTAAGAAATTGGAGCTCTGCTTCCCTTCCTTAGATTAAATATGATTATCTCCCATTTCCCAAGTGATGTGTGACTTCTATGGACTTGGAGCCTCTCCATCAGTATTATGATAATTACTAATAATAATAATAATTCTCCATGGGGAAGTGGAACAGAATTCTTCCTCCATAAGCCATGCATGTTGTAAGAGGCGACTAAAATGCCGGGAGCAAGGGGCTAGTAACCTCTTCTCCTGTATATATTACTAAATGTAAAAGGAGAAACTTTCGTTTTTCCTCTTGGGCCACCCTGCCTCGGTGGGATACGGCCGGTGTGTTGAAAGAAAGAAAAGAATAATAATAATAATTCTAGGTAGTAGGTTGGTAGACAGCAACCGCCCAGGGAGGTACTACCGTCCTGCCAAGTGAGTGTAAAACGAAAGCCTGTAATTGTTTTACATGATGGTAGGATTGCTGGTGTCCTTTTTTCTGTCTCATAAACATGCAAGGTTTCATGTATGTCTTGGTACTTCTACTTAACACTTAGGTCACACTACACATACATGTACAAGCATATATATACACACCCCTCTGGGTTTTCTGCTATTTTCTTTCTAGTTCTTGTTCTTGTTTATTTCCTCATATCTCCATGGGAAGTGGAATAGAATTCTTCCTCCATAAGCCATGTGTGTTGTAAGAGGCGACTAAAATGCCAGGAGCAAGGGGCTAGTAACCCCTTCTCCAGTATATATTACTAAATGTAAAAGGAGAAGCTTTTGTTTTTCCTCTTGGGCCACCCGCCTCGGTGGGATAAGGCCTGTGTGTTGAAATAATAATAATAGGGTTTTAATTTGCTGTTAGTATGAGCATGGTACAAGTTAACTGGGTTACAGTTTTAGAGATAGGTAAGCACAGTGTTTGCACTGATAGTGGGTGCGGTTGTTGCAGTTGAATGGCTCAACATGGGACTGTGATGTTTGTACCCTCTGGTAGGATAGCTTGGGAGTAAGTTGACAATGAAAGTGTTTTGTTTGGGTTGCCCAAACTTGGTGGGAAATTTTTTTTTTTTTTTTCAACAAGCCGGTTATTTATTATTTATTTTAGCTACATAGTTAATTTGGGATTAATATAATTTGTTTTTTGCTTTTTAGGTTTTTTAAAAGTGATGCAGAGACAGTATTAAGTAAAACAATACCAAAATATCAGGAACTTGTTATGGATGCTTTAGGTGATGTACAGAGAGTGATGTTGTCATCCATTATACAACTGCTGAGCAAAGGTCTTGGTGATAGAGTGCAGTTACTGGTGCCTATGAGGAAACCTCCAGCAGTGTGGCCTCTACATCAGCCTCCTCCTGCCTTTAAAAAGATTTTTATTGTTGGTATTGTGCTCAACCCAACGACAGCTTCTGCATTATTGACAAAGGTTAGGAAATATTTTTTGTTTTAATCCCAGAATCCATATTTCTGGAATATCAAGAAACATTGCCTATTTAATACTGTTTTGAACTTTAAGTGCTGTTTTTCCATTATTGATTAGCTTAGCACAAACACTACCCATTGATCAGTGGACTGTTTAATAAAAATTTTGTTGATACATTAAGGGATGCTCTATTTTAGGAATGAAAAGATTTGATTTAATTTACACAGATAATCTGCCCATAGGACTCTGAAACTTATGATGTTTTGGTCAGACTTGAGCCAGTAACTAATCATGCAGAAGTGCAAAGAGAAGGGTGCCAGTATATATCTATGAGAGCTGGGGTTGGGGGTCTGGAAATAGTAGAATGTGATGAACTTCTGTGTGACTAGTTAATGGTCGAAGTTGGACCGAAATTTCATAATAAGTTTCAATCTCCTCGATGTGGATTACAATGGAACCCCGGATTTCATCCAGTGTGGATATCGTACAATTCAGATTTCGACCAGTTATTTGGGTGAAATTTTACCCTGGGTTTCATACCTCCACTTGGAAATTGTCCGTATCAGACGCAGCCACTCACAAGTATGTGACTCGGTCTGCCTCTGTCACTTGCTCAGTGAGCAATACTCGGTGCGTTCATGGTGGTAGAGGGTGGTAGTGATGGTGGTAGAGGGTAGTTGTGATGGTGGTAGAGGGTGGTTGTGATGGTGGTACAGGGTGGTAGTGATGGCAAACAATCGAAGATGTTGAGAAGTTGTTGTTGGTGTGGATCAACGAAAACAGTTAGCAGTAGATAGTGTTGTGGAGGTCATAATTTGCAAAAAGGCAAGGCAGTTGCATGCGGATTTTGTAAAGAATATGCCAACTAGAGTCTTCAGTAAAGATAAAAGTGATTTAAATGTTCATTTATCCATTAAAATTAGTGCTCTGCATTTGTTTTCTGTATGTAAAACTATAGTTATTGTCTATAAAATGTATTTTTTGTTAATATTTTTGGGTGTCAGGAATGGATTAATTGGATTTACATTATTTCTTGTAAGAAATATTACTTCAGTTTTCGTCCATTTCGAATTTCGACCAACCTTCTGGAACGGATTAAGGACAAAAACCGGGGTTCCACTGTATTCGTGTAGTGTTCCAGTTATGGTATTATGCTTTTTTATTCTTGAGTTAATTAAACTTCTTTTCACCTGTATTTGAGCCATGACTGAGTTAGATCACAAGCAAATTTACTTGATCTTAGTCATGGTAAAGCACAGTCCCACAGACCATTGAAATTACTTATTTATGTTCTTAGTTTAATGTTAGTATGCATTCCACCTTATTTAAGATGAATTTTCAGGGGGCACTGATTGAAGCTGTGCAAGAGTACAAAGTTTTAAGAAAATGATCATTATGTTAGCCATGACAATGAATCTTATACTGTATAGCATTTTGAGGCAGATTTAAAATAGGTGACTGTTAAATCTATCAACTTTCAAGAAGAGACAGAAATTAAAGCAGATTCAGTTGTGATGCATGTAGCTGCCTCTAGAATTGCTTGTAGTCTTGATAGCCTGTTGCAGAACTTGGTTAGACTAAGTGTTTTGATTGAAAGCCAGAACCAGTGTAACATATCCATAAGTATGAGGGTATTGCAGGAGAAATCTTCCATTCTTAGTCACAATGATGCAGCATCTTATTCATGTTTTCAGTCTTTCAATGCTCATGGTGTCTTCATTTCAGGGTCCACCTGCAGATTCTCCAGAAGCAGCAATTTTCAAAAAGTTTTGGGGTGCGAAAAGTTCTCTTCGCAGATTTCAGGACGGAAGCTTCCATGAAGCTGTTCTTTGGGCAGAGCCTCAGCAGTCCATTGGGGAGCGACGTCTTATTCCAGGAAAAATTTGCAAGTACCTTCTAAGGCTTCATTATAGGAAGAAGGGAAAATATGTATACATTGCTAAACAAATGGAGGGCTTTCTTTGTCATCCTTATTACAAAATGAAGTACAAGTAAGTTGCTACTAATAAGCAAAGTGCATTAATTTTGTTTGTTTGGAAATAGAATTTTAACTAAGATGATCAGTTGTATTTGTCGATGCTTGAGCTTCTCACTGCCTTTTTTTTTTTTATTTATTTAAAATTAATCTTTCTGTTAAAAATTTTAGTGTAGCTTCTCTGTTGGCCATTTTAAGAAACCTTTTCATATTTTAATAGATGAGTGGAATTATGTCAAACTCCATACACATTATTCCTAATGCATGGATAAGAGTACCGTTAGCACTGGTTGATGTAAAGCAAAAAAAAAAAAAAAATATATTAGACATATTAATGAAACAAACTACTGCTTCATATTTGACCCAGTTGCTTTTTTACCTTACACTAAATATATATTTGTAAACTTTATAGTTTCAGATTTTTTAAAGTGTGCCAGCAAAGTAATAGTGAAAGGAAGAAAGATATGCAATTTTAATATTAAGTCCTATTGACAAATAGGGGCCTCTGCAGTGTAGTCACACATTCTTATTGAATGCTAATTTAATCTTAAATTGCATCACTGGGTTCTAAAAACCACCATACATTCCATACCTGTCATACTAGGAGACCTTTGTGTGGGCCTGATTTTCCATGTAAATAATAGTTTTGGTCTTTATTGATTTGTATAATGTATAAAGGCATGTATCTTTCTTCATAAAGTGATTCTCTTGCATTTCAAAGATAGCTAAATTAATTTCAAGCTCAGTTTTTATTGAATTGTTTCATTTAAGTGGAAGTGACCTTACCTGACTAGGTTGGGCCATTGGCTTAAGCTAGTAGGAGACTTGGACCTGCCTTGCATGGGCCAGTAGGCCTGTTGCAGTGTTCCTCCTTTCTTATGCTCTTAAGTTCTCATTTGCAGTTATGCTACTGGTGAGGAGGCTACAGTTTCTGCCATCCAAGCATTTGATTCTCTATCTCGGAAGCTTCGCTCTCTTGATCTACCTTTGAAGATAACAGCAGTTCAGTCAACCTCAGATGTAAGCAGGCACACCCGGGTGTTTCCACCCCTGGCAAAGGCATTACGGGTAACTGGAAAGGTATGTCTTAATGTAACATTTGTAAGTAAAGTGCAGGTAATATCTTTCTCACTTTTATATAAAATAAATAAATTTTGGAGTGAGTTAAACAAGTTAAGAAAGCCTAGGGAAAGTATGGATTTGTCAGTTAAAAACAGAGTAGGGGAGTTAGTAGATGGGGAGAGGGAGGTATTAGGTAGATGGCGAGAATATTTTGAGGAACTTTTAAATGTTAAGGAAGAAAGGGAGGCGGTAATTTCATGCACTGGCCAGGGAGGTATACCATCTTTTAGGAGTGAAGAAGAGCAGACTGTAAGTGTGGTGGAGGTACGTGAGGCATTACGTAGAATGAAAGGGGGTAAAGCAGCTGGAACTGATGGGATCATGACAGAAATGTTAAAAGCAGGGGGGGATATAGTGTTGGAGTGGTTGGTACTTTTGTTTAATAAATGTATGAAAGAGGGGAAGGTACCTAGGGATTGGCAGAGAGCATGTATAGTCCCTTTATATAAAGGGAAAGGGGACAAAAGAGACTGTAAAAATTATAGAGGAATAAGCTTACTGAGTATACCAGGAAAAGTGTACGGTAGGGTTATAATTGAAAGAATTAGAGGTAAGACAGAATGTAGAATTGCGGACGAACAAGGAGGTTTCAGAGTGGGTAGGGGATGTGTAGATCAAGTGTTTACATTGAAGCATATATGTGAACAGTATTTAGATAAAGGTAGGAAGTTTTTATTGCATTTATGGATTTAGAAAAGGCATATGATAGAGTGGATAGAGGAGCAATGTGGCAGATGTTGCAAGTATATGGAATAGGTGGTAAGTTAATAAATGCTGTAAAGAGCTTTTATGAGGATAGTGAGGCTCAGGTTAGGGTGTGTAGAAAAGAGGGAGAATACTTCCCGGTAAAAGTAGGTCTTAGAACAGGGATGTGTAATGTCACCATGGTTGTTTAATATATTTATAGATGGGGTTGTAAAAGAAGTAAATGCTAGGGTGTTCGGGAGAGGGTGGGATTAAATTATTGGGAATCAAATTCAAAATGGGAATTGACACAGTTACTTTTTGCTGATGATACTGTGCTTATGGGAGATTCTAAAGAAAAATTGCAAAGGTTAGTGGATGAGTTTGAGAATGTGTGTAAAGGTAGAAAGTTGAAAGTGAACATAGAAAAGAGTAAGGTGATGAGGGTATCAAATGATTAGATAAAGAAAAATTGGATATCAAATTGGGGAGGAGGAGTATGGAAGAAGTGAATGTTTTCAGATACTTGGGAGTTGACGTGTCGGCGGATGGATTTATGAAGGATGAGGTTAATCATAGAATTGATGAGGGAAAAAAGGTGAGTGGTGCGTTGAGGTATATGTGGAGTCAAAAAACGTTATCTATGGAGGCAAAGAAGGGATGTATGAAAGTATAGTAGTACCAACACTCTTATATGGATGTGAAGCTTGGGTGGTAAATGCAGCAGCGAGGAGACGGTTGGAGGCAGTGGAGATGTCCTGTCTAAGGGCAATGTGTGGTGTAAATATTATGCAGAAAATTCGGAGTGTGGAAATTAGGAGAAGGTGTGGAGTTAATAAAAGCATTAGTCAGAGGGCAGAAGAGGGGTTGTTGAGGTGGTTTGGTCATTTAGAGAGAATGGATCAAAGTAGAATGACATGGAAAGCATATAAATCTATAGGGGAAGGAAAGAGGGGTAGGGGTCGTCCTCGAAAGGGTTGGAAAGAGGGGGTAAAGGAGGTTTTGTGGGTGAGGGGCTTGGACTTCCAGCAAGCGTGCATGAGCGTGTTAGATAGGAGTGAATGGAGACGAATGATACTTGGGACCTGACGATCTGTTGGAGTGTGAGCAGGGTAATATTTAGTGAAGGGATTCAGGGAAACCGTTATTTTCATATAGTCGGACTTGAGTCCTGGAAATGGAAGTACAATGCCTGCACTTTAAGGGAGGGGTTTGGGATATTGGCAGTTTGGAGGGATATGTTGTGTATCTCTATACGTATATGCTTCTAAACTGTTATATTCTGAGCACCTCTGCAAAAGCAGTGATAATGTGTGTGTGTGGTGAAAGTGTTGAATGATGATGAAAGTATTTTCTTTTTGGGGATTTTCTTTCTTTTTTGGGTCACCCTGCCTCGGTGGGAGACGACCGACTTGTTGAAAAAAAAAAAAAAAAAAAAAAAAAATAGTGTGAAGAAAAGAGACATGCAAAGCAAACTAGTAATGTGACATTGTTTTACCCTTGGTAGAGCTCTGTCAAGCTAATTGACTTGAGAGAGCTGTTCAGAAAAAATTTCCGCAGGAAAAGTTTTTCTGCACTTAGGGCAGTATTCTTTTGTATGTGAAAGATATTATGGTAGGATATAATTGTTTATATAATATAGGCCCATAGCCTTGAATTAAAGGAAACTAGAAATTGTTGCCTTTATTAAGATTGCTAGTATACTGTACTGTATTGAGTGTTAATATATGAAAAATATTATTCATTAAATTCTTTCAGGAAATTGTTCATAATCTTCTATTATTTATTTCATATATTCAGGCAATAGAAGCATCTGGGAACTACCTAAAGTTTTCTGATCTCGGAGGACTATACCAAAACTTTGATTACGCCATAGAAGGTAAGAATATTTTGAACAAAATGATTTTTTCCAATTCTGCAAGGTAAACTTGCAATGTAGCGAGGTAGTTTTTTCACACACGATACTGGTGTTTGGTGCATAGGATGGTCTTAACTCTATCACATTGTTGGCACTTCACTTGCCATGAATATCGATCTTTATCTTGAATTTATACTGTATCTCCTTTCATATACAAATGTGGTGGATCAGATACAGATCTCTGGTTCAAATCTTTCACACAGCTTATTCATTTTATTGATAATGAGGTTTACACCTAAAAAAAATTGCTACAACCTTTCTAAGGGGGTACCTTGATCCTAGTGAAGAGCTTCAGATACAAGGAAATGGAGCTGTCTTCCATTTCTTTGGAACAAATTTGAGTATCTTATTCCCTAGGCACTATATGAGCCTTACAGGTTAAATCACAAAATCGTAATAACATGATTGCTAACAAATTGCAGAACGGTTGGATTTCAAACCCATGGCAAGTGAGTAGTTCATACACTGGCCTGTGAGTTTTAGGACTTCCTTGCCATGGATTTAAATTCCACCTATTCTGTGATTTATTTACAGGTTTGGTGCTTCCCCATTACTAAAATAATAATTCTGCTCGCAATTTGCATTTATTCTTCTTGCAATATCTTTTGTAAGGTCACTTCTTTATATAATGCTCATTCACTGCATCATCTTATCTTAATCTTTGTTTGCCTCTTGTGCTTTTTACCAGCTATAACTGTCATCTTTCTTCTTTCAAAGCACTGGCCGTATCTCACCGAGGCAAGGTGGCCCAAAAAGAAAAATGAGTTTCTCTTTTTAAATTTAGTGATGTATACAGGAGAAGAGGTTAGTAGCCCCATGCTCCTGACATTTTAGTCACCTCTTATGACACATGGCTTAGAGGAAAAATTCTGTTCCACCTTCCCATGGAGATAAGAGGAAATAAACAAGAAAAGGAACCAGTAAGGAAAAAGAAAACCCAGAGGGGTGTGTGTGTATATATATATATATATGCTTGTACATACATGTCCTGGCTTTAAGTGAAACAAAGCTGAAGGGGGTGGGAGAGTTTCAATGGAGAGGAATAAATGGGATTAGGTCAGGGGTTTCAAATAGAGTTAGAGCTAAAGAAGGAGTAGCAATAATGTTGAAGGATAAGCTATGGCAAGAAAAGAGGGACTACAAATGTATAAATTCAAGGATTATGTAGAGTAAAATAAAGATTGGATGTGAAAAGTGGGTTATAGTAAGCATGTATGCACCTGGAGAAGAGAGAAGTGTAGAGGAGAGAGAGAGATTTTGGGAAATGTTGAGTGAATGCGTGGGGAGTTTTAAATCAAGTGTGAGAGTAATGGTGGTTGGGGATTTCAATGCTAAAGTGGGTAAAAATATTATGGAGAGAGTAGTAGGTAAATTTGGGGTGCCAGGGGTAAATATAAATGGGGAGCCTTTAATTGAGCTATGTGTAGAAAGAAATTTGGTAATAAGTAATACATATTTTATGAAAAAGAGGATAAATAAATATACAAGGTATGATGTAGCACGTAATGAAAGTAGTTTATTAGATTATGTATTGGTGGATAAAAGGTTGATGGGTAGGCTCCAGGATGTACATGTTTATAGAGGGGCAACTGATATATCGGATCATTATTTAGTTGTAGCTACAGTTAGAGTAAGAGGTAGATGGGAAAAGAGGAAGGTGGCAACAACAAGTAAGAGGGAGGTGAAAGTGTATAAACTAAGGGAGGAGGAAGTTCGGGCGAGATATAAGCGACTATTGGCAGAAAGGTGGGCTAGTGCAAAGATGAGTAGTGGGGGGGGGGGTTGAAAAGGGTTGGAATAGTTTTAAAAATGCAGTAGTAGAATGTGGGGCAGAAGTTTGTGGTTATAGGAGGGTGGGGGCAGGAGGAAAGAGGGGTGATTGGTGGAATGATGAAGTAAAAGGTGTGATAAAAGAGAAAAAGGTAGCTTACGAGAGGTTTTTACAAAGCAGAAGTGTTATAAGAAGAGCAGAGTATATGGAGAGTAAAAGAAAGGTGAAGAGAGTGGTGAGAGAGTGCAGAAGGAGAGCAGATGAAAGAGTGGGAGAGGCACTGTCAAGAAATTTTAATGAAAATAAGAAAAAAATTTTGGAGTGAGTTAAACAAGTTTAGAAAGCCTATGGAAAGTATGGATTTGTCAGTTAAAAACAGAGTAGGGGAGTTAGTAGATGGGGAGAGGGAGGTATTAGGTAGATGGCGAGAATATTTTGAGGAACTTTTAAATGTTGAGGAAGAAAGGGAGGCGGTAATTTCATGCACTGGCCAGGGAGGTATACCATCTTTTAGGAGTGAAGATGAGCAGAATGTAAGTATGGTGGAGGTACGTGAGGCATTACGTAGAATGAAAGGGGGTAAAGCAGCTGGAACTGATGGGATCATGACAGAAATGTTAAAAGCAGGGGGGATATAGTGTTGGAGTGGTTGGTACTTTTGTTTAATAAATGTATGAAAGAGGGGAAGGTACCTAGGGATTGGCGGAGAGCATGTATAGTCCCTTTATATAAAGGGAAGGGGGACAAAATAGATTGTAAAAATTATAGAGGAATAAGTTTACTGAGTATACCAGGAAAAGTATACAGTAGGGTTATAATTGAAAGAATTAGAGGTAAGACAGAATGTAGGATTGCGGATGAGAAAAAAAAAAAAAAGGGTCACCCTGCCTCGGTGGGAGACGGCCGACTTGTTGAAAAAAAAAAAAAAAAAGAAACATGCATGTGTAGTGTGACTTACGTGTAAGTAGAAGTAGCAAGTCGTATCTGAAATCTTGGATGTTTATGAGACAGAAAAAAGGCACCATCATGTAAAACAATTGCAGGCTTCTCTTTTATACTCACTTGGTAGGACGATAGTACCTCCCTGGGTGGTTGCTGTCTACCAACTTACTACCTAGCTATGAGTGTCATAAATATTCTTAATTCAGCTCTCCTATTTCTCATGGCCATAATACATGTCTACGACTTATGATGTTCCACACTTGTACATTGGTATTTTGGAACAAAATAACAGTCCTAATAATTGCTGATCTTCATTTGCAGTCATTACAGATATTCAGACAGGAAATATTTTTAATTTTTTTTTACCTAATATCAGGGGCAGCTGTTATATCGGATCAGAATTTTTGGCTTCATGTCAAGAACTAAAAATAATAGGAGTCCTCAGGTTATTCTTCATCTCTGTATATCATTGGTTAAGCCTCACTTAGATTATTCTGCACAGATCTGATCACCGTATTATAGGATGGATATAAATGCGCTGGAAAACTTACAAAGAAGGCTGGCATATTTGATCCGATGTATCAGAAATCTTTCCTACAAGGCTAGACTGAGGGGGCCCCCCCCTAAATCTGCTCTCTCTAGAAAGGCATTCTTAAAGCTAAAATGTTGTGTAGTTTTAAAAATAGTATAGTGCCTGTGCTCTGAAGGAGAGGTGGAGATGCACTTTTTAAACTGTAGTGTAAGCATTCTTCTGACAAGACAGTGATAGAGTGGGAAATGGCCGATGTGTTAAAAAAAAAACTTTTTTTTAATCTGTGTTTATAATTTCCATCTATACCCTTTTGTTCCTGTTTCAACCCTGTTAAAAATCCCACTATGTCAGCCCTCATTGTGGCTTAGAATTATTTTGTATATGTACATCTTAATGGTATCCAATGTTCTTCATTCTTCCAGAATCAAAAAACCTAAGCTAACCTGATTACCTTTCATTCCCCAGGTACTGTATGACCCCCTGTGGATTTAGCACTTCCCTGTGAGAAAATAAAACAATGGCACAAGCAGAGCCATTTAAAGACAATAAAATAGAAAAACTCACATTGTTTCTTCATAATGCTTTTCATTTCTTGATTTTCTTTTCTTTCCCTATAAGACCACCATTTTAATTCTTTTTTGTTTGTTGTACAGATTTTTAAAAAAAAAAAAATGCATATTTGATTTTAGTTATAAAATAAATTAAATTTTGCTAGAAATAAGCTATTTACTTTGAGCAATTTACCAATAATTGGAAAAATTCTGTTTTTAATATTTTTCAGATATAAAATATGTATCCTTTAAGATATTTAGAATTATTTGCCCTGCAGTTATTGTCTTCCTGGAGATCAGTGGCAAGTGGCCAGATGACTTGGAGGCCATTCAAGCTATCAAGGCAGAATTTCACACCAAGATGTCTGATCTACTCCAAAAAGACAGTGTGACAACAGTTGTCTTCCCCAAGTTTCTTCAGATACTCTGGGTACTGCTGTGCATTTTTATATTTATTACTCTTGATTTATTAAATGTAGAATTTTTTTTTTATAGTTTTAATTAACATGCCGGCTGTTTTCCATCAAGGCAGGTGACTGTCTTGCCAGAGGTGCACCTACACTACAGTTTAAAAACTACAACATATCTTCACCCCTCCTTCAGAGCGCAGGCACTGTACGTCCCACCTCCAGGACTCAAGTCCAATTAACCAGTTTCCCTGAATCCCTTCATAAATGTTAACTTGCTCACACTCCAACACCACATCGTCATAAAAACCATTTGCCTACACTCCTGTCTACCACACTCATGCATGCTTGCTAGATGTCTAAGTGCCTCACACACAAAAACCTCCTTTACTCCCTCCCTCAAACCTTTCCTAGGATGACCCCTATCCTGTCTTTCTTCCACTACAAATTTATACACCCAAGTCATTCAGTTTTGTTTCATCCTCTCTGAATGTCCAAACCACCTCAACATTTTTTTTTTTTTTTTTGTAAGAGAAGAATATCAGTATGCTGAATTTGATATTCTAATTAATAATATGCTCTTTTCAATACAGGTGTGTTTTACCAGGTTAGGGTTAATCAAAACAGGGCCGGTATTAAGCATCATTTATTCTCTAGTTATCTTTTCAGAGGTGCATGAACATCACAGTTCAAGTGATCCAAACCACAGAGCAGGTGGAGTTTGAAGCCATGGGTTCAAATCCTCACCTATTCCATGGTTTGTTTGTAACCGTGTTATTAGGATTTTGTGAGTCAAGTGATCCAATGAACAGAACATCCCCACTTTAGGCATCAGAGTGCATTACATTATACTAATAAATTGACGTTTTTGTAATCTGTTGTATATTTATTTCCCCTTGATTGTGTAATTGTAAGTACTGTATGTCTTTAATGAAGATCTCCTGCAGGAGGGCTACGTCTTCCGTGTTCGTGTCTCTTACTTGAGAGAAATCTACCTGCAGCGACTAGTGGAAACACCACAGGGAGACTGGCAAGAGCAAGACACTGCTGCTTCCATACAGCTGGAGAAACATATTGAGATTATTCCACGATTCACAACAGCTCTGGCCAGGTACATGATTGCCTTTCCTTGACATATGAGTGCGTATATTATTCAGTGTTAATTTTCCAAGTAACAAATTTTTGTCACGTATAAAAAATACAAGTGCATGAATGTATAACTACATGCTTGTGCCATCATTTAGTATTGAATATTCATTTGTTTAATTTTATTTTTATTCTTTACTGTTAGAATTATCATTTTCAGTATATCATTATTTCAACTCTTATTACTTGATGTTGCTATGAGCTTGCCAAAAACAGAGGAAAAATGTTTTTTAAAAAAGAGATAATGAGAATTCTAGAAATGATTCCTTAAGTAAATTGTCTATAAAAAAATAAAAATACTGTACATTAAGGTAAAAATAAGAAAGCTATTAAATGAGGTAATGTTTACACTATAATATCCACAGTTATTATAATCACGAAAATTTAGTGCCGTCACACCTTAGCAAAATATGTATCCTCATTATCTTGGCTGTTTCATGTGTAAAGTACTCTGCATGAATTTCCACATTCAAAATATGGCGTGTTTTCTGCCATATAAGGCCCCCCCTCCCCCAAGAAAGACTTGGAAAATCACCTTGCACCTTATATGCTCAAGGTCATGTTCAAGTGTATGCTTTGTGTTAGGCTTTAGCTAAAAGTAAGAGGGTAATTAACCCTTGAATATAATTAGTGATTTACCGTTATGATGCGTTTGTTATGCGCCTTATATGCTGGAAAATATGGTAATTCCACTAAGCTCTGTTCATTGGCACCTTTCCTGAGTTGCTTACATACATGCCGCTTTCTCCCTCATATTCACTACCTCAACATGTCTTTGGTGTTATCTTTCTATTTTTTTTTTTTTTAGTATAGCATATTTCATTATTCAAGCTAGCTTTAGTTTTTATAGTACGTAATGGCATCTGTTCTTGTAGAATGAGTCTCATGACTAACCAAGTATATTCTGCACTTTTCTTAGTGGAAATGCAGTGCTCTAACTACTAATATCGTCTGTCAAATGCAATTATGGAGTGATAGCCTATGAAATAAGGTCAGTAGGTATAACAAGAAAAGAAGGAAAATGACTTGAGTGTTCTAACAAATGAAATGCAGAGAGAGGTAGCAAACAAAGCAAAATCTAGTTTTAGCGTAGTAACATGTTCAATACCCCAAGACACGGTCCTGGCACTTGTATTATTTTAAATTCTCATAGCAAACAGATAAAAGAAATGCTAGCCACAACATCTGTGGTTCATAGTGTTGATGTGGTGCAGTGGCAATATGATGACTATTGTAGTATTAACTGTTTATCTGCAGCTTTTTCTACCTACTCCTAGTCTTTTATCTGCCTCTCTCTCTCTTAACTGGAAACTGAGCTTTCAGTATTTCTTCTGCAGTTGGCTCTTTGTCATTCTTTTCTAGCACTTCATAAATATCTTGTTCATGCAGCACATCTTCAAAGACCCTACCAGTTTATCTCCGTCTGTGCCAGAGCCACAATTTCCTAACCCCTAACTCTCTTACTGAGAAAAAGCCAGAGAAAATATCCAAAATCATTTGATAAGTGCAGAGAGTTAGGCATGTGACACTCCCAGAAAACAAATATAGGTAGTGTGGGTGTCAATAGGGAAGGCAGTGAGATGTGTCTCTCCAAACACTCGACTTATAAGCTGAAGGGGAAAGATGTCACGGCAGGTAATTCCTAGATTTTTGCACATAACCTAATGCCCCATGCTTACGGAGCACATTGTTCATTTTACATGTGCTGTGCAGTTTTGGATCCACCTCTTGTCGTCCAGGTGCGAGGCGCCTTGATGCTGGTGAGGCACTCTCAATCTAAGGAAGGGGACTATGTCTCCTCTTCCTTGAATCATAACTGAATGCCTCCCATTCCCCAGGTGCTATGTAACCCTTGCAGGTTTTCTTCTTCCCTGTGAATAAAATGAAAAATTCATTCATTATACAAAGTCACACTATGCACTATGTAGAATTACCTTATGAAGATTTACTGTACACTTTTTTTTTTTTTTTTTTTTTTTTTTTTTTTTTTTTTTTTTTTTGTCACCAGTATTCAAGCAGATCACCCAAGTTTCAGTGGTGGGGTTCGTTTATGTAAGCAATGGGCAGGGTCACAACTGCTTTTACCACATCTTCCACACATAGCAGTGGAGCTGCTGGTGGCTTCTCTCTACCTGAACCCAGCTCCATATATGCCTCCAAGCACACCTCATGTAACTCTATTAAGATTTCTCCACCTCCTGGTTAACACTGATTGGAAGATGACACCCATCCTTGTTAATCTCAATGAAACCTTCACAGGTAAGTTATGATGGTTTATTTTTAGTAGTAATTACACACTGTTAGCTTTTTGTGAGGTCTAGACTTGAAAAGCAAAATAAAGGATTTACTTTGCATATGAGATAGTTGTGAATTGCTCCAGCTATAGTCTTGTGACTTTCTTCATCAGATTGTGTTTTTTGTATACAAGAATTTAAGCAAAGGATAATTTATGTATACAATACCATTAAATTTTAGTTAAACAATCTGTCCAGTTAGTAAATGTTCACACCTACTGGAAATGTGTGAATGTTTAAATTGAAGTTCAAATTCTGAAAGACTTATGTTTTTTTTTTTTTCTCTCTCTCTCTCTCAACAAGTCGGCCGTCTCCCACCGAGGCAGGGTGACCCACAAAAGAAAGAAAATCCCCAAAAAGAAAATGCTTTCATCATCATTCAACACTTTCACCACACTCACACATTATCACTGTTTTGGCAGAGGTGCTCAGAATACAACAGTTTAGAAGCATATACGTATAAAGATACACAACATATCCTTCCAAACTGCCAATATCCCAAACCCCTCCTTTAAAGTGCAGGCATTGTACTTCCCATTTCCAGGACTCAAGTCCGACTATATGAAAATAACCGGTTTCCCTGAATCCCTTCACTAAATATTACCCTGCTCACACTCCAACAGATCGTCAGATCCCAAGTACCATTCGTCTCCATTCACTCCTATCTAATACGCTCATGCACGCTTGCTTGAAGTCCAAGCCCCTCGCCCACAAAACCTCCTTTACCCCCTCTCTCCAACCCTTTCGAGGATGACCCCTACCTCGCCTTCCTTCCCCTATAGATTTATATGCTTTCCATGTCATTCTACTTTGATCCATTCTCTCTAAATGACCAAAACCACCTCAACAACCCCTCTTCTGCCCTCTGACTAATATTTTTATTAACTCCACACCTTTTCCTAATTTCCACACTCCGAATTTTCTGCATAATATTTACACCACACATTGCCCTTAGACAGGACATCTCCACTGCTTCCAACCGTCTCTTCGCTGCTGCATTTACCACCCAAGCTTCACACCCATATAAGAGTGTTGGTACTACTATACTTTCACACATTCCCTTCTTTGCCTCCATAGATAACGTTTTTTGACTCCACATATACCTCAATGCACCACTCACCTTTTTTCCCTCATCAATTCTATGATTAACCTCATCCTTCATAAATCCATCCGCCGACACGTCAACTCCCAATTATCTGAAAACGTTCACTTCTTCCATACTCCTCCTCCCCAATTTGATATCCAATTTTTCTTTATCTAAATCATTTGATACCCTCATCACCTTACTCTTTTCTATGTTCACTTTCAACTTTCTAACTTTACACACTTCCCAAACTCATCCACTAACCTTTGCAATTTTTCTTTAGAATCTCCCATAAGCACAGTATCATCAGCAAAAAGTAACTGTGTTAATTCCCATTTTGAATTTGATTCCCCATAATTTAATCCCACCCCTCTCCCGGACACCCTAGCATTTACTTCTTTTACAACTCCATCTATAAATATATTAAACAACCATGGTGACATAACACATCCCTGTCTAAGACCTTTTACCGGGAAGTAGTCTCCCTCTCTTCTACACACCCTAACCTGAGCCTCACTATCCTCATAAAAACTCTTTACAGCATTTAGTAACTTACCACCTATTCCATATACTTGCAACATCTGCCACGTTGCTCCTCTATCCACTCTATCATATGCCTTTTCTAAATCCATAAATGCAATAAAACTTCCCTACCTTTATCTAAATACTGTTCACATATATGCTTCAATGTAAACACTTGATCTACACATCCCCTACCCACTCTGAATCCTCCTTGCTCATCCACAATCCTACATTCTGTCTTACCTCTAATTCTTTCAATTATAACCCTACCGTACACTTTTCCTGGTATACTCAATAAACTTATTCCTCTATAATTTTTACAATCTCTTTTGTCCCCTTTTCCTTTATGTAAAGGGACTATACATGCTCTCTGGCAATCCCTAGGTACCTTCCCCTCTTTCATACATTTAATTAAACAAAAGTACCAATCACACCAACACTATATCCCCCCTGCTTTTAACATTTCTGTCATGATCCCATCAGTTCCAGCTGCTTTACCCCCTTTCATTCTACGTAATGCCTCACGTACCTCCCCCACACTTACATTACATTCTGCTCTTCTTCACTCCTAAAAGATGGTATACCTCCCTGACCAGTGCATGAAATTACCGCCTCCCTTTCTTCCTCAGCATTTAAAAGTTCCTCAAAATATTCTCGCCATCTACCTAATACCTCACTCTTCCCATCTACTAACTCCCCTACTCTGTTCTTAACTGACAAATCCATACTTACCCTAGGCTTTCTTAACTTGTTTAACTCACTCCAAAATTTTTTCTTATTTTCATTAAAATTTCTTGACAGTGCCTCTCCCACTCTATCATCTGCTCACCTTTTGCACTCCCTCACCACTCTCTTCACCTTTCTTTTATTCTCCATATACTCTACTCTTCTTATAACACTTCTGCTTTGTAAAAACCTTTCATAAGCTAACTTTTTCTCTTTTATCACACCCTTTACTTCATCATTCCACCAATCACTCCTCTCTCCTCCTGCACCCACCCTCCTATAACCACAAACTTCTGCCCCACATTCTAATACTGCATTTTTAAAACTATTCCAACCCTCTTCAACCCCCCCCCCCCCCCACTACTCATCTTTGCACTAGCCCACCTTTCTGCCAATAGTCGCTTATATCTCGCCCGAACTTCCTCCTCCCTTAGTTTATACACTTTCACCTCCCTCTTACTTGTTGTTGCCACCTTCCTCTTTTCCCATCTACCTCTTACTCTAACTGTAGCTACAACTAAATAATGATCCGATATATCAGTTGCCCCTCTATAAACATGTACATCCTGGAGCCTACCCATCAACCTTTCATCCACCAATACATAATCTAACAAACTACTTTCAGTACGTGCTACATCATACCTTGTATATTTATTTATCCTCTTTTTCATAAAATATGTATTACTTATTACCAAATTTCTTTCTACACATAGCTCAATTAAAGGTTCCCCATTTACATTTACCCCTTGCACCCCAAATTTACCTACTACTCCCTCCATAATATTTTTACCCACTTTAGCATTGAAATCCCCAACCACCATTACTCTCACACTTGATTCAAAACTCCCCACACATTCACTCAACATTTCCCAAAACCTCTCTCTCTCCTCTACACTTCTCTCTTCTCCAGGTGCATACATGCTTACTATAACCCACTTTTCACATCCAATCTTTATTTTACTCCACATAATCCTTGAATTAATACATTTATAGTCCCTCTTTTCCTGCCATAGCTTATCCTTCAACATTATTGCTACTCCTTCTTTAGCTCTAACTCTATTTGAAACCCCTGACCTAATCCCATTTATTCCTCTCCATTGAAACTCTCCCACCCCCTTCAGCTTTGTTTCACTTAAAGCCAGGACATCCAGCTTCTTCTCATTCATAACATTCACAATCATCTCTTTCTTATCATTTGCACAACATCCACGCACATTCAGACTTCCCACTTTGACAATTTTCTTCTTATTGTTTTTAGTAATCTTTACAGGAAAAGGGGTTACTAGCCCATTGTTCCCGGCATTTTAGTTGCCTTTTACAACATGCATGGCTTACGGAGGAAAGATTCTTATTCCACTTCCCCATGGATATAAAAGGAAAAGTAATAAGACCAAGAACTATTAAGATAAAATCAAAGAAAACTCAGATGAGTGTGCATAAATAAACATGTACATGTATGTGTAGTGTGATGTAAGTGTTGGTTTAGCTTTGTCAAATTACTTCTCAGTTAGAAAACTATATCACCTTTTTTCATACTAACTTATTGATTTTGAATAATGCTTCTAAAGCTTGTTAAAACTTATTTTACCACTTAAAGGCAGTCAAAATGTGTGAGAAGATTGTATATGTGGTTAAGTCCTCAGATATATACAGTGGTACAGGTGCAAGTTTGACAGTACCAACAAACTGTGCTGGAAACACAAATGCAACATCTAGGATATTTAATTAGGGGACATTTATCAGTCCAGTGCAGAGATAAAAAAAACACAGAATATATCGGGAAAGGAAGTGAGGTGAGGAAAGCAGGATCAGGTCTCAGGATGTCAAGTGCTTGAGTATGTATTGCCTGCTCCTGTGGTGGGGTAAATTCAGCTTGGCTAGCACTCTTGAGGTGCTAAAACAACCTGGATTTTGGGTCAGAAGCTGCTATCCAGGCAGTCTTAAGACCAACACTTATGCAGATTGTTGTTCTTCGTGACCAATTTGGCATCTTTCCATCTCGTCAAATGCTCTTGTGAATTCCTGTGTTTTATGCAAGCATTATTCAAAGTTATAGTTAGAATACACAAAAGTGCACCCTGTTCCATACTTTATAATAAGATTGTCAAAAATGATTGCTAACTAATGAGAATAATTTGTCTTTAAGTGGAAGATGTGGCAGAGCTCAATCGACTTTTCCTCACCCAGCGCTCGGCTTTCCCACACATGTTTATAGTCACCCCATATGAGTTACGATCTGTACCAAGCACTGAAACATCAGGTGACTTACAACGACGATATAAACTAGCTTCTATGTGGACCAAAACCTCCCCATCGGTACAGATATTATATCGAAGTAAGCAGCTAGCTGAAGCTGCCCTTAGTTTTGTAAATGCCAAACTGTTGAAAGGTGTCCTGAATTTCAAGGTGAGAATTATGGTATTTCATATTTATTATAAATTTTCTTTTCTTTATAAACATACCTGTAAATTGCTTGAGTAGCTTACGAGCACACTCATGTATAATATTCTTTGCCTCACATTGTTCAGCCTAATTAAAAAATTAATTTTTTTTTCTTATGCTTATTTGAATCACTGAAAATGTTTGCCTTTGAAATTTACAGACTATTTTCCGACCCTCATCTGATGACTTTGATGTTGTCATTCACTTGAATCATAAGCATCTGTGCCGTTTAAATGAATCTGTTAACTGGACTTCACCCAAGCCACTGAAGATTAAACCCTATGAACGCCATACCAACGAATTAATGCCTATTGTGATGTTTGATGCAGCTTTTCTGTATTTAAAAGAACTAAGGGTTTGTATATTATTATCTTACCTTGAAAAAATTCATAAGTAATTTACACTTGGAGAGAAAACTTATGATGTTTCCTTCTGTTCTGGACCACTGTCAAAGTTACAAGTGCCACAGACCGAAACATAATAATACACAAATAACCCGCACTTATGAGAAGGAAACTTTTTACGATGTTTCGGTGTGTGACTAGTTAATGGTCCAAGTCAGACCGAAACGTCACCATAAGTCTGTTTCTCCTACGTGTGGGTTATTTGTGTATTGTTCCAGTCGCGGTATTGTGCCTTTTTATTCTCGAAACAACAAGTTTCCTCTCCTGAGTACAGCTTATTTGTGATTTGTTCCAACCATGGTATTGTGGCTTTTTCTTCTTCCTGAAAAGTTTGTTTTTATGCTTGTTAATTTTCAAGTTATGCTTGCTTTTATTCCAGTTTCCTGCTTGACAAAAAGTTTTTAAACTATTTTGCTGTTAAATAATGTGTACGATTGATTGTTATATACATTATGCCTTTTATTTAAGGTGTAATTGGGGATAACAATGTCCACGTTTGCTTAAACTCCTTTCAGCAATATCTTTGTTCTTTTCATTTTCTGCTTATTGAAATGACTGCCTTTATAATGATACTCTACCCAGTCAGGGGCAGCTCTAGAGGCTTTATGTAAGAGGGGCTATGGGTTGGCTATCTGGTTGAAAGAGGGAGCAGTGGGACTTGTATTGAAGAAGTGTTGATGGAAATTTTGAAGGCTTCACTCCTACCTCTTGTTCCCCTTCCTTGGTGCTGCCCCAGTCTCTGCCTCTATCTGTATTGCAGTCTGGTCATTTGTTTGTATTGTTATGCATAATAATGTATTTTATTTTTGACAGTCTCTCAATCCATTGCGAGATGTCTAGAAAATAAGCCAAATTTTAATTTAAATAAAAAGGATTGCTTGTTTCAGACTATTGCTTTTTTTTTCATATTGATTGGAATACTTACACTTCTCTTGAAAATCATTTAGGGAATATTAATGCCAAAATTATATACCTTTATACTCAAAAATTTTTGAACCTTATAACATAAAGGATTCTCTTCACAATTACTTTTATTCTTTCTTTATTGATAAATTGGTTGTCCTGCTAAAAGAATAAATTTTGCAGGATGCATTTAATCATGTGGCACTGTTCTTCTACGATGAACATGGAGGAAAGTTCGTGGGTGTTGTTTGGAAGCCGTCGGCCCTCCTACCACAGGAGCTCAAGGTTACACCATCTGCTATTGTTTCTTCTAAAATAACATCCTTTGCTTCTTATTCTCTGCTGATTTATTTTTTAGGCCATTAAAATTCTGCATGCAAGATTAGTGACCATGTACATATTCTTAAGCATTTTAGTCATATACAATATCAGTTATGTTCTGTAGTTGGACATATATATTCATGTTACATGGGTGTGAGGCATGAGCTTTGAATGTTGCAGTGAGAAGGAGGCTGGAGACAAATGTCATGTTTGAGGGTGGTGTGTGGTGGGAATATGTGGAGAATTCATTGCATAGAAATTAGAAGTGTGTGTGTGTGGGTTACCAAAGGTATATTCAGAGGGCTGAGGAGGGGTTCTTGAGGTGGTTTGGGCAATTAAAGAAGATGAAGTAGAACTGGATGACTAAGAGGGTATATAAATTAGGGATGGAAGGAAGGAAGGGTAGAGGTCATGCCAGGAAGGATTTGAAGGAGAGCATAAAAGTTTTGAGTGCTAGAGGCTTGAGCATCCAGCAGGCTCGTGTAAACGTGTTTGATTAGAGCTAGTGGAAGCAAGTATATTGAAGGCTTGATGTATTGTTGGAGTTTGAGCATGGTAACAATTATAAAATGATTCAAAGAAGCTGGTTTATTGGACTTGAGTCCTGGAGGTGGAGAAAAGAGCTTGCACTGAGATTGGGGTGGGGATGTTGCAGTTTGAATTTTGATGGTCAGACAGCTATTGAATGAATGATGGTGAATGTGTTTCCATTTTTTAGGGTCACTCTGCCTTGGTGGGAGACATCCAGTTTGTTAAAAAATGTTTCCCCCAGTTTAGTATCGATGCCTACATTTCCTGGAATATTTGTTGTAAGAAACACGTTGACCATGAACAAATGTTCTTGTGTTGCCCAGCTGCAGCTCCTCAACCTACAAGTGCTATAATTAGCACTGTATTTAATGGATAATATTCATGTTACCAGAGTGTTTAGATACATTCTTTGCTGTATCTGTTTTCTTTTATATCAACGAGCTGCACATTCATTATCGTTATGTACAGAAAAGGTTACAAATATGGTAATAATAGGAAATGTTTCAGGTGGGTGGACTGGAGGGTCAGCAGCTGGTAGGTGTGAAAGAAGTGAAGCAGGTGACCAACATCGAAGCAATTCTTGACGATTTCCAAACTATTGGTGTCGATCTCGTCCGCAAAATATCTGTTAAGAACACATAAAACAAATTTATGTTAAGATACGTGTTTGAGCACAAGACTGTGCTACCGTAAATATTGTTAGTTTGCTGATTAGTAAATTCGAAAGGAAAAAATTCAGGTACACAGTGTTTATTTTTCATCAGAGGATCCAAATTACAAAATGCTTTTGTTCTTTTTACTAGGAATTACATTACAATATTTTTATAATAAGATAACTAATTCCTAATAAATTCTGCTCAAATGTTTGAGTGATCAAATTGTCTAGCAATTATACACAGTGTCTGCTGTAAATAGGTTTATGGGAAATAAATGTGTATAGCGACCTTCATAGGTATTGTGTGATTTAAGATATAATAAAAAATTAAAAGATTTATTGGTTTTCAAATTTATACTCATTTAGAATTTCTCTAGAAAATATATGCAGTAGACATGAGCAATTGATTTGTCATATAAAATGGTTTACATGAAGTGTAATTAAGGAGAGTGAGTTGGGGAGGAATGAAGCAGTGCAATCCTTATTAAGGAGAACAAGAACAGTGGGCTACTGGCAGCAACAGCCTGGTTGACAAGGCAAACACCAGATGAGCCTGGCCTGTGGCCGGGCTCTGGCAGTAGAGAGATTCTTGGAACTCGTCAAAGGTACATCAAAAGTAAAGGGATGTGGTTAGATGTCTGTATGAAGTGACTGTTTTAACTCTCATTGTCTACAATGGATCACCAGCATGGGTTTATCGCTGTCAATATACTTATAATAATAAAAATCCACCCCTTATTTGTAGATATGAAATACAGGTGTGGTGTTAGGGGGATATATAGAAGAATCAAAAGACTGAGGTTACTATAGTCTGAGGTAGTATAGGATAGTTCTTATAAAATTCTCACTACCATCTTTGGTTTTTCCATATCACAAATCTTTCACTACCCAGCATATAATGTATATTAGTATATTTCTTTAATGACTTTTAAATTTAGCCCATTTCTCAAATCTTAGTGAAAATTTTTCTATAATATGCTGTTTGGAATGGCATCTTCATCAACGGTGGTCTATGAAGATTATCATTATGTCAGGGTAACTATCCCTTCCACTTGGCAGAACTTTTTGTCTTAGTTTCTCTTCATAAAGAAAAAATTATCCAGTAGTGTTATACACTGGTTCCTAGGTTTCTTTATATACTCCTAACCCAGGAACCTAAAGTTTATCAGGCCTTTGTCTGCACAGATTATATATTAGGATTTTTTTTTTTAACACTGTCTCCCTCAGTGTCAGTCCTGCCAAGTGGCACAGTCACACACACACATTACAAGACAGTGAGTAAATGCTTGTGAGGACTCCACATAATGACTTATCCAAGTGAGGTGCTGCGCTTGTTTTAGGGATGCAAGCTGATCCTGACAAGCAATTCTGCAAGTTGACCACCAGCTAATGTTTCCCAATGGTTGGAGATATATAATGGCCTCGACATGTCATAATTAGTCAACGATGAATAGGATATGGGTAATTCATGGAAATACCTCGAAATGGAGCTAGTGCTTGAAGAGGAGGAACTAGAATGGCCTCGAGTCCTAAAAGTACCATGATCTGTATGTACATATGGTAAGTACTGCATTTTTCAAAATTTTGAAAAATTTCTGTGGCCATGTGACAAATATACTCTTGACTGAGTGTTTGTCACATGTGGCCAGTAATGGTGATTGTGATGAGTAGAGATTAAAGTTTTTTATGTGATTGTAACATTAACAGACAATTTTGTGACCAACAGACTTTGTTGTTTCCAAAACAATTGACCCATCACCTTTTGTTACTTATTTTTGAGTCTGTTAAAATGAGACCTATTCAGTCTGGGGTTTAATTGTGTTCTGTGGTAAACACTGCTGCTTTCCACATATTACTCATTGTGCTACAGAAAAATATTTTATAAAATAATGTTCCATAGTACCAGGATTGAACTGAAAGCGAATGCATTTTATTCCTGTCAGTCAGGCAGTGGCCAGGACAGGAGCAGATGAGAAGTGTGTTTAGTTCAGTATGTGTAGGAAGGCGGCTAGGTGAAGTCTTCATGGGTTGGCAGTAGTTTGAGTAGGTAATTTTGGTAAGTTTTTTAGTGTATACTATAGGCATTTGTGTTTAAGTGCTCTCATGTTTATTTGTAAAGCCCTAGTATGCAGAGGCCTGTTTATGCTCGAGTACTGTATGGTGTTTTGCCTGCTGGTAATTAGTCTACCAGGCAGAAGTGAAGAGGGGGGTATGTATGTCATGGTGCCTTCCTGATGATTTATTTTGTTTAACTCATTAGTAGCAGTGTGCTAATGAGCTAATGTGAACTGGAGTGTGGTAGTCTTTTTGGAGTAGATTGTAAGTTGTTTACAAGTTATTCATTAATATAGATACATTTTTATATAGGCGAGTTTTTGTCCTTCCTTCCTAATAATAACATTGTTTAATATATGAGTACATGCTGGCCCAAGAGTTGCTGTGTTTTTCAGTGTAGTTTAAATGCCCCTAGACAGCAGTGTGAGCAGCCTTTAGAAGCCAGGACCATTTTATTAAAGTTACAACATCAAAGTCGTAACACTGACATGTCCACGCATGAGGCACAGAACAGCAGGAGCTTGCACCAAACCTCCCATCCCTCACACAATTATCTTCACTGCCTTCTCACATTATATACCATAACACTGAGGGAGTGAGAAAGAGAGATAGTACAACTGCTGCTAACCCATACAAATAACCCCATTCCTCTACAACTTATATCAGCAAGACAGAAAAGATTGCACCTTGATTCAAGGTAATAAAGGATTGCTTCAAGTTCTGTGCATTAATGCTTTGGGTGATTTAACATGCAAGCTTATGCTAATTTATCACTCCCAGTCCCCATGCTCTAAAATGTAATGACAAAGCCCCTGCTTTTTATTTGGTGGTGTAACAAGGCAGCATGGATGAGTGAGGCTCTGTTGCGTGGTTAAGCACTTTATTATTTTTGCAATAAAGTTGAACCTAGGGGACTTTTAACAATTTAGATGCAATAACCCACATAAAAGTGTCATGGGATGAAGCTCCCCAAACATTTGCAAATGCAAATCGAAGGAAATCGTAACCCAGTTTAGTGAATAATTTCACAGGTTTCCTCTCAGTAGTTAAATACAGGAAATTGTTAATACAAGGAGGACAGTGCCAGGTGAGGGCTTTGGAGAAATGCAGGGAGAAGACATAAGTGAACTTAGATGATGATGTCAAAGAACAAACTGCAGAAATGGAAGAGAGCAATTCCAAGTTAGAATGGAGGTAGGTAACACACGAGGATGAGATATCACTCATGCCAAAACAGTTGACCTTAGAGATGCACGAGATGTTCCATAGTATTGGCAGTGTTGCAGATTTTAACTGAAAGGTACATCTGACACATCCAGAAGCATCACTGTGAAATGGAGACTGAAGCAGCTGATATGATGCCTTATCAGCTGTATAAACTACTTCTGGGTGTATCAGAGCAAAAGTGCCTTATAGAATACCTAAGCATCATGGTAGATCCATCAGATAAGAACAATGTTGATCACAGCCCAAAAACCACAGCAATGCACCTCAACCCAAGAACCATTGCCATCCACCTCAACCAAGTAGGGCCACTAGCACCTCTTTTTCTGACATCGAGATCACCAGAATTTAAGGTAAGAAAAAATAGTTTTTCATAAATTTTGTGTCTACATTTACTCCTGTTTGACTGTCTGTACCTCACTACATCCAACTAGGTCTACTGGGCAACATCAGCCCTCACCACATTTTTACATCAATAAATAGTGACTTCTACAGTGAAGTTATCAAAGACTTTAGTATTCTGATGAATTAAGAAATTTACAAAAATTGGCTCATGGTAAAATGTTTCCTCTAATAAATTTCCTAAATTGTACGTCAGTCTTTTTCCACATCTTGTCAGTATCGCCACTCCATTTTTCTCATTCTAAGTTTCCCAAACCCTTTACATACAAACAGGCTTCAATGATACCTACTCGAGCCACTTCGCCTTGACTCTCTACAAATTCACCAGTGGAGATTTACAGCTCTTGTGGCTTGAAATAAAAATTATTCAGTCACAACTAGAGGTCATGGCATGCCCATAATTTAAGTCTCTTCTATCCACCACAAGAGGTAAATCTGTACCATACATGTATAGCACTTTGACCTCCTCCATCTTTATTTACTGTACTCTGTTACAGGTTGTTCTTGATGTGTCTTATAGTGTCTCAAGCCAAAAGACATTGTTGTTTAAAGAATTGTCAATGTGACATGTTCATTACGATTTAGATGCAATGGACCAACCCCATTGTATCCAGATTTTGTCCATTTGTTCTGATCAACAAAAATCAGTTTCAGATTCATAATTTGGATTCAGTGGACCCTCAACTTTAATGGATACCCCATTTACCTATTAGTCTGTTCAATTGAAGTTTCACTGGTACATATATATATATTGTCAACAAGCCAGCCATCTCCTGTCAAGCTAAAGTGAACCAAAGAAAAAAAAAAAAGAAGAAAAACACATTCACCACTATTCATTCAGTAACTATTTCCAGAAGTGGAAAGACAAGCCAGGTCAAATAACCCTCTGAACTTCAACATTCCCACTCCTCCTCCTCCAGGGCACTGGTATTGTACTTTCCACCTCCATATATATCACTTCAGGGATGCAAATAAATAAACTGTTGAGCAATGTTTATTGCAAACTTTGTGTAGAAATATAAGCATCAACAAGCACAAATATTGTGCAGATGTATTTTGAATGCATATGCAAGTTGTTATAAATGAGGACATGGCAAAATAAAGCAACAAATCCTGGTGACTTAGATTTACTCTTGTTAATAAATTGTGCTATATAGATAAAACTTTAAAAACTTTGAAATTATAGGTAGGTAAAGTACTTAGACATTTGTAAAATCAAATATATATAAATGGCTACATCATCTAATTTTGGACAGATTAGAGCCTTTTAATATCTTAAACCTATCATGAATTACATAACAGCAGTAAATTTATTTTAACAAATTTCTCAAATAGAATTTACTCTGATAATAGCACCAGGTTATTGTATGCTGTGTCTTTTAGTTGTAGCTAATCTTGTACCTAACAATATAATACTTATCAACAGTGCATGAGTATTTTTGCACATACATTTTATATGTATATATATATTCACAAATACATACATACATAAAATTATATGCATACATACATATAATACATGCACGTGTATGTGCATATATCAGGGGCAGTCCACGCTAAAAGTTTTTCCACTGTCATATTCCACTGAAAGAAAAAAAAATCACACATTTTAATAATTTTAGGGTTCATTTAGGATGCCCCAAGAACCTCAAACTTTTTTTATTTTTTTTTAGGTGGGGGGGGGAGGAGGAGAGCAGTTGTATAACAAAACTAAGTAATAAATAAATAATAGACAATAATAACAAAAAAGAATTTCCTATTTATAGGTGGTGAAAATCTGTTGCTGTGGTTCTTCTCCATGAATTGCAATCATCACAAAGCTTTACATAAAATTTTTAGCACAAAGAAGGAACACAACAAAGGGGAGAGGAGACAAAAATTAAGAAATTATGCTTTACTCCTCCATCAGTGGGCCACCCTAAAATATATGTACTGTACATACATTATATAATACATATATGCAAGAATCACAAACAATAATACAAGATGCAAAAAACCATAGGGGGAGTTGCATAATAACTCTAGGCTTTTTGTGTTGCTATCAACACATCAGGAGTTTGCAAAGTTTCAGAAATGGGTAAGAAATCTCAGCAGATTCGTTCTGAGGGACGCTTGTTAGGACACATCTTAGAAGTGTCCCTTGGAACGAATCTGCCGAGATTTCTTACTCATTTCTGAAACTTTGCAAACTCCTGGTTATGTGCTGATTGCAACATGAAAGGCCTAGAGCTATTATTCAACTACCCCTGTGGTTGTTTTGCACATGTGTACACACATGTGCACACATGTGCACATACACATACACATGTACACACACATACATGTACACACACATGTACACACATGTACATACACACGTACACAATGTACATACACACATGTACACACACACACACACAAGGAGAGGTTAAAGGGAAATCGAGCTGATGACACTAGAGGAGGATATAAAGATATATAAAATACTGAGAGGAATTGACAAGGTGGACAAAGACAGGTTGTTCCAGAGATGGGACACAGCAACAAGGGGTCACAATTGGAATCTGAAGACTCAGATGAATCACAGGGATGTTAGGAAGTATTTCTTCAGTCACAGTTGTCAAAGTGGAATAGTCTGGGAAGTGATGTAGTGGAGGCAAGATTCATACATAGCTTTAGGAAGAGGTATGATAAAGCTCATGGAGCAGGAAGAGTGGCTTAGTAGCGACCAGTGTAGACGCGGGGCCAGGAGCTGTGACTCGACCCCTGCAGCCATAACTAGGTGAGTACACGTACACACACACCACAATTAGGCGAGTACACACATACACGTACACACACACACACACACACACACACACACACTGTACATATACATACACACACAAAATGTACATACATGTGTACACGTACACATACACACGTATGCACACGCGTACAGACACACGTACGCACACGCGTACAGACACGTACACACACACAAAAGGTAACAGGAGGGAGCTCTAATGCCATAGTTAAATTGCCTCATTATATTTAGTTTCCTAATATATTTATAGCATAGTAAAGCTCCCTCCATTATCTTTTTCTAACACAACTGGACACAGCTCTTACTATTGATAATGTTTCAAGAATACAGCATGATGCATTTTTTACCCATTCATATAAACTATGAATTGTGCATATGAGTTTGTGTTTGTAGTACCCAGTTCATATGGACAGGGAATTTGTAAGTTTATGGTGATTACAACAGTAATTATAATTGATGAAAAATGGCAGGTTACATCATCATAAGGGTACACTTTGGTACGTATATCCCTTTGATAGTGTGTTACCTCTCCTGGATATACGCTATTTCACAATGGCAGGTTCTGTTACTTAAGGCTCGACACCATCAATGAAACCTTATCAAGTTACTAGTCCATATAATGTATAATAGGAGGTCTTTGTGCCATACGTACGGCCTGCCATAACTTTTCCACATACTAAAACCGTTGTTTCAAGATATAGAGTACCATGAGCTTTGTAACAAGTCCTGGCACTAAGTGTTTTAACAGTATCTTTGCTCATGATAGTGGTGTGCTGAATAACCCCTACAAGCTTAGCACTATTTTGTGAATATAATAAGAGGGGTTGTTATCTTGTGTCAAACTCCACCATTTTTTTGAGTACTGGTACAGCATTTCCAAAGGTATATCCAAAAAATGTAACAATTTTAAATAATTGTTATAATAACAACAAGGAATAACACTAGAATTATTGTATACAAAACTTAACAGTCGAAACTTCTCACTGCTAATGATGGGAAAAAGGTGAGGGGGGTGGGGGGATGGGGATTATGGAGGTGGCAGCCTAGTTGTGCACAGCTTACATCAGTCACCTGGAATCTATGGTATTGCATGGTTCACCAAGGATGCTTGACAGAATAGCAAATCACTAGCATGGGAGTTAAATATTTCCTTGCACTGTAGCTATGTACATACTTCAGCAGTAACCCTATTTGCCATTGAACAATAACTATTCTCTCTGGAGCAGAAAAGTAATTTTGGATGAAAGAAGTTAAATCTGTTTTGTTTTTATATATACAAACTTGAGGCAAACAGGAGACATGTATTAAGTCTATTTACTATGTTACATAACAGTTATGTAGATACAATGGCTTTAGAATGCATATGAAGTGACAAGCCCATAAAACTTAACAATACAGTACTGTATATGATACAACAGCATTTGTGCAAATTAATATACAGCATTTCTAGCTTTGAAAAACAGTTAAAGAAAATCTATAAAAAGTACAGTTTTAACTTGAACACTGGTACTGTACAGGTACAAGATGTATCTTATCAATACCAGCTCTACCATATATATATCCTTTGTCATACTATTCAGTGTTAATTTTTAACATTAATAAATAATATGATTAAATGTTTGACTAAAACATTTTATATTTCACTCTGAATCATGTACGGATGCTCCTCGCTGTACGAATGTTTGACTTTATGATGATGCGATAGGAATGCTGTACGTACTGTACATTTATTGATAGGATAAACTTGTATTCATTTATTTACTTTTCAATACTGGTATTTAGTTAGTTACAGTAATTATTTTATTTACTTATTCAGTGACAGTTATTTAATCATATCTTTACGTTCAACTCACGATATTTTCAACTTACGATGGGTTTGTCGGAATGTAACCCCACTAAGTAAAGCAGCACCTGTATATACAAGAGTACAAAGAAACATCTTTCACAATGGCAGTCAAGAATGATTTTCTGCATGTTTTGCAATTCTGCCTTACCTTGTTTATTTCTCATTAATACCATTAGTAAACTTCTATCATCCATAGCTATGTTATTTTGTACAAAAATTTCTTAATGGGTTGCAAAATCTATTTAACAAAAGTTTTCCACACAGCAGTTACTAGACAGGATGCTGCAGGTATAAGTATCTTATGATTATGTATATTAAAGGTATTTATTCTCATATGTTGATTTAAGAAATTGAAATAATGTACAACTTACGCTAATAGAAATTTAAATGATTTTTTCGTGTTTGAAGAATGTACATTATATCACATTTGAGAGTTCACTTCACTATACTCTTATAATCAAATAAAGCACTAAACAGACAAAGGTCATACTATGCTCTTTTAAGTACTAATATTTATAATATATATTTCAGTAATACTACTGCATATATAATCTGTAGTCAGGTTAGTTATGCAGTGCATTAGCCTCTACAGTAAAATAAAAGTACCCTTTATATAGATGTTATAACTACATATAATATTTTTGGGAGACAAGCTTAAGTTATATGAGCAATACCAAGCTCTTTGCTGCTCTTAAGTGCAATGTATTCCCAAGCTGTCTCTTCCATTATGTTCAGGATGAGAGTATTATTCTCAAGACCAAATGCAGAGCAGGAAGAGTATTCAACATTTCACCAAGACAGCCTCCATGGAATAACAAATGTAGGACACAAAATACTCGCCTGTATGTGGTAGCAAGGGTCGAGTCTTAGCTCCTAGCCCCTCTCTTCTAGTCTTGTTGGCCCTGTTATACCTATTCTTAAAACTGTATGTGGAGTCTGCCTCCACCATTTCTTTGAGGTCATTCCACTTCTTGACCACCCTGAGACTGAAGAAATATTTCCTGACATCCCTGTGACTCATCTGTCTAACTTCCAGGTGTGTCCCTAAGTACCTGTTTCTCACCTCTCAAACAGCCTGTCTCTGTCTGCCTTAGCAATTCCTTTGGCATTTTGTATGTTTATCGCGCTGTATAGTCCTTGTGGCTTAGCGCTTCTTTTTGATTATTATAATGTATGTTTATCATATCCTCTCTAGTCCTTCTATCCTCTAGGGTCATTATACTCGATTCCTCAGCATATCTTCATAGCTCATATGGTGCCAGCCAGTGTACCAGCGAGATAACAGCAAATACAGGAAAACAACCTTTTCAGATATTGACAAATGAGCAGGGTCTTGACTGCATAAATAACTTTTTACATTGATTATTAATTATAAAAAACTGATAGCAGTGCTGTATGACACTTGTAGGTTTAGCACTTAGTTTTGATGGTAATAATAATAATATTGGCAGTTTGGAGGGATATGTTGTGTATCTTTATACGTATATGCTTCTAAACTGTTGTATTCTGAGCACCTCTGCAAAAACAGTGATAATGTGTGAGTGTGGTGAAAGTGTTGAATGATGATGAAAGTATTTTCTTTTTGGGGATTTTCTTTCTTTTTTGGGTCACCCTGCCTCGGTGGGAGACGACCAACTTGTTGGAAAAAAAAAAAAAATAAAAACAAATATAAATGCTATGCATTTTCATTGTACAATATTACTTTCACAATGTTATACCCTCGCAGTGTTTTACCCAGATACTAGTTTATGGTTAAAATAATTTATCTTCGCACTGTTATACCTACATAAATACTAATCTCTGGTTAAAACCATTGTTATGATGTATGTATATTGTATTTTAAGAGAAAACTCATGCTCAGCCACCCTTGTCAGTGTCACAAACTCTGTTACACATATACTGTCACAATTACTACATGGGATGGGATACATTGTAACTCCTGTCAACATCATAGTTTTTAGCAATTAACGGAATCCCTCCTATTATGACTGAGGCAAAGCTTAACATAGTTCAAACTTCCTCTAGAACTGCTGGGAAATATTTTGAAGTATCTGATGTGCAGTGCATCCTTTGTAGTGATTTTGACATGTTATGGATGACAGTACAAGATGCTGACAAATATTGGCTTAGCGTAAGAGTATCATTTTAATACAGTGTACTTCCTAACCATAAACGTAAAGCTACGTAGTTAATGTGAAAGTGGTTATAAAATAAAGACACTGTATATAGAATGTACGTTTACCTGGTAGCACTGTATGACCCTGGTAGTTTAGTGCTTAGTTCTGATTATAATAGTAATACATTTATCTGTAAAACTGGAATGTTAGTAAGTTTCATTTTGTGTTGCCAAAGTATCTTGCTTGTTAATTTCTTAAATGTGAACTAGTCCAAGGTGTCATTATTCCCCTTGTATAACACTTGTATAATGTCAACAATGGCTGGCATTGTTCAAGCCTCACTGTACATCCATACTTTGATATTCTTGAAGCTGTCTTGGTGGAATATCAAGAAAACTTAGATCTCTGCTCTGCAATTTGTGGTTTACCTTTCCACAATTTACTTGTGTTTTGGAGCTTAAGTACAATATATCAGATAAAAGAGAGTAAGAGTTTGAACAAAGATAGTTTAGAGAGGTTGCATTGGTGCCTGCTTTCAGTACATCACTCGAGGAATCTCTCTAAAGCTTGCTGTGCTAAGGTGTAATTTGAAGTGGTGAGGCAAGTGACCTCAGTCTGGGGCTGAAGGTGGGTTGTTATTCACTTCTGGGGGTGATAGTCTTTAGTAGCTGGAATCACCATAAGACTATGGCATGGATGCAGCTTCAATGTACAGGCAAAGTATCAAATTTTAAATTTTCTGAAGGAATTTTTCCATGAAAACCATCTCAGTAGGTTTCCTAAGCTGCACAAGCCCACCCAAATAGTGTGTGTGTCAGTGTGGAGCGAGGCACTGCTAGGCTCATCCTCCACCCTGTCCAACAGCCCCACCATCCAGTAGTCACACTTTCCTGGAAGTAGTGGTAACATAAAGCAAATGCAATATATTCATCAACATTAGTATATCTTGCACATATGGTGAGTGAAATTAGTATGTAATCAATTTATTAATGATTCATTAACCAGACATATACTAAAAATTGACAGTTACTTTTTGCTGATGATACTGTGCTTATGGGAGATTCTAAAGAAAAATTGCAAAGGTTAGTGGATGAGTTTGAGAATGTGTGTAAAGGTAGAAAGTTGAAAGTGAACATAGAAAAGAGTAAGGTGATGAGGGTATCAAATGATTTAGATAAAGAAAAATTGGATATCAAATTGGGGAGGAGGAGTATGGAAGAAGTGAATGTTTTCAGATACTTGGGAGTTGACGTGTCGGCGGATGGATTTATGAAGGATGAGGTTAATCATAGAATTGATGAGGGAAAAAAGGTGAGTGGTGCGTTGAGGTATATGTGGAGTCAAAAAACGTTATCTATGGAGGCAAAGAAGGGAATGTATGAAAGTATAGTAGTACCAACACACTTATATGGATGTGAAGCTTGGGTGGTAAATGCAGCAGCGAGGAGACGGTTGGAGGCAGTGGAGATGTCCTGTCTAAGGGCAATGTGTGGTGTAAATATTATGCAGAAAATTCGGAGTGTGGAAATTAGGAGAAGGTGTGGAGTTAATAAAAGCATTAGTCAGAGGGCTGAAGAGGGGTTGTTGAGGTGGTTTGGTCATTTAGAGAGAATGGATCAAAGTAGAATGACATGGAAAGCATATAAATCTATAGGGGAAGGAAGGAGGGGTAGGGGTCGTCCTTGAAAGGGTTGGAAAGAGGGGGTAAAGGTTTTGTGGGTGAGGGGCTTGAACTTCCAGCAAGCGTGCATGAGTGTGTTAGATAGGAGTGAATGGAGACGAATGATACTTGGGACCTGACGATCTGTTGGAGTGTGAGCAGGGTAATATTTAGTGAAGGGATTCAGGGAAACCGGTTATTTTCATATAGTCGGACTTGAGTCCTGGAAATGGGAAGTACAATGCCTGCACTTTAAAGGAGGGGTTTGGGATATTGGCAGTTTGGAGGGATATGTTGTGTATCTTTATACGTATATGCTTCTAAACTGTTGTATTCTGAGCACCTCTGCAAAAACAGTGATAATGTGTAAGTGTGGTGAAAGTGTTGAATGATAATGAAAGTATTTTCTTTTTGGGGATTTTCTTTCTTTTTTGGGTCACCCTGCCTCGGTGGGAGACGGCCGACTTGTTGAAAAAAATAAAAAAAAAAAATACTAAAAATATGGTATTCATTGATGCATGTTAGTAAAATTTGGTCATTAATGGCCCAAATTACAAAATAATTATCCTGGATCCTTTACTAGCATGTTTATAATGAAAAATCACATTATAAAGACAATATTAAGGTAATATACTGAAAGCCTGACATTTGTGCTATAGGCACATACAATCATGATAGTGAAGATGGAGAACTTTAATAATAAGGACTTTGTAAAGAATAAGTTGTAGGGGGTAATTTCTAAAGATATATATATATATATAGTGACCATAGGCTAAACCAAAGCTATGTACAGTATAGCAGTGCTGATGCCTAAAATGGAGTAACCTTGAATAATAATGGCCTAAGGTTTAATTTCAGTGCAATTGGAATTTTTATTTTTAACACGTTAGCCGTCTCCCGCCAAGGCAGGGTGAAAATATATATCTAAAATAAGTGAACTGTGAATTTATATTAATAGTAATTTCTTTAATTGAAGATAATGATGACTGCAATTTAAAGATAATTCAGATTACTTTCACTAAAGGCATCATATTCTACTGCCAAATAAAATGGAAGCTGCTTACTCTTCAGGCATATTGATTGCTGTGTCACGGTCTTTTTCCTCTTCTTGGGATCTATTCATCTTGTCACATCTCTCTTCCTTGTTAGATCCATCGTTTTCCTCTCCATCATCATCTCCTTTTTCACTGTTTTCATCATCATCATCATTTGCATTATTAGAGGAGGCATCTTCTTGGTCTGGCGGTAGTTGGTATTGACAGCGTTTCTTCTGGCATCCTGGGTACCACCAGTAGCTCACCACTCCAAGAGAGAGACCACTCAGTAGATTAGGGATGAGAAGAGCCATTATAATGTTCTGAACCTCAGTGTCCCAGTCATAGTTAGTGATGACCATGTCAGGGTTTGCTCGAGAGTAGTAGCAAGGAAATATGGAGCCCTCGGGGCTATAAACATCAGCAAAGATGGAGCAGTTTGTACCAGGAGGGTACCCACAAGCTTTAATGTTGATGAAGAGTGGAATGCCACGACCGACCCAAAACTCGTCATCGTCATCTATCTCCTGTCCTTCGTAGCTTGCAAAAGGAAGATGCATGTAGTTGATATAGATCTGGTCACATTCATATTGATCTACTGTGCAACCTTCCTTGCACGAGGACCACGAGCAATTTTTCATTCCCACTAGATGGTCCGATTGTATACTTTTACACACAACTGGCTCTGGATCAAAGTTGGCCACAAGTGTAGATATAGATGGGTCCAATACCCATGGGATCAGAAACATGAAAACAAACGATGAGATACATGCTGTTGTCCCAAGAGTGAGAGTGACGTAGTATTTCAACTTCTCAAGGAAGGTTTGCTCCTCTTCGTCACTCATTGTGTCTTCAGATGTACTATGAAGCTAACTCTAAGCTTGAATCTGGAGAAGCTGTACTGATGCAGTGTTAGATAACAGGTAAGAATATGGCAGAATTACCTAACGACAGGTTAAGGTAGAGCACTACAGTATCTACAGTTATATCTCCACTGTATAATTTGGGATACTGAAGGTTGAGAGGGATGAAACCTAAATAAGCTTTATACTAACAAAGCAGAATACACTTTAAAGCTTAATACAAAAAAGCATATTTAAACCTGAAGTGAAGGACGATTTTGTTAACTTTATGTACAGTGGTAATGAGACAAACTTTTATTATAATAGATATCACACCAGTGCATTCTTCATCAAGTTATAATTAGTTCATATATTAAACATTGTACAAATCCAATCTTATTTATACTACAAATGTAAATGGGACTAGGCACTTTAAAAATATATATTTACAATAAAATATTTTTAAGTATGAGAGCACAAGGAGTTCAATGTACACAGTTTATAGTGTAGTTTTTGGAAATTATTAATTTTTCTTTAATCATGGACTGTGAATGCTTACATATGTAAATACAAGCTTTAATGTACAGTACATATTATGTATTGTCAATTTTGTCACTACTTTTTGTATTAGGTTTCTACCTTGCCTAAAGAGATCTGAAATTTGATTGAAAAATTAGCTGTACTGTATATAAAGTTGTAAATAATGGGGTGTTTTTCCCCTAGCAAAAAGCGCAAGATGGGATGGTGTTTCATACAAGTATACTAAAGCGTTATAAAAAATTTTTTGCTATGAATTTTAATAATTTTGAATGTTGCCTTTTTTTTTTTTTTTTTTTTAAATGGCTGATACTAATTATCTCTCTACCCACTGCTTCTAATTTGATTTGTCCTGATGTACCTGCTGCTATTGCTAGGCTCAACACTGTACCTTAGGTGTATGATAAAGCTTGGATCAAGCTGTCAAAGGTGAAAGTGCTAGTCCTTGGATGCTGAGTGCATTCCAAGTTATTGTTGAATAATGACCTGGAAACTAACAATGCAAGTATCAATAGTTTGCACCTAACAATGCAAGTCTCAATATACTGCATCCACAATTAATATTTTTCCGGTTTATTTATTTTTTTTTTTGTTTTTTGTTTTTTTGAGATTAACCCATTTTTTCACTAAAGAATCAAAGCTTGAATCAGTGAAAGCTTCCTCTAAGGTTATAGCATATATCTTATGCACTATGTCAAATAGCCAAATGCTAAAATGCTGTAATAGATTTTAATTATGTAAGCAGATGTTACTTAAATGTATAACAGGAAGAAAACTATCACTTTAAAAAATATTTTGATGTGATTATCGATCAAGAATTTGAAGACTTTAAACTGCAGAGTCCGAGATGGAGGCCAAAGCAGGCCTACAGCCAATGGTTTTCTGATTGAAGATAAGAGTAGTGGCTGGTTGGCTGGAGGTGAGACAGTCCCTGGTTCACTGGTTAGGGATGAGGGTGTAGTCGCTTGGTCGCGTGCACCGTCACAATAGTTCGTCAAACTGAACAGGTTCCTTAGATGCTGAAAAACAAAATTAAAATCTTAACGAGGGATCGAATTGAATAGAGGAAGACAATTTATAATGTTCTTGTGGTAAAGCTGCAGCGCTGTATAGTCCTTGTGGCTTAGCGCTTCTTTTTGATAATAATAATAATAATAATGTGATAAAGTTTAAATCAGTTGATGCATATGTGCTTGTATTTATGTATGTATATCTAAATATCATTCATTGTTTCATTAACTAATCAGACAATATCAGTTAAACATTAAAATTTATTCTATAATCTAAAACTTACGAATGGCACACAGTGTGTGTGTGTGTGTGTGTGCATGAGTGCATATTTGTGTGTGCACACAAATGAACACATGCATGCACATGTGCACAAACACAAACACACCACCAGTTTGGAACCCACACCTAGCCAAGCACGTCAGGAAATAAGAGATTAGTCCTGGAACTAAAGGGCATGTCCTACGAGGAGAGGTTAAGGGAAATCTACACAACACTGGACGATAGGAGGGATAGCGGGGACGTGATAACGACGTATTAAATATTGAGATGAATCGACAAGGTGTACAGAGACAGGATGTTCCAGAGATGGGACACAGCAACAAGGGGTCACAATTGGAAGCTGAAGACTTAGATGAGTCACAGGGATGTTAGGAAGCATTTCTCCAGTCATAATTTGTCAGGAAGTGAAATAGTCTGGAAAGTGAGGTAGTGGAGCCAGGATCCATACATAGCTCTAAGAAGAGGTATGACAAGGCTCATGGAGCAGGGAGAGTGTGGACCTAGTAGCAACCAGTGAAGAGGCAGGGCCAGGAGCTATGACTCGGCCTTTGCAACCAGAATTAGGTGAGTACACACATACATGTACTTTATGCAACAACAAATGTCAGGCCCATCTTGGAGTATGAAGCACTAATATGGAACCCACCTAAGGGAAGTATGTAAGAAACTGGAGAAAATGCAGAGGTATGGAACGAGACTAGTTCCAGAGGTTAGGGGTATGAACTATGAAGAGAGGCTAAAGGAGGAGAGAAGGACCAAGAGAAACATAATGGGCAGGCATGAGACAGTTCCTGAATGAGGTGCAGAGGGAAAGGGAACTAGAAGGGAAGGTAGTGAATAAGATGGAATATGTGGAAGGAAAGTGCAGGGAGGCAGAGGGCAAATTCATACAGAGCAGCAAAAGCAATTGGAAAAGCAAAGTGAGCCTGTGGTTCACCCAGAGGTGCAGAGGCACCAAAGCTAAATGTGCTCGAGGATGGAAAAAAATAAGAATGCAGAAATTCAATGAACTGAACAGAAGGGCCAGAAACAAATATGCATGGGTAAGTAAGAGGCTTAACACAATTCGAGAATGGCACAGCACCGAAAGCCAAATCTGATCCAAAGTTTTTATATAGCCCCATCAGGAGGAAGACAACAGTAAGGGACCAGGCAATCAGGCTGAAGGAGTAGGAGAGCTCAAAGAATGACTAAGAAGTTGGCGAGGAGCTCTGCAAGAAATATAGGGAGGTATTCTCAGAGAAGAGAGGAAGGCTATCAGCGAACCAAGCAGTGTCTAGTGAGCACTTTGCACGGAGCAAAACAGAGAAGAGGTGAAGAAACTATTGTGTGAACTAGATACCTTCAAGGAAGTGGGACCAGAAAATATCCGTAAATCCTGAGAGGAGCAGAGGTATTTGGTGCGCCCCTAACAATCATTGTCAACAGATCACTTTACATAGGGCAACTGCCTAAGGTGTGGAAGATAGCAAATGTAGTCCTAATTTTTAAGAAAGGAGACAAATGGCACTAATGAGAACCTTCATAACTAGGGAGGCCAAGCCCATGATGACACTCTTCAGGTCACTTGTTCTATCTAGGCTGGAGTATTGCTGCACACTAACAGCACCTTTCAAGGCAGGTGAAATTGCCGACCTAGAGAATGTACAGAGAACTTTCACGGCGCGCATAACGGAGATAAAACACCTCAATTACTGGGAGCGCTTGAGGTTCCTAAACCTGTATTCCCTGGAACGCAGGAGGGAGAGATACATGATTATATACACCTGGAAAATCCTAGAGGGACTAGTACCGAACTTGCACACGAAAATCACTCACTACGAAAGCAAAAGACTTGGCAGACGATGCACCATCCCCCCAATGAAAAGCAAGGGTGTCACTAGCACGTTAAGAGACCATACAATAAGTGTCAGGGGCCCCAGACTGTTCAACTGCCTCCCAGCACACATAAGGGGGATTACCAACAGACCCCTGGCAGTCTTCAAGCTGGCACTGGACAAGCACCTAAAGTCAGTTCCTGATCGGCCGGGCTGTGGCTCGTACGTTGGTTTGCGTGCAGCCAGCAGCAACAGCCTGGTTGATCAGGTGCTGATCCACCAGGAGGCCTGGTCACAGACCGGGCCGCGGGGGCGTTGACCCCCGAAACTCTCTCCAGGTAAACTCCAGGTATGTGTGCTGGGAGGCAATTGAACAGTCTCGGGCCCCTGACACTTATTGTATGGTCTCTTAACGTGCTAGTGACACCCTTGCTTTTCATTGGGGGGATGGTGCATCGTCTGCCAAGTCTTTTGCTTTCGTAGTGAGTGATTTTCGTGTGCAAGTTCGGTACTAGTCCCTCTAGGATTTTCCAGGTGTATATAATCATGTATCTCTCCCTCCTGCGTTCCAGGGAATACAGGTTTAGGAACCTCAAGCGCTCCCAGTAATTGAGGCGTTTTATCTCCGTTATGCGCGCCGTGAAAGTTCTCTGTACATTCTCTAGGTCGGCAATTTCACCTGCCTTGAAAGGTGCTGTTAGTGTGCAGCAATACTCCAGCCTAGATAGAACAAGTGACCTGAAGAGTGTCATCATGGGCTTGGCCTCCCTAGTTTTGAAGGTTCTCATTATCCATCCTGTCATTTTTCTAGCAGATGCGATTGATACAATGTTATGGTCCTTGAAGTTGAGATCCTCCGACATAATCACTCCCAGGTCTTTGACGTTGGTGTTTCGCTCTATTTTGTGGCCAGAATTTGTTTTGTACTCTGATGAAGATTTAATTTCCTCATGTTTACCATATCTGAGTAATTGAAATTTCTCATCGTTGAACTTCATATTGTTTTCTGCAGCCCACTGAAAGATTTGGTTGATGTCCGCCTGGAGCCTTGCAGTGTCTGCAATGGAAGACACTGTCATGCAGATTCGGGTGTCATCTGCATAAGGGGGATTACCAACAGACCCCTGGCAGTCTTCAAGCTGGCACTGGACAAGCACCTAAAGTCAGTTCCTGATCAGCCGGGCTGTGGCTCGTACGTTGGTTTGCGTGCAGCCAGCAGCAACAGCCTGGTTGATCAGGCTCTGATCCACCAGGAGGCCTGGTCACAGACCAGGCCGCGGGGGCGTTGACCCCCGGAACTCTCTCCAGGTAAACTCCAGGCAAGGAAGGTTCCGTGATGTTGGTGAGGGGCTCTTGATTTAGGGAATTACATCTGTGCTCCAGTTCCCCGAATTAAGCCTGAATGCCTTCCACATCCCCCCCCCCCCAGGCGCTGTATAATCCTCCGGGTTTAGCGCTTCCCCCTTGATTATAATAATAATAATATGAGAGAGGTTATGGGAACTATACCTGATGGCATTAGAGGAAAGAAAGACTATTGGTGATATGATTAAGTACAAAATACTAAAGAATTGATAGGGTGGACAGGGACCGTTTGAGAGATGGGAAACAGGAACACAAGGGTACTGGTGGAAGTTAAAAAACAGGAGTCACAGGGACGTTAGGAAGTATTTCTCCAGTTTTAGTCAGGATGTGGAACGATCTGAAGAATGAAGTGGTCGAGGTATATATAATGTATGACAAGGGCCTTGAAGCCAAGAGGCAGAGCCAGGTACAGAGAGACGACCCCTGCAACCATATATAGGTGAGTACACACGCAGTAATAAAAAAAAAAAGACTAAAAAAAAAAAAACATACCTTAGGCAAAGTTCCTTTAAGCAGAGATGTCTAATACTTTTATATTTATTATTACGTTAATTCATATTAACAATGCTACACATTACTACTAAAAGTGCAACAATATCACAACACGGTAATGTGTGGGGTGGAAATATAAGCTATGAACACAAGTCAACACTACCTACCCTACACTAACCTCCACTGAGGACACTACAAACACTATCATCTATCACAGTAATTACACTGTAAAACACCTATTATGACCCACCTTTTAGTAGACTGTGGTGGTTTAAGTTTTATGGTATAGTAGAAACACTAGGTTGGATACTATATATAGTTTATATTGTATTACACACTATATAATGTCGTGCCGAATAGGTAAAACTTGTGATTTTGGCTTAAATAGCAACGCTCTTCTTGCCGAATAAGGCAAGCGAAAATTTGTGTATGCAATGATTTCGCAAAATTCATTCTGAAACTAACGAGAAAAAAATATATTTGTTTATTATTAAATTTTTGTAAGCTTATCTAAAATATATTTAGACGGATTAAGCTAAATTAAATTGAACTTGTTATAATAAGGTTAGGTAAGTTTTCTAAGGTTCTTTTGGTACAAAATTATTAATTTTTACATAAATATATATCTTTAAACGTATAAGAGAAAATTTCAGAAAGGACTTAATTTTAAATGAGTTCTTACTAATTGACCAGTTTTACCTATTCGGCACGACATATTATATATATATATATATATATATATATATATAATATTATATATATTATATATATATATATATATATGTCGTGCCGAATATGTAAAACTGGTCAATTAGCAAGAACTCATTTAAAAATTAAGTCCTTTCTAAAATTTTCTCTTATACGTTTAAAGATATATTTTTTTCATTAATGTTAATGTAAAAGTTTATAATTTTGCACTAAAAGAATCTTAGAAAACTTACCTAACCTTATTATAACAAAATTAATTTATTTTAGCCTAACCCAACTAAATATATTTTAGATTTGTTTACAGTAATTTAATACTAAACAAACGCAGTGAAATATATTTTTTTCGT